TTTGGACTTATATATGACTTTTGACTTGAAGGTGAACATTCCATATATGTCTTTGTGTCCCTAAAACACCAAAACCTCTTCTTCATAATTTCACCAGTTAAACACAGACTCAAGGACATTTTCAAAATACTGATTTGTATAAACTTTTACAAAACATTAGCAGCCTTCCTGGAAAGTTTTTTTAAGACAACAATCTCTGACTCGCACACACAGCCTTGTGCTGTACCCTTTTTTGATGACTTTTTCCCACAACAACATAAACACCTACCACTTTCTCTTTCTTGACGTGGTTCGGGAAGTCTTTTGCTATGATGTCGGCGTAAGACAGCAGGACATTGCCAATGGTCTGTGGGAGAAAAAGAAAATAAAAAAAAGTCTTACAAAGTGAGCTATTCTGCTTTGATAACAATTTCTCACATAGAGAGAAGAAAAGGGGTTAGAAGTTTGAAATCACCTTGGCAAACCTCTTCATGTAGTTTCCCACAATCTGTGGGTCGGGGCACTCCAGCTTGCGGATGATTTCAAAGCTTTGATTGAGCTGAGAGAAGACGTCCACGACGGAGCAGGAGAACAAAGCGTGTTCGGACGTGACCTGGAACTGGAGGACCAAGAGAAGAAGAAGACGATGGTTCATGTTGCTGATGCTGCTATGAAAGTAGTTACCCCGGTTTTAGCCTCGTGACCTCACTGTTGACCTTTAGAATCACAACAATGGAGATGACCAGGGTGTAAAGATGAGGGGCAAGGGCTTCATTAGGAGGGCAGTCATTAGCCTTAAGCTGTTAAAGTACATGACCGGGCCTCGTGAGCGTTTTGCTGACACAGGAAAACAGGTGACAGTAATTGGACCCAAGAGAACTCTGACATATGAGCTGGGAGGATCTCCAGCTGCTTTGTATCGACCCTTTCACATGTGGACCTTTACGTGTGAGCAAGACCAAGTGTGAGCTGCTGCGCCGTGTCCGTGTGGGAGTGCACATCGACCAGCGCTGAAGCCTGTGCCCGTCTCTGCAGTGAAGTGCTTTTTTCTAGTTGCGTTTGGTATTGAGTCACTATTGATCGCCTTGAGGCATTGGACGGACTCTTCTCGGCCCGCAGCGTGCTGAATCAGCAGAGGCGGTGTGAGACGTGTGAATTTGAATAAAACACAAATTCACACCTTTTTTTTTAAGGGTCGAGGGTCAAATTGAAAATGCAGATGAATTTTCTTACTAAATAAACTAAAAAACTAACCAGTTAGTCCAAGGTTGCACTGATGAACAGCATCAATTTAGTTTTACAATTTACCGCATTTGTGGCCTGCTCTGCGTCGGCCATTATTTGACGCTTACGACCGCCATTGAAAAACAACTGTGACAGTTTTACAGGAGATAATGTTTTGACTACATCAGAGGTCTTCAACCTGTGGCTCTGGGGCCACATGTGTCTCTTTAGCCCCTGGGTCCTGGCTCCCTGCATGGTGATATTTAAAACTACTGAATGGACCAAATTTGCCCCCGCTGTGTTTTCAAACAAAACACATACTAAACACACTGACTACTATAATCCAACCGAACAAGTGTCATGGACTACATGAAGTGGACACATGATTAGCGCAGCACAAGGACATGAACACAAAGCTGTTACCCCATCCTTTTTGTCCCTCTCCAGGGCTCCGTGTAGGAAATCTCTAGAGACTTCTTCATTTTCATCCAACCACATGATGACAAATGGTTCAAACCAACTGGAGAACAAGAGAAATAAGAAGTCACAACCCGAGCCTGTGGCTCACTGTGTCGAATGTCGAAGCAGGAACAGATGTGTGCAGAGAACACTCACGCCGGATATTCAGGTACGTGCTTCTGGAAAGTGACCAGCTCCTTGCAGTACTCGTTATAGAGCCACTTCACTTTGAAGTGCAGGTTCATATAATCTGCGCTTTTACACAAGCGATGCTTCTCATGCTCTGGAAAAAAGATTTAGGTTTAAAATGAATCAATATTTCTCTGTATCTGATGTTGTCACAACATACATCTCTTCATTACAGGTTAATGAAACTATTAATCATTACAAATATGCATGAACACAAACAGGCATACATTGCACCTACCTTCCATAGCATATTTCATATCTTGTGCGAACATATTCCACATGACTTCCGCGCTTATCTTTCCCACATTCAGCTCTTGAGGAAACCTGTGAGGGAGCACGAGGGTTTGAAATAATCAGGAAATCAGGATCCCTATTTACAACATCGATTAAATCCAACAATAATTTTTTTTTTCACATAACTCCTGCATGCAACTGGGTTTTCTATGCACGAACTGTGGTTGTTGTGGTTTTCAGTATGATTACAGTATGATTTTAGGACATTTGTATTTTTTATGAGATATTACTTTTAAAAAATGTTTGGCCTTGAAAATAAATAAAAATCAACTTTTTGCCGTACAAAGGTTGCACCTTTCTCTGGTCCAGCTTTAAAACCTCCACAGTCCCTAACTGAAATTATATCAGCAAGTGGTACTGGTGTTATGAGCCGGGACTCACTGATTAAGACAAGGAGTGTAGGAGTTTTTGTCTTCTTCTATGATGGAAACAATGAGGGTGATGAGTTTGGACCAGAAGTCCAGGTTCTTGACGCTGGGTCCCTGCTCGTCTGGAGGAACTGCCTTAGACTGGAAACAGAGAAATTAATGATTAAACATGATTCTAGCAGCCGATCCCAACCACACCACAGCAATAAGAAGAACCGTGGGTTCACACAGAGACTCACAGGGTCCGTCTGATATTCTCTGTTGTAAAGGTCGTGGCAGTTGTTGAAAATATACTCGTAGGTGGAGTTGAGACAGGCTTTCACACAGTCCTTCACAACCTGACTTGCCCTCGGGGGACTCTGCAGCTCCTGGACCTGAACACACATAATATGGTAAACTCAAGACACTACAAAATGGCTGACAGAAACACACACAGCGGCAGTAGAGGGGGGGTTCTCTAGAGATAGATAAACCATAAAGGCAGTGAGGTGCAAAAGATGAATTAACCTACATTAACACCCCCGCTCGCCTGAGCTCATCTGCTGTTTAACTAAGTTGTTTGGTTAGGCTGATGTGCAGCTCATTTTCAGTTTGCGCTTGGGGCAGCTCAACGGAAAGTGCTGGAATATTTTCGTCATGTTTTTTTATCTTGAAGCATAGTGCGATAAAGGAAACCAAAAACCGTTGAATCCCTACTTTCATTCTAAAGAATGTGATGCTTGTCAAGAGATCAACTGTAGACTTCAGATCCTGTAGTCGTTCAGGACTGCTGGCTGGGAAGTTATTCTGAAAGTACATTGACAAATACTTGAAAAACTACAAAGACAGGAAACTGAGAGATACAACAAAACATGAAAAGTTACAAATACAGAGTGTTGATTTAAAAGTCAGTGGATGACAGAACGAGAATAACCAGAGTTAGTGTTAAATTACTAAATACACGGCAGCTGTAACATAGAGTTCTTTTAATTTGTTACAGTAAAAATAAAGTATTTACCCGGTACATGGACAGGTCGATCCTCAGGGAGTTGTGTAACTGATCCAGCAGTTTGACAAACCTCTCTTTCTGAAAAACAGAAGACACAAAAACTCTAAACACAAAACAGCTGACAAACTGCTACATATGACTCCACGCTGATCAGATCTGAGCAGACTCAGCTGATTGGGTGTTTGTGTAGGAGGGCGGGGCCAGGTCAACATGAAGAACAAGAAGCTTGTCTAAATAACATGAAGCAAAAGCTAAATATATACTGTATACATTTTAAAATAATCCTCTCACTTCCCAGTAACTTACACCAAAGTTCGATGCGGCAAATCTGTCTGAAGCAGAAACATTGTTGGACGACTGGGTGGTGTGGGCGTAGTAGGCGTTGATGTTGGCCAGCAGGGTGCTCATCACTGCAGGCACGCCTGGACACATGTACTTGGAGGATAAGCACGCAAAGTGGCTGTGGAGTGAGAAAAAAATAAGTTAAGGTTTTAATGTTCATTATATGGGTTAGTGCAGGTTAAAGAACGTGAGTCAGCGTTTGTACGAACGTCATGGCCTGGTAGATGGACTCCACTCCGTATCTCATAGCAAACTCATCCACTATCTCCTGAGCTGTCTCTTCAAAATAAACCTTCCAGGCATCGTCCCCTTTAGCATCAGGGATTTTAACTACACCTCCATTCTGCTCCTCAGTGGTGTACTGGAACAGGTGCTGAAGACACAGGGGAGACGGGGGAGACGGGGGAGTCGAACATTTGTATTTAAAGACGATAAAAACAACACTTTTTGAAAGAAAACTAGGAGGGGGAATTATTTTCTTATTGAACTACAATATTACTTTAAAGTCTTACACATCTTATTTAACATCATATTTCAAGTTTTTATTTATTTTATACTATATGTGTATTTTTGTACTTCTCATTTGGAACTCACTTTGTTAAATCTCATAAATAACACAAGCTCTTTCCATTTAGCCTGTAAATTAGTGGATTGAAAAGTTTTTAATTGAAAAGTATTATCTAGGGGAAAACACAACAAAAATGTAAAGCAACCCAGGAAGAGGAAGTTTTATTGTTACTACAACTTTAGTAAAAATTCACAGTAACACAGTATTGACAGTCAGCTTCTGTAGTTTATGTCCTTCCTTATATGAAATCCATCAGTTGGACACACTCAAAGAGTCCACTGCCGACCTACCTCGTGCAGACAGGTGTACTGGACGTGGTACGGCGCCACTGTCTCCTCTCCCTTGATCTCCACACTTATGTGCATCCTGATGGCTCCTGAGACGGCAGACTTATCTGTTCTCTTATCTGTCAGATAAGAGAAAGGCAGAGAGTTATACTCCTCACGTTGTTCAAATATCTTATCCACTGGAGACAAATACTTGTCTTATTTGTGCAGTATGTGCGTGCTTCTGATCGGTCTCTTTCTCCTTTGCTGTTCTCTAATCCCTGTAATCTCACCCAGGTTGTACCACACATCCATCTCCCCGCTGAGCGTTCGGACCTCGATGATTGTTTGACCCAGGAAGTCGTCGCTCTCGCGTTTGAACCGCTGTTTTACGCGAGATTTAATGTCATCATCCTCGTCCCACACTCGGACCTTGATGCGGTCGGATGAGTTGTGACATTCGCTGCGGGAAAAAAATTATGTCAGAAAACTGAAGACCTGTACTCCGAGTACTGGAACTCCCAGTAGCTGTACTCACAAATGGAAGTTTTCTTCCCACACAGGGTTGAGGTTTCCATAGATGGTCTTGGTTCTCTTCTTGGTTTTCCCCACTTGAACAGTGACATATGGGTCGCTGGAGCCTGTTTTGTCTTTGGCCTGCAGGCCCTGAGCACACACCACTGCAGAGGAAAGGAGGGACTTTTTAAGAGACGTCCTTAGTGCAAAAATAACCCTGTCCTCTGTAATCGATCAAAACACGGCACATTCTGCTGCCTCAGAATATTGTAAATGATCTAAATGGAGACCTGTGATGCTGATCTTCGCAGACCATTTGGAGGTTCCGTCCAACACGCTCTGTTTGATCTGTTTCATTTGTGTGCCGTGTGTCGACTTATCCAGGGCAAACACTTCCTGTATCAACTCAAAGATCTCTGGTTTGTTTCTTTCTCTGATCTTCATGCGGTCCTTCAGGACCATGATGATGTTCTGAGTTCGGTCCTCCGCCCCGTGTTTGGAGCTCTTTTCTGCAGCTCCTGGAGAGAAATAAATAAACAGAGGGAGTTTGAAAAAGTGTAAAGTGCATTCAAGGCAACGTGGGCCACATGGATCTGTTCTTTCCCTGCAATCAATCCACTGAAGTCCATGTGCCATGTTCAGATGGTATCGTTTTTGACATTCTGTGACTTTTTCACAGCCAGAATCAAACCCAAACTACTTAGCTGCCAGAAACGGTATCCACTTAACCACTGATCTGGACAAAAATAATCAGAGAGACAGTAAAAGTCAAACAGATGTGTTGTCACAAAGACTTCTGACTTTACAGACAGATGAGTGGTGATATATGTATCTTTTAGAGTGTCTCTAAAATGATAGAACAAATGGATTAGTCTGCCTGTGAAGAGATGAAAGACATAGAGGAGTCTACAAAATATGGGTAGAAGAGACAAAGAGAGAGAGAGAGAGAGAAAGCCTGCGTTATGACAGCACATTAGTCAGGAGATACAGTGGAAAGGAAGAGGAAGGAGAGCGTGAGAGTGGCTGAACACAAATAATGGTGTGTGTGTCAATCGGGCGGAGGGAAACAGCAGAGGAGCTAAGAAGATTCAGGTCTGCTCTGCAGACTGCGTGTATCTTTCACCTGAGTACAAATGCATATATACATCGGACGTTTGACGACTGTTTCTGGTCCTTACTCTGCAGACAGTCGGCGTTGAGAAGGTCCTGACACTTTTCGTGACATTTGACGCCACACTCGGAGCAACGCATGCCTTGTCGAGCGATACCCCACAGCAACCCCTCGCATTCGTAGCAGTAGGTGGGGGTGGTGGCGGTCCACACCTCAAAATTGTGAGGGGTGGTGGAGGAGATAGGGTAGATCAAGGCCTGCAGGGTCTTTTTATAGACGTGGCTCTTCTGCAAAGGGAAGAAAATAAATGTGAGCTTAATGTCAAGAGGGATTATCAAAAGCAAGAAAAAGCTGTGATATTGCTGAGAAGAAGTAGAACCCACCAGTTCTTCATTTCCAAGAGTGGTAGAAGCCATAGCTGAAGTGATTCCAGCTTTACGGGAATTCTGCACCAGAGACTGAAAGAGTGAGAGAAAGCGTATCTGCGTTAAAAGTTTGGGAACAACCAGGACATCAGATTCACATCTGACCTCTGTCAAGAAGAAACCAGCACTCACCATGGCCTGATGACATCAGGTGGAGACGAAGTAGTGAAAGGTAAACAGAAACGTGTTAGGAAGTAGAAATGCAACATCTAGATGTATTCACCAATCAAATAAACATAATCCAATACAACATTTTTATTAAGAAAAAGAACATTTTAACAACAAAGTGCAGCGGTAATGCTATATCAAATATATGTTTTCATTTTATCAAAACTATTTTGGTGTACACTGAAAAGAAAACAGAAATGAGTGTGAGTGTGTTTCATACCAAATCTCGCACGAGTGGAATGGCTTTTCTTTTGCGAAGATCAGGCATACTGTCAATACTGTAGAGGGCACCGCCCATTCTGAAAAGAAAATATATTTATACACACATTAAAAACAATATAAAATTGTATTTTAAGCAGTTGTTTTCAAATCCCTTTCCCTCAAAATAATGTTTCTTTTCCCCACTCCACTTCCCTGAAGGACCTCTGAAGGACTCTGCTGGAGAGTTTAATTACACAGACGGCGTCACCTCAGATAGTAGCAGTGACACTCCATACACCTGGCTGTAATTGTTGGGGTTTTCTATTTGGCTAAGTTAGCACTTCATCAGTATTCAGCCACCGTTCCACACTGAGGTCTGCCTTGTCTACAAACACCCTGCCAGGAACGTCGGGGCAGCCTACTGCAGTTCAATACTCCCTGGCGTAATGCCACGAGAGGAATGAGAAAAGAGGAATCCCAGCCCAGAGAAGGGCATTTTCAGTGGAGACAAACAATGGCAGGTTTCCACAGCAGTCTAAGCATCATTTGACGTCTGGAGTTATCACATTATGTTGTGTATTTGCAGACACTCACCCTCCTTTACCAAACCACAGGGAGCTGGAGGTCTCTCCTCGAGCCTGAGAGAGAAAAACACGTTTTCACATAAAGGATATAAAATAAAAAAAAACCCTCAACAAAAGGCATTATTTATTCAAAAAACTACCTTTATTCAAAGAAACTAAACCTGTCAAAGGTGATCAACTTACTAATAACTAATAATGTCATTAAATTATAGCTCAGAGAAGGTGGGCAGAGGGAAATTGTTAAACAAAAATCCAATACGAATAACTTTAAAAAAAACCTTAAGTTTGGACCGAGTGACTTTTTCTTTTTATTATTCAGCTGTTGGTTTAACAACAGTGTGTTAAGGTCTGCTCGCTTCACCCCCAGGCCTAGATTTGATCAGACATTCAGTCATTCTTCATGCATCCACAAGATGTCTCCACACGTTTCCCCATCTTTTCCAACTACTCTTCTGTTTCAAACAACAGTCTTTCTGCTCTGTCAGCACATATTTCCAGGTACGTCGTCACGAGGTTCTCCGTCTGCTGGTATTTTCTACAATTTTTAGGGTTTTGTCACTTTGTACTTGTCTTGTTAAGAACTCAGCAGCTCATTAACACTCAGTTGTTTGGTCAGTTGTTCCTCTACTGCCTAATAATGCAAATATCTAATCAGCTAATCGCAAGGAAGCGACCCAGTCGATTCAGGGATGTGAACGTGGCCAAGACACTTGCTAATATTCAAACTGTGCTTTGAGTGGAAATGAAAGGTAATGGGAATGACTTGGAATGCAGCGAGGTTGTTTGGGCCAGAGGTTGTGTCTGCAAATTAAAAAAAACGCTTGTCTGTGGGCATTTTCTCAAAGCCATATCTACACAGAGAGCGGCCAAAAAATCAGAAAATGTAAAATAAGTGGTGTGTTGGATGAAGCCATATACCTAATGCCACAGTTTAGAAGAAAATCATTAGTTTTCTATGCCCTATGTGCAGAAATGTGAATAACATTTGAATTACATAGCAGAGGTGTTGGATGAAGCCATATACCTAATGCCAGAGTTTAGAAGAAAATCATTAGGTTTCCATGCCCTATGTGCAGAAATGTAAATAAAATTTGAATTACATAGCAAAGGTTTTTTTTATAAAAGAGGTCAAATTATTACATAAATCAAAAGGACAAAATAAAGAAAGAAACAAACGAATCAAAGAAATAACTTGTTTTTAGTATCTAGTTCTGAGCCTAACTCGGTAAATTACAAAGTGGCAGGGGAATGCATCGCTATTTCTTAATCTTTCTTTCAACACATCCTTCCCGTCTCAGTTCCACACCTGTCCGTATTTTCACTCCGGCTTCGGTACCCACCTGACAACATGTTCCAATGATGGACCGAGCAAAGTGCATGCGAGTGCTGCGATGGCAATGACATTAAACTAGAAAATAAAAACAAAGTGGTTTTGGCACAAACAAATAAACACAAAACAAATAAAGTGAAGCCAAGTGCAAAAAATAAAGACAACAAAACACATGTCAACGTAAACGTGATTAGCCATATGGAAGTTCAGTTAAAGTAAACAACAGCAACAAAACATGCGACCAAAATATGCTAGAGAACACTGAGCCGACAAAACTGGTTCGGTGCAATAAATCAGCTTCTATTTGTGCGTGTGCAGTGGTGTAGCGCTGTGTGTGCAACTAAAATAGAAACAGCGCTTATTTTTAAGAAAACCAAAAGGCATTAATCTGGTGATGCAATATGTATGACCCACTGTGAGTCGGCTTTTCAGTGTCTGGGCACAAATGCATTACCCTGCGTTGTCCTGTCTTGGCAGGTACATGAATAATGCAGTACAGATACATATTTTACAGACCTGGTACACACTTCAAGAGGCTTTGGAACTGGGACATGGCTTTTACATCACAGTGGAGATAAATCACAAAGTGGTGTGGACTGATATGTTGTGGAGGGTCAGGACTAGAATTTGGAAAGAGCCACACTTATGATCGTGATTAACTTGTGGTTTTACCTCTCGTAGCTGCTCCAACACCTTGTTGTACAGCCTTAGCCAGTTTTCTTTGGCTCTGACTGCTGGGTCCACTGGGGTTTTGGGTTCCTCTGGGACTGGGGGGCTTAAGAAAAATAATAATAATGAAATATTCATTAAAAAAAAATCAATATATGTAAAATATTCACAAAGGATTTTCTATAGTTTGTTGTTCTTCACCCGTACCTCTCTGCTGGCACTTCTTCAGACTCCGTTGGTGTCTGAGGTCTGTCATCTTCAAATTGTTCCTCTTTCTTCTCCACGAGTGCAAAGCTCTCCTCGGGCTGGGCTGGCGGAGTCACTGCTTCTTTCTCAAACATCCCCTCCTCTTCTGGCCACTGTTCCTCCTCTGTGTACGGATCCTGGTCCTCGGGAGCAACTGACTGTGTGGCGGCAGAGTCATTTAGTTGGGATTGAGACTGCGCTGAAGACGGGGTCTGTTGGGAGGAAGGGGCCGCGGCGTTGCAGGGGGATTGAGAGGTTGAGTTGGCCACGGTGGCTGGATGAGACGGAGGGACACAGCTGGCTGCTGCAGACTGGTGCTGCTGAGTGCCGGCTGAGGCTGGAGGGTGGGGTTGGGCAGGTTGGGCAGTGGGAACTGAGGACAGGAAGGTAGAGGCCAGGCCTGTGACTGCAGCTGTGAGTGGTTTGGCCATTGAGAAAAAAGACGTAGCAGAAGGAGCTGACTGGGGCGGAGGCTGTGTCTGAGCCTGTTTAGGTGGTGTTGGTTGACCAGAGGCTGGCTGTGCTGTTGGAGCTGCACCGGGAGGGTGAGTCTGGTTGGATGTTTGATTAGAAGGCTGGGTAGGAGGCTGTTGTTGGTTGACAGAGGACTGTTTCTCCAGCGGAGGTCTGGAGCTTGGTACGTCTAGCGTGGCAGGGGCGGTGGATGTCGGCGTGGGAGTGAACGGCAGGTCCGTGTCCTCGCTGAGGGTCCCATCCAGATTGTACAAATCCTCATCATCATACATTATCTCGTCATCCTCATAAAGGCCGTCTTCTTCACCCTCATACAGTCCCCCGTCATCTTCCTCGTACAGAGCCACCTCCTCACCTCCATCTTTGATGTAACCCCCTTCATCACTGTACACACCCTGGGTCTCATCAGGATCCCAGTCTGGTGAGCCTTTACTGTAGCTAACGGAGGAATGGCAGGAATGGTACGAGTCATTCTCATCGTAAGGGTCCCTCTCGCCGTACTCTCCACCGTAATCCTCCTCACTCAGCTGACTGCTGCACCGACTCAGCTCTGCAGATGATGCGTAGCTCCCTGTAGGGCTGGAGGAAGAGGAAGGAGTATTTAAGAAAAAAGGGTCATAAAAGGATGGATGGGAGACAGAGAGAAAACTGCAAAACAGGGAGAACCAATAAGGAGCAAGACGTGAATGGAGCTGAGGAGGAAATGAAGGAAATGTGGTGGGAGAGTGGGTGAGTTATCCAGTACACTCTGACAAACATCTATAATCGTATGTGTAGTATTGACCGGTAGATTGTCAGTTGAATAATTTATACGGCAACAGGAAACGGGGAAGGCTTGATTTAATTCTTATTGTTTGAGACGATGAGACGTTACTGAGGTCAGAGGACTTTTCAACACTAGAAGAACAATTCTAAAAAAGGAATAATGTTTGTTGGGCACTACAGTCAAAATATAATACTTAGTTGATGAAAAGCTCTTAGTTTAATTAAATAAAAGTTTGGCTATTATGTTCAAGTTGTATAGTACTGGTTATAAAGTTCTAAGATGTTTTTGTTGCAAAAAGATGGGCTAAAACAGATTTTAATGTATGAAAACTGTATTTGACTTTTTTATCCTTTTTGTGTAAATCACTATTTTAAAGCCAGAAAACAATCTAGTCTAAAAATCTAAAAAATATAGTTCTTATATTATTCCAAAAATATAAGACAAAAAAACCAACATTTTTTTCATTGTAAACCTAACAGGCTGGGATTACTAGAATTATCTTAGCTGTGATAACAAATGTTATTTCTGAAATAGTTCACTGATAAAGGTAAATATATATTTCTGATGAACAAAACTAATGAATGTTGTCATTAAATATTAGAATTACACAGTGTAAATCTGAAGTGGAGGCCACACACCTAACCGTCCTCTGATGGTAGTCCAGTTCGTGGCTGTTTCCCGATCGTGGGTAAGAGTAGCTTCTGGAGCTGCGGTGCTGGTGGCTGATGGGATACTGGTGGACGGAGGCGTTGGGCTGAGATGTACTGTAGAAGGGAGGAGGGATGCTGTTACTGGTTTCGCTGCGATAGTCACTGTCCCTGTCATCCACAGCACTGTCTGGATCCTCATCTACACAGAGCAGCAGGAGAAAAAAGAAATGATGATCCCGAGTGATTTCATAACGTGGCGCAGAGATAAGAGGCTTTAATCAGCGCTGAACCAATTATCTACTACAACGGTAATTACAGATAATGCTGATTGGCTCACATAGGTTATTCAGAGTGCATCACGCGTACATGAAACACACATGGAGGTCTCCTTCACATTCCTCTCACTTGGACTGGACATCCAATCCACTGTGTTCGTGAGGGAGGTGCTTCATATTTCTGTTAATGCCATAGATCAGGGCTAATATCCCAGAGGTAAGGAGCAGCAGCCTTCTATTAATCATTCATTATTATCAGCCCTGGTCTCCCGCACGCTCAGAGAGGAGAGGAGGCGGCTGTAACCTGAACACCTCCATCTCCATCTGTCCGATCGTGTAAACACTAATTACAGTCATCGTACCACGTTCCTCGTTTGGCCCTTGTCTTCACATGTCTCACTCTGTCTCTGTCCCACTCACTTCATCAGCTCAGCATCCATCAGTAACCCTGTGCATCCCCCCCACCTTTCCTTCCCTTTGAGTGAACAGAGATGAGATGAATTGCTGCAGTAGAGTGGGTGAGGCACTTATATAAGACCATCTGTTAATCACAGCAGGGGTGTGAGAGAGAGAGAGAGGTAAAGAGGGAGAGCAAAGGGATCTACTGCCCAATATGTACATAACACTTCCCTGTGTACGGGACATCTGAAAGGACGGTGTCTCACAAAGGTACTTGGCTAACATCAAAACTGACTATAGTGGATTCAAAAGAGAAGAGGATTAAAAACTGAATGGCTAATATTAATTAGATTAAATAATCTAAAGATCATGTGTTTTCTCTTCTACCGCTCTCTACCATGGACTACGGACCACTAGAGCATGGCTCAAATACGGCTGGTACACCTTGTCACGTAGCTCCAATCATTTGCTACATTATTAACTATGCAATGCTATGAAGTCGATAAAGTCCAAAGTGCTGTGTTCTATCTTTCCTTAAAGGTAACATGACCAGTTAGATGTATCTAATGAAGTGAGCGGAGATTAGGAAGGTTAACTGAAACATATTATGTTCTCTTACTCTGTTGGTCTCCCCATAGGCTCCAGTTACCTGCAAATAAAACAAAGCGGGGGTGGGGGTGGCGTCAGTACTGTTTGCCAAAACACAGACATACATTCAAATTATAACCGCTACAAAATTCCCAGGTGCATCTCGCAAATTGAAAAAGGGCACTGAAGGAGTGGAGTGTGTTTCCGCCTCTCCAGACTCCAGCTGGGTCAGCAGACTGGTCCTGCAGCGGAAACACACAGTCCTCCAGGAGCAGCTAGCCTCCTGATATCCAATACTTCTATTGATCCCCGACAGTGCAGTGATCCAGACCCTTCTCCCCCCTCTGACACTGAACAACTCATGTGTGGTAACGGGCATAATGCACACACTGACCTAATGACATGTAATTATTCATTTCAGTAGCTTGACACATAATTCTCTTGTTCAGCACAACTGACTGGGTTGAATAAACACTTACAGCACTGGGTGCCTGGGACACGCAGGGGGCGTTCTTGTTCCTCCTGGTAGGAATACTGGGCAAATTTAAAAAATACATCAAGGACGGAGGCAGGTGACATAGTGGTGCACAAACAGGGAGATTTCTAAAATGTTACTGGTTCTGAGTGTGTGGAGTCCATCTACAGTCGCTTTCTATTTCACAATGTGTGACCTACATTTACTGTAATAAATAATATGTCCACTTTGTAATGGGTTTAAAATACATAAGTGTTAGGTGTCACTTTTTTTCAAAGATCCCAGAACATTAGTTGAACTTTTTCTCAGTATGTAGGTACACTGTTAAAGATTGCGTCATCTTACATCTTGGTCCCTCATTGCGTTCAGCTGCTCCAGTTTCTTGGCCCAGTAACGAGCCTCGTCCTCAGGGATATCTGTAAAAAAAACACACACACAAACGAACGATATCAAGTAACAATAGAAAACCTAAAAGTAATTATTCTACCAAAAAAAAATATTTTGATTTATTGCAGTTTATATATATACACACACAATGTAAAGCAACACATCAGTAGTTGTATACACAACATAGTGTGACACTGCAAAATTACTTTTTTTAGTCAAAAGCCCTAATAGCTAAAACCTTATAAATAGACCAGGTTCACAAACTGAAGGGTCAGGTGGATGATATTGATTAGAGAAAAGGGAAACAGTGTGAAAATGACACCTAATCAATGCTAAGAAGGACCACAGCTTGATGAGTGAAAAAAAGCAAGGACACGAACATTTCTCTCCCTGACATCACTGCTCACACTGCCAGCCTTAAACACATTTCACAGAGTAAAGTAGGTCACGTTCATTGAAATCATCGGGGTTCATGTGTCACTTCTTGCTGGCAAAACACGTCGTTTGTTCAAGACTTTCTACCCCCGTCTCAGGAGTTGATGATGGCCTATTTTCTCCACCTATTGATCACTTCTCATATCGATGTGACCATTAATTCCTCACCGAGGGGTAGTTCGAAGCGCGTGTCGAGCAGCACCAGGTGCAGTGTGGGATCTTTGGTGCCGCAGATCTCATTATCAGACATGATAACCTGAGAATCAAGCGTGAGCCACTCCCCCGGACCCTCCTGTGAAAACAGAGAGGAAACAAAATTACATCACCACCGGCAACACTTTAGGCCATTCACTCAGCTGTGGTGGCGTTGGTTAGTAATAAAACCTCGTTTGATTGGCGGATGCTACGCAGGGGAATCCAGACCATGCCGACCATCGTGTCCCAGATTAACCCTTTGTTCCACACCTCGACTGTTAGACCCAGGTCCAGACGGTTAATCTCGCTACAAAGAGATGGATCGACAGGAAGAGGAATTCAGAAAACGTTTTGTGTCTGAGCAAAATATTACTTTAACTTTAGGATGCAATTGCTATCAAAGTATTCTATGCTGCGACAAATGCAGTACAATAACCAGCTACACTTCATGTGAGTCTGTTAAAAACCACGATTCCAAACTGTCCTCTAAGTGACCACAGGCAACAAATCGATGACCTCTGCTGGGAGATAAAGAGAATCACGATCAACACAAAGACGTTGAGATTTTAATTTAGAGACTAGATTGGCTAGAATTACAAATGAGTAGATTAGAGAAGAAGCTAAAGGTGAGCAGTTGGGAGACAGACTTAGACACTTGATGATCAGAGAGACAGTATTGGAAACAGTACGTACAATTGGAATGTTCTGAACGTTCTTGTTCTACATGTATTTTGACAGCGTTGCACTGGTGCCTTTCCTTATGTAAAGGATCGTGCAGCACTTCAGTTCACCCCGTGCTAACCTGTTTGACGCTAAATGCTGAACACACAGACACACACACACAAACATGTAACGGTAATTACTTGTGGGCTGCACTGTTACAATCATAAGCCCAGGTCTCTGTAGATGCAGTTTCTAAAAGGGACTCTGACATTAAGAATTAAAAAGACAGCAGGGAGCAGAGAGACAGGAAGAGATGAATAAGGAGGGGGAGGAGCGTGATGAAGGCATGGAAGAGGACGATTGTACAGTGGGCCTGAAGCCAAAGTGGCAACTTTAATTAAGAAACAGGAGGACTGTATTTCCCAGCTCATTGGTGAGTCTTTTAAAGCGGTGCTTGTTTGATCATAGCCGTGACTGTGGGGGCGCTGTCATTTAAAGGCATTAAGAAGGAGTGGATGAGGCTCTCTCCTCGGCCTAAAAACATTACATAACACGGCTTTACTGATGCATTCCAAGTGGAATGTTCAACGCCTACAAATTCATACAAATGCACTGGATTACACAGCTAACACCACGCTGTACCACTCTGCACGTCAAATACTCACTGCTGTATTGTAATCACGATCTAAAAAAAAAATCACTAGAGAAATGCTAATTAGTCCTGGAGAAAAGTAATATGACAAGTCGATGACAATAAAAAAAAAAGGTTGTGCTGTGGGGTGAAGAACGGGGGGGGGGGGGGGGGGGGGGGTGGGTGGGGGTGGAGGTCATGCTGAGGAAATGAAGATCAAGGAGAAATCTTAAAATAAAGAGACAGAAGAGTGGAAGGAGATGCTGGGAGAAAGCTAAGCAGGGGTGTCGAGGGACAGCACATGAAGAAGAGGATGTGGTGGAGGTGTGGATGCAGTGAGGATGAGCTGTGTGGAACACAGGGATAAGGAGCGCTTGGTGTGGAAGAGAGGAAAAGGGGGAGGGAGTTAAGGTTGATAAGAAGTAAGAGAGAAGGGAGGAAAGAAAAAACACCAACGCATTCGTGAGCTTAAGTGAAAAATGAGATGAGGGGATGGAAAGAGGATGCAGACGACTTTCTCGGGGCGGAGGAGACTCAGAGGAGTGTTGTAAGTGGATGAAGAAGGACTCACAACATGAAGTCTTGCTCCCAGCTGGGCAGGTTGCCCCTGACAGCAATGGTTGTGCTCTTCACATTTTGCACTTTTAGCGTCACGTAAGTGTTGAACTTTTCTGTCGCGAAATGAAGGGAAAAAAACAGACAAGTTAAATTAAGACATTTCTAATTGGCTATTTACACAGTCCGCTCCCCCAACCTATGTGGGATCAAACTGTTTCTGTTTGGTCGTACCTTGCGGTCCATCCAGTTTGGCTTTCTTCACTGTGGAAACACAGAGAGAGAGAGAGAGACATGTCACACACTGACAGCCACCTGTTCTTATGTTCTCACCATAAGAAATCTTCTAAGAAAGGTTAAAAAAATGGTTTTGGCTCATTATAGTGGCTACTAAAAATCAATTATCAAAAAAGAAGGTATTTTAGTGCCTTTAGGACAATGGAAATTGCAACTCTACACATTTACAGTAAGAGCTCTGCCATTTTGCATTAGCTTCCACAGCAAACCATACAGTGCTGATAGAGCACGTGCAGCCTCTGAACACATGTCATACACTACATCAATAAAGTGCAAATATGTGCCTTGGCTAACCTTTATCAAACAGAGGCAAAGTAAAGGCCAAGGGCAGAAAATACTGCTGAATGTACATGACTTTACTGCCCAGACGTTACTGCATTATAAATGCTGCCGTCCCATAGCGACGCAGTCCGTCAGTCAGTCGCACCGAGTCTAACAGCACTTCTCTCCATACGCGCTCTCGCATCGGTCCCCATAGTAACCAGCACGTAATAAAAAAGTTGATGTACAATTGCTCTGAGTCAGCACAGGACTTTTGAGAATGTTCTTGCTGCTTTTACCTCATATTTCTTTCATGCATTTACAGAACAACGGTAGAGTGTATAAATGTACATTCTGAAAAACACTTTTTTGACAACTTATTTATGTTGTCAAATGAAGAATATCAGAATAGTCAAAAATGGGTTTCAGTGAAAATATTAAAATGAATTCAGTCCCAAAAAATTTTCTAAAATTAGAATGGTCCAAAAAAATGCAACTGGTTTATCTTTGGAAGCAAAGCATTTTCCATTCTACTTCTGCAGTTTCTCTGTTGCAAGACTGTGACCATAAAGTCAACAATAGGAGCTAAAAACAGACATTTGGTTGATTAAAAATCTAGATTGAAAAAATTGACACTAACTAAATCCAAGCAAAGGTATAGGTCTTGCTGCGTTTTAGTGTCAACTGAATATATATATTGTAACACAATCAATACAAAGGGAATTGGGTTTTAAATCGTGGAAAGCTGAGGTTTAATAATAGCACACTAAATCTGGGAGTGGCAGATTTAAGATGAAACCTCCTTACTCTGGGAGTGGCAGATTTAAGATGAAACGTCCGGAGCTCCTTAGAACCGATGCAATGTTTTGTCAAAACTGTGTGTGTCTGAGCAGACACCATGACACAAACACACATAGTCAGTGTTTGCACCAGAGCCTATAACTCATAAACAATAAGCCTCTGTAAGGCTGTATTGATCAGCTGGTGTAAATGTAGGTTATGGGTGAGTAGCCTAGATTCAAAATGAGGTCAAAGCCATTTAGCCATCTATCTCTGTGAGATTAAACTATATCAGAGGAATAACAAATCACAGAGTGGCTGCTGCTTCTACTCTTTAATCAAAGGATGCGGAGTGCACCCTGTAAAAACCCAGTAGTAAATTTTGTGACACGCCCTGTTTTTGGAGCACTCCTCATTCAGGAAGTACCTCTGACACAGCACACACTGACTTATGGGAACTAAGCAGATTGGCGAGAATGCAGGACAGGCCTTCAGAGTCAACTGGCAGGGAATGTAAAGTAGAGACGGGGTGAGCTTAGTTCAACCATCCAATGACAAAACCACGGCTGACGTGATTCAGAGGGACAGCGCCTCCCTCTGAAGGATCATTTATATACATACACACTCTCCAACAGAAGTCCTTGCAAGTGCTGACAGAGACACTGCACTCTGTGTGATTTATTGTCCAAATCAAGGCAGGGAGGGATGTGGATGGAAAAGTAAGTGGGATTTTAGCAGGAAAGTGGCCAAGACTTTCAGATTTAATTTGTGTCAGAATTCTGCTGCATCTGCAGATAGGATTACTGTAGAGGCCAGAAATAGCTCCAAGTCAGGTAGGTATAAATGATGTAAGAGGGAAGAAAGAGGGTTCTTGGCCAAGTCGTGTAGCCTTCCACACCGACAGCCGCAGCCAGTGCTTATGAATGAGTAACACTCAGGGTCCCGATGACACCGGGGACTGACTCATAGCAGCGGACGTCAGTGGGTGGACCTGACGGGACACGGAGTGGAGGGTGGGGTCGCAGCTCTAATGCGTCTGTTGACTTTCAAACACACCAGCCTGCCTTTGTTCCCACATCACCATTATCCATATATGAGTAATGTCTAAAACTGAAAGCAGTCATGCTTACACAAGCTTCAGTCATATAAAATATTACAGTTTCTAACTGTTTGCTTTTACAAGTGTTACAATTTTGTGACCTCAAATAAAACTAGTGGAATTTAGCTTTTTTATTTGAAAATGTTTTTTTTTTTTTTTAAGATTTGGTGAATATTTACTCATTTGCTTTTTTTGTCTAGATAACTGTAACCAGAAGGTTCTGGGACAACTCTTTAACCAGTTCTCTATCCATTCATCCATCTAATTTTCTTCTTACTTGTACTGGTACTACTTTTGAATTTTTTATACCACCTGTCCTCTAAAGGGGTGCTTCATCCCTGGACACAAACTCAAACCCTTGTTACCAAGAATACCTCAGCATCTGTGTTATTCCTTGAGGCATCTGCGTCACGTACAGTGGAACAAGGAAGCAGGGAGGACCCAAATGCAGCACTCAATAGACAGCAATCAGTTACATGAAGTTTCAATATATTTAACCCAAATACCTTCAGCAACAGGGAAACTGCCCAGGCACAAAACAAGGAACAATCCACGAGTTGAAGCTTAGGAACGTAGGAGACTAACACATGAACAACGAGCTGACAGAGACTGAGTGAGGGTGAGAGTGAGGTATACACCACCAGGTGACACGAGTTAGACTAATGAACTGGGAAAACTCTGACTGCTATTCTTTTAAGCAATCAATATTAAATGACAAATTACTGTTCCTATTTTCTCACTGTGGCACAGACAAATAATAATAATAATGTGTAAAATTTTAAATCCTGGCTTTGTCTCGCTTTCTGCCCCCCCTCTCCCCCCGCCCCCCCACTTTAAGAACCAAGGCGCTTGGGGGAAAAAACAACAGCCATTCGCAACTCTGGTAAATTTACAGTCTTTAAATAACTTCACCTCAGATCGATTTCTGGTGGAAAACAGACTTAAATGAACGAAAATCTCCACCAACTTTCCACTAACCACTGAGGTTTATTTAGCCGATCGTTTTTCTTGTAATTATTCTGAGCTCCGCCTCTCATTTTCTATTGGAACCCCAAGAAGAGTCACTTATTCCAGGAGTTTTGCTGGTTTCTTAGTTATAGCTGCAGTTCGGATGTGATACTGGAGGTTTCTGGTTCAAGATCAGACAGTTACTGCGCATGCTCAACTGGGGGTGGGGGGGTGGGTTGGGGGGCGGGGGGGGGGGCAGGGGGGGGGGGGGGGACGGTAGAGGGGAGTGACGCGCAGCCTCCGCTCTCTGCCGCGAGTATTCCCTCACGACTACAGCAGAGCGGCAGCGCGGATGCGGCGAGCGGTGCGGCAGCGGCAGGGGCTTTTCCACGTCCCTCCTCCTTTGACAACCCACGCATGAATGAACACACTCGCTCACTGTCACAAAAAATACTAAGCAGGAAAGCCACAAAAACCGCCCGTGCATGTCTGCTGTCACCGCTGACGATCATGTCGCGGCACAATTTAACCTCTGTGTGTTTAGCAAAAACACCGTGTGTTCTTGAAGGCATACAGCAAATTAAACACGCGTGTCATCCAGAAAGCGTAGTGGCAACAGAAGAGTAAACGTGTCCCAGCTCCTCTCGTACTGAATCTCTGCCCTGCTGTGATTTAATGACTATTCAGCAGTAACCCTCCACTGCTCCGTACACACACAGAGAGACTTTTTCTACACGCAGCTGACAGCCCACCGCCTCTCTCTCACACACACAACTCCATCACACAAATGTGTGATTTTTTCCATCACTTTCCCTCGTACTTACCTCCCACACACAGCAGGGACATCTCTGGTTAGCGGTGCGGTGAGGCTGTGAGCGTTCCCGGCTGTCCTCTGCTGAGAGCTCCGTGATGTGTTTGCTCAGCCCGTTAGTCTCCTGGTTGCAGTTGGCTTCAAAAAGAACACGAGAGAAAGCTGCACAGTTCAAGACGTTAGACTAACACGTAAAGGCAGCGACAGCAGCATTCTGCCACTGCATACGTTGGTCTGTGTCACACGGCAGGAGGGGAACACTCGGTTTTCCTCCTGCTGCCCCTCTGCATTGCCTCAGCTCTGCTCCTCCTCTCCTCCGCTGCTCCTCCTCAGCGCACAGCCATCTTGTTTCAGCAGCAGCAGCAGCAGCAGCACCCTCCGCGTGAGGACAGCTCCACATCGCCGTTCTGACGTCACGGATGATGAGTAGCATTGGGTGAGTGAGGGGAGGAGCGGGGACGGGGGCTGAGGAAGAGACGGGAGAGAATTTAATTAATGCATGACAGTGAAGAATTTCATTCAGGGTTCCCATCATCACACAAATGTACAATTGTCTTTTACAGATTGAAATAAAAGGTGTATTTTGAATGAACGTCTGGTTCAGTGTCACTAACAACCTTGGTTCACAGCCCAATTTACGTTAAATGTTTTATTTGCTTGAAATCTAAAAAATAAGTAAATTTATTCGACGTGAGCAATGGGGTCTGTTTAAATGAAAGATTCTGAGGGGATAGATAGAAAAAAAGAAAGCAAAAAAGAAAGAAAAGAAGAAATTGACACATGTTGAAAGTAGAGTAGCACGTGCAACACAAAGCAATAGTAATGTAAATGCAGAGTGAAATTACACGATTAAACAAATCCTTTGCAGCATCACTTAAAATAGTTTAAGAAATCGATCGTAACCTCTATCCGTTTACCAAGTAGTACTGACAGAAAAACTGTAGGTGGCAGAATACTAACCAATGACTACTGAAACTACAATTTAAATGCAAACCGAGGAAGTGTGTTGTTTACGCATACGCCGAGTTCAAGATGGCGGCTGGAGACAACAGCGGCAGGCCTCCGTGCCTAAATTTCTCCGGCCCCGGTCCTTTGGGAAACAGCCAGCCGAGCAACAGCGTCTATTCCATGCCAGCATCTAATGGTGGAGCAATCGGTGCAGGTGGAGGAGCCGCTGGAGTAGCAAGGCGGCCCAACCCGCAGCTGGGGCCTGGTGGAGGAGACAGCAACGGCGTTTCGAGCGGACCACCGCCGACTGCGCAGAACTCCCTGCAGCAGTCCTCTGCGGCAGGTGCTGCGGCAGCAGGGGCCATGGCCAGCCCGGCGTCTAACATGGCAGCCACGGCAGCCTCGAACGCTTCTCAGGCTCCGGCACCGACCGCTACTCCGGCCGCTGCGTCGGTACTAGTGTACCGAGAGCCTGTGTACAACTGGCAGGCTACGAAGAGCACGGTGAAGGAGAGGTTCGCCTTCCTGTTTAACAACGAAGTACTCAGTGACGTTCATTTTTTAGTGGGCAAAGGAATGGGCGTTCAGCGGATTCCCGCACACAGGTTCGTTACTAAAACTGTTGTATAAGTTGATGAAAAACGTTACTGCGTAGCTGCTGACTGTGTGTATGTGTTCTCAGGTTTGTTCTGGCAGTGGGCAGCGCAGTGTTTGATGCCATGTTTAACGGTGGGATGGCGACGACATCCACGGAAATCGAGCTCCCTGATGTGGAACCAGCTGCTTTTCTAGCTCTGCTCAAGTATGGAAGAGTGATTTAAATGTTTCATGTGTATGTCTAGTAAAGCTGGGACTGGAGTGATAACCCGTTATTAATTGTTTTCATTAAGACGAGATCCCGACCCATTTAATTTACACCAGTAAAATGTGACATTCAATAACAATGACATTTATTTTAAAAGAATGAAATACGCCATAATGTCCTGTAACAACGTTTTAACAAATTATGAAAGGTTCCTCAAGACAATGAAAATTGTTTGTAGGTCAGATTTGCTAGTAATAACTATAGACTTCTTGCAGGTTTCTGTACTCCGATGAAGTTCAGATTGGGCCGGAGACCGTGATGACAACACTCTACACGGCCAAGAAGTATGCAGTTCCTGCTCTAGAGGCTCACTGTGTGGAATTCCTCAAGAAAAATCTCAGAGCAGACAATGCCTTCATGCTGCTTACACAGGTTTGTCTCTTCAAAGCCAAAGTCTAATCTCATTTGAATATAATATTTACTCTCTGGGTTATTATAGTTGCTTAAAATTCCTGCATTTTATTTGACCCGAGGTAGCTTTGATCACTGCATTACCATCAAACAACTGTCTGTTTTTAATCTGCAAAAAGATAAACCAGTGAGAAAGTGAAAACAAAAATCTGAAACTGAAACTGCACTTTGTTTTTCCAGGCACGCTTGTTTGACGAGCCTCAGCTTGCCAGTCTTTGTCTGGAAAACATTGACAAGAACACTGGAGATGCCCTTGCTGCAGAGGGCTTTACAGACATAGATTTGGGTAATCTTTTGTAACTGTGCTGTCCTTTTTGGCTACTGCTTATTTCCACATTTGTGTCAATGCTTGATATGTGAATCTCTCCATTCTGTAGATACGTTAGTGGCAGTACTGGAGCGGGATACCCTTGGTGTTAGAGAGGTGCGTTTGTTTGGAGCTGCCGTGCGTTGGGCCGAGGCTGAAGCTCACAGGCAGCAGCTGCAGCCCACGCCCGAAAACAAACGCAAAGTCCTCGGAAAAGCCCTCACACTGATCCGCTTCCCTCTTATGACCATTGAGGAGTTTGCAGCAGGTTATTTACTGTTCACAGAAACCAAAAACTTTTTTGTCTGACTGCTGTAGACTTCAATGACTTATTAATGTGTTTTGGTTACTTCATTACAACTATAGGACCAGCCCAGTCAAACATTCTCACTGACAGAGAGGTGGTGAGTCTTTTCCTCCACTTCACAGTAAACCCAAAGCCACGCGTAGAATTCATAGACCGCCCACGCTGCTGCCTCAGAGGAAAGGAGTGCAGCATCACACGTTTTGGACAGGTGGAAAGTCGTTGGGGCTACAGCGGTACAAGTGACCGTATACGGTGAGTAAAGAGCCTTTTGTCCCGTCTTTCGTAATTGTAGACATGTTAGAGGCATTTGTTCTAAATGCTATAAAGCAATGCGTCTTGTTTTCTCCCAGGTTCTCGGTAAACAGAAGAATATTTGTGGTTGGTTTTGGACTCTACGGCTCCATACATGGACCCACAGACTACCAAGTCAACATACAGGTGTGGATACCTGAAAAACATTCAGCCATTAGAGTTTAACAAATCACATGGAGACATACAGTCCAAATGCTGCTGCGGATTACTTTGTAACTTTCTTCTCATCATGCAGATAATCCACACAGACAGTAACACGGTGCTTGGCCAAAATGACACAGGCTTTAGCTGCGATGGCTCAGCAAACACCTTCAGAGTCATGTTCAAAGAACCGGTGGAGATTCTTCCCAATGTCAGCTACACTGCCTGCGCTACACTTAAGGTCTGGAAACTGAAAAAATACAAATTGACACTGTTTTGTTTTTAAATAAGCTGTGACTCAAAGGGGTTGTTGTTTTGTCTGGTTTACAGGGGCCAGACTCTCATTATGGGACTAAGGGAATGCGAAAGGTAACGTATGAGTCATCATCCACTGGCGCAAAGACCTGTTTCACCTTCTGCTACGCAGCAGGCAACAACAACGGCACTTCTGTAGAGGACGGACAGATCCCTGAGGTCATCTTCTACACATAGTCACCTTTGACATCACAAAGAAATTCCATTACATGTGACAGCATGACACCAGTGCAGGGCCACGTATGAGTGCTCGTACTGAGGAGCAATCGTAACAAACGATTATCTGCTCCCTCCATATAGTGCACTACATTGGAAGACAGACAGCTGTGAGACGATGTAGGCCACTACATGGGGCACGGGCTTTGTAATTTGAGACGCTTTCTCTCTTTCCCCATGACTTCCTCTGTCCCTGTGTGTTGTGGCTTTATTTACTCCACAAAGGGAAGGTGAGAGGGAGGGAGGAGCCCCTCAGGTCATTGACAGCATTAAAACTCAACACTGAATTCTACTCAATGTTTCCTGCACCTGTACTCCATAAGGACGGTGTGAAGGAGAGTTGGAAAAAAGTATGAATGTACAGTAAGTTGTATTTGCCAAGTAAAGATCCTCTTAACGTTTTCATCACTGACCAGCATTTCACAGAATTCCACGTGACTTCCGTAGACCCAGAAACCTCAAAGACTTCATTACCTGTGGGTGAATTTGAACCGGGCTTTTTGTTGATCCTAACAGTGAAATTGCAATAAGCAATTGTAGGTTGTTGAACTCCTGTGACGACCTGTGATACATATGTTTCCTTGATCTGTAGTTGTCTATTACATTATGATTCATTGCACTTCTTGCATATGTTCATTTTTGTTCTATGGATGCACATTGTCTCTTCATGTTTATTTAGCTTTGTTTTAAAAAGTGTGGGCAGAAGTAACAGGGTTATATATTGAAGTGGCATTTATTATCTATATACTGTATGTAACTTAAAAGAACTATTAAAGATTAAAAAAATGTGCACTTGGTTTTTTTTTTTAAGAATTTCTCTGAATGGACATTGAAGAATGACTTGCTATTTCATTACTTTAAATGTACGGCATTATCCAATCAGACACTGGCCTGACAACTTATACAACTAGCATATAAAGACGTTCTTATAGTCAATAATAACTGCTACAGATAAAACATGTTCCAAAATGAGGAAGAGTGGGCGTTTAAGAGTCTGTGGAATGCGAACAGATGGGAAGATGGCATCTTAGAAAGGCACTAGTTATGAAGATGAGCATCTCTTAATGCAAAGAAAGTCAAACCATGAAACAGATGTTCAACTGCAGCAGAAGACCAGAGCTGCTCCCTATCACTGGCCACAGGATACTGAGGCTATACAAGAAACAACCAAACTGTGTGGTGAAACTCCATGTCCTCCACAAGAAAAGAGAATATCCTACAGAGGAGTCACAATGTTCTTAGATGGGTTATTTATTGTCAACAAAAAAAACCCAACAACGCTCAAAGTGTAATTTTCCTTGTAAGTTGAACGTTTTATTCTTCACCGAGCATCTATCCGAAGTCAGACTTTATGACTTTGAAGGTTTTATCCGGTCACGGCCCTTTCAGATATTCGTTATTGCAGCAGTGTATGCTATCGCCCTGGGAGATGGGTGATGTAAAGAGTCGCGATATAGAGAAACAGAAGAAACAAGAATCCATAATACCAATGTTTTGATCCAATTGTTAAACACTAAACCCTGCCCTAGGCACTTGGTGTTTCATAGCAGTGAAATGGAAAAAAAAGAAGCCACATTTACAGGCTCACAATGAAAACCGGAGCCTCACTTTGTTCCTGCATCATTTCCGTCATTCTGCACTGGAGGGTAAAGTCAACACAACGTGCAACATATGCATCTTTAAGCCTGTGCAAAGATTTTAAAGTGCCCATGGGGTAGGGTTTAGAGACTGACTTTGTTTTCTAAATTTAGGCCCAGTCTTTACAGTTTGTCCAAATACTTGTCAAGGGGAGGAATGCCTTCTTTTAGACCTTTGCGTTTCCTAATTTCAGCAACCACCTGGAAGGCTCTGGTGGTGGCATCACTAGGGTCTCCCTGGAGAATCTGCCAGTGGTCAAAGACGCACTGAGGAAAAGCCTGGCCTCCAGTGTTGCTGCGGAGATCAGCAGTGAAGCCTGGAGGACAGAGGAAGTCAAGTGAAGACTTAAGGTTTGATTTTTTGCCATAACAATTAATGATCCATGATCCAAAAACCAAAATAGTACAACTTAGGCCTTTTTGAGGACATACAAGGTCTGATCATGAAGATCAGACTTAGTATATAGTACGCAGAATGTTAAAAGAAAAACTCACCAAAGGACTCATTGACTGGCAAGTAGGCTTTTACCACAAACATGGGAGTCCCCATCACTTGAGACTCTTCAAACACGTGACCTCGTTTCCTGTTCAGCACACCATAGATCCCGCCCACTACCTGCTCAGGACACTGTTTAGGTAGGAGGAACATAAATCAAACGCTGACTGAAAAAAGGTCTCAAGTACAGCTTAAAAGCTGAAAATATACAGTCAATTCTAATGAAAAACACAACAAGAATACACATAAAAATTAGGAACGACTGCAGTGACACAAACCTGTATCTCCACCAGATAAATTGGTTCCATGAGTCTTGGCTGAGCAGTGAGCTGACAGGCGTACAAGACACTACGAGCTGTGGGGATAATCTGCCCTCCGCCACGGTGAATGGCGTCTGCGTGCAGTGTGACATCATGTATGTCAAAGCGAACAGCACGCATGTTCTCCTCACAAAGAACCCCCTGAAAATGAACGCAACATCGAGCAGCATTTCATTCACTGTAACCTCAATTACGCTACATTTATTTCTTACGACAGATTGATTTCAACCTCTTTAGTTGCCCACTGGAAACCAGCCACTACGCTGTCCTTGATCTCGTTCAGGTACTGGACACCCTTCGTGACATCTATGAGCAGGTTGGGGCCCGTTCCGTCCGGACCGAAGCACCAGATTTTCCTGGCTTCTGTCACTTCCCATTCATACTTTTCTGTGAGGTAACGGGCACGGGCCTTGAGCTCCTGTCGGGCTGCGACACTTCCCTTCTCGATGTCTTCAGCCAGGCCGTCTGGGAAGGGACGTGCTTTCATGAAGAGACGATTGTGCTTGTTTGGAGACTTGGACAAACACAACTGGTCTGACTCTTCTGATACCGTCTCTCTGTAAGACACCACCGGGTCTGATTTCTGGAACGACATCAAGGCAAAGAGAGTTAGGATTTACACATGAATGCAGCTTTCTTCCTGCATCAACCTGATGGTCAGCTTAAACTCTAGTTCTTTTTTTTATTTATTTTACACATTTCTCTTCTCATCAGATCAACTGCATTTTCTCTGTCTACAACACTTAGTTTCAACTAAGGTGTTGGTTTAACTTCATTTTGACAAAATCTCCTTCAGCTCAGCATCAAAACTTCCACTTGCATTAATTGAATGCATTGCAATAAACTAATTCCATCTTGTTTGTGTCTACACTGTTAGTTTTGTTTTTAAATACAATATTTACCAAGAACGCAGCACAAGTAAAGTGTAGGAATACATATGTAAAGAAAAAAAAAATCCTACCATTGCACTGTTATAATAACATTAGCTAAACCGCAGCCCTAAACCTGTACAGATCTTCTCTTTATGCTTTATGAAGGTTATAAAAGGTTGTTTAGTCCATTCAGATGATCTTAGAACCTTCAGTGGAATGCAGGCATGGTCTTCCTCCAGGTCTTTGAGGCAGATCTCTAGATGCAGCTCTCCTGCTCCAGCGATGATGTGCTCCCCAGACTCCTCTATGATGCACTGGACCATTGGGTCAGATTTGGCCAGGCGCTTCAGACCCTCCACTAGTTTGGGCAGGTCTGCAGGGTTCTTGGCCTCTACAGCAACTCTCACCACTGGACTGACGCTGAACTTCATCACTCTCATGTTGTGAGCCTGCAGATATTTGTTAGTTAAAGGCATCCTTTAATAATGTGACAAGTGGTTTTGGTGTTCACCAGTTTTTTTTCCAGCCTTCTTTGTGCCACATATTTTACATTAGAAAAATCCCACAATTTATTCACTCAGTGTGAAACCTGCTCCCGTTTAGTTGAACATATAATAATATAGTAAACAACAAGCACACGGATGCTCTTCAACAGCTCTCTCCCTTTTTAGTTTTAATAGTCATCTGCTGCCACCTAGTGAAAGAGTATTTCATTGTTCTGCCTGCAACTGTCACGTTGACAATCTAAGACAGATTATTAGCAGTTAATATATAATAGTTTTCAGACCGGCTAAGAGAAACTATTCAATTTCCAATGATCTCCTACAGCAGAGTGTGAATCATCACAATAACCAGGAAATATTACCTGTTCAAAGGTGGATATAGTTCCTGTCTTGACAAGGAACTGGTCCACTCCGACAAGTCCCACAATGTTGCCACATGGGACATCTTCAATAGGCTCAACATAGCGACCCATCATCAGAATGGTCCTGAAGTTGAGAGAAGTCACACAGTACTGCACACACATTTGTTTCTTTTTATTAGTAGATTTTGAATGGAAATTCTCACCTCTGGATGGGTTTGATGAAGAGGTCTTCTTTTTTGCCAGGAGTAAAGTTTGGCCCCATGATACGTACTTTTTGTCCAGTGGACACACACCCAGAGAAGACGCGTCCAAAGGCGTAGAAACGGCCTTTGTCAGTGGTTGGGACCATCTTGGAGATGTACATCATCAACGGAGCCTTGGCGTCACAGTTCTTAACACCTTTGAAGGGTTCAAACACATTTCAGTTAAAAAAAGGTGTTCATGTCAACCGACTAAAGATGTACGGAGCTGTGGGAAACGTCACACTGACCCATGGCGACCTCGTCGTCTCCAGGACCTTCGTAGAGCAACTCACAGCGATACTTCTGCGCAGTGACGGGGGAGGGCAGGTGGATGGTGATCATCTGGAGCAGGGCGTCACCGGCAGGCAGCCAGCGACGCATCACAGCCTTCAGCAGAGGCTTACCTTCCTTATCCTTGTCCTCAGAGTCTAACTTGACGTCCAGCTTTTCAATGAGTTTGGCTGTTTCCTCCTTTCTGAAGTTCATGATGGCATCGAAGACCTGAGCAGATTATTTAGAGTATTTAGGACTGCAAATCCAAACAGTGGGACCTTTATCATCGTTCATTTAAATATTCACACTCACAGTTAGAGTGAACAATTAACAATTAACAAAGAAATCCCATAAGTCCATGGAGAATACCATACAGCAGAACTATCAGTTACCACTGGAGCTAAACTGGTAACATTCCTACTGAAAATATTAACTGATGGTTAATAATCACAATAACAATAAGGACAAAATCAATTTTTGGCCTAATTAAAAAAACAGTCAGAGCAAATTTACAATTATAATCCAGAAATCTACAGCATTCAGATGCATACTGTGGGTCAAACATGGATAACATTTTTTAAACACTATTTATCAGGTACAAAAAAGTGTTTCAGTCACCTTAAAGATGGGGTCCAGAACTAACTGACAGAAGGTGCGTGGAAGCTTCTGACCATCTGGACCAGTAGGGTTTTTACTGAATTTACCAGCACTTGGATCAAAATACCTAGGAGAACAAAACTGTTTTGATGTTAAACTGCCAGTTTCACAGATGTGAATATCAATGGAGCTGCCAACTACTAAGATTTTTGTTTGCACGAGTATCCTCATGTTTACCGGTCTCCCCACAGTTTCTTCATCATGTCCTCCACCTTCTTACACCTCTCTGCCGGTCCCATCTTAGCGTAGCTTTTAGCAGCAAACTTGGCCACGTACATCTCGGCAAACTGCTTCAAGGTAAACGCCCAGCCGTGAAGACCAGACCCAAACCCGACGGTGCCGATGACGGGATCAACCTGAGACAGAGAAGACGTGTGGTCAGTGTAAGCAGAAATGAACGTGTTGATGTTAAACATCCACTTGAATGAATGTTTCTCCAGACCCTACCATGATGCTTCCCATGGGCCCTGTTTCATCCTCTCCATAAGTGGAGATGATGACGTTGACATTCTCCACAATGCGCTGAAACGTCCGGTACAGCTCGTCCGCCTCCAGCTGCAGCTCAAGCAGAGCACGGTCCATCTTGTTCATCATCAGAACCGGTTTGATGCGCTCGGCGATGGCCTGCCGCAGGACGGTCTCGGTCTGTACACACACACCTGAGAGAGGAAAACAGAAACAAACAATTAAAAAAATCAAAAAAATGATTCATAAAAATCATCATCAGCAGCAGCAGCAGCAGAGTGTGTTTTCTTCCATGATATATGGTGTGAATACCTGAGACACAGTCCACCACCACCAGGGCTCCGTCGGTGACCCTGAGGGCGGCGGTGACCTCGGAGGAGAAGTCCACATGACCCGGAGAATCGATCAGGTTGATGAGGAAGCCGTTTCCATCTTTACACTGCTTTATGAACGCCAAGTCATTCTCTCCCAGCTCGTAGAACAGAGAGATGGCCCTGAGTCACACAGAGAGGAGTCAGGGTTATTTTTAAAACAGACTGAGGAAAACAAAACACGTTTTTCTTTAAAGGTAGAGAAACAAATACGTCAGAGGTTTAGCCTTAGGGCTGATGATGAAGTCAGAAGATGATAAAAAGTAAACATGTTGGTTGTTGTTGACAAAAGACTTATTGTGCACCGAAAATACATTTAGGAGGCTTTTTTTATTAAAAAATGGCAAAGTTGTTCAATAACATCAACTATCTCACCTCAGATCAACTTTTTCAGTTTTGGAAACAAGTTCTGGACTAACATTTAGTTGTGTTAATTAATGTGTAGCAAAAGCTGCTAACTAATGTATAGCAACTCTTGCTAGCTTTTACTTTTTCCTTGTTTACTGCTTTGCTATCTAGTCTTTTGGCCAATTCAAACTTATTCTAGTCTATTTGTAACCAATGATTGACATTCCTAACTTTCTTGTTTATACATTTTTATCCATTGATATTATAAAATACTGGGGAAGTAGGAGCTGTTTCCAAATGTCCTCCTCTAACGCTGAAACACATACGTGGACTTGATGGTGATGCAGCGCTCCTGCTCATCTTTACGTGTGTCTGTGAAACGTGTCTCTCCAGCACGAGCAGAAGCAATGATTCCCGCCTTGGACACCAGGGAGTCGGTCAGTGTGGACTTGCCATGATCCACGTGTGCAATCACGGACATGTTCCTGATGTTGGACTTTTTGTCCATGATGGCACGGATCTGGTCTACAGTGAAGTTCACCTGGACACAGAGGTGGGACAACAGTTGGGGATTAAATGCGGGCAGTGATGCAGCATTGATCTAATTACGAGCTGGGGGGTTTGTTTAATTCATCAGGAGGTGATTTATTTCTGTCCACTACCAGAGCTGAGCTGCAGTTCCAAGTGGAGTTATAAAAGGAAAAGCATGTTTGAAACTGAATCCATCAGCTCGGCTGTGGGGGGAAAGACGGAACCTCATTAGACTTTACCAACAGGTTTCTGAGGGGCAACGGGAACAGAGGAGTGACTGAGTCATCATGCTGCAGCATTACACAACGAGGAAGGGTGGAGAACACTTTGGTTGTAAAGAACTATGACACTTGTTATTGCATGTTTAATAACAATATCTATAAGTAAATGATAGTTGCTGATCTTTTCGCTTTAATGGTAATCATTTGTAATTTAATAAAGGGAATCTGAACTACCAACCCTGAACATGTAAGAATGTGGGTTTGATTGGAAGACATTTAAAATCAGTCCAAACATGATTTAAGGCTCCGTTGGCTGGCTTCTTGGCTTCCATAAAAATATGAGCATTGAAAAAATTTTTTGATGTGTTATAGGCTCCGTTGGCTGGCTTCTTGGCTTCTTGGCTGCCATAAAAATATGAGCATTGAAAAAAAATGTTGATGTGTTACGTAAAACTTTAAAATAATTTGCATTGCTTTTTTAAAATAAAATGATGTATACTTTATAAATAATCAATGGAAAGTGATTAGATTAGTTTATTAAACACAACAACTATTTACAGTTAGTAGTTAGTTCAATAGTTTAACAATGGTTTAAGAAGTTTGAAGTGGTGTACATTTTAATTTCTTGTTAATTCAATTTCTTGTTTGGGTGTTGCTGCCCAAAAAAGGTCAAAAATAATAATAATAATAAAATGATTCTGGAACTCTCCACGTTCAATAACAGCTGACAGGATGAACATAGGGTTCATTCGAGGACAGTGATGTAGACACTGCAGCTCACTGACTATAACGACGTTTATAATGACGGTACAATACACATATGTATGTATGTATGTATAAGGTAACACTGAGTAATGAAGTGGATGGTCCGTTATCTTTAGGGTAACTGCCCAATCAGCAAAATCAGCAGCGTCAGATTAAGACTGGACGTCATAGTGGAGCAGCCACAGTTTAGGCCACAGCCCTGCGCTACCGACACGGGGGCGCGCACACATACACTAACACACACACGCACGCACACAGTGAAGCTTCATCTGATCCGTGCCTCACATGCACACACACACACCTGTCAGGCTGTGACGCTGTGATAAATAAATGGCCCAGTAAGACGAATGAGCGGCTAACTCTCAATATATTATATATAACTATTCCCCTCATGAACGTCGATAAACTCACCATTGTGTCTGTAGCTGGTCGGTGTTCGTCTGTGATGGTGCTGTTTATTATAGGGCTGTTCTCACTGCCTCTGTGCAGACAGGCAGTCCTCCTGTCCCGTTGCTGCTGATGCGGCTGCTGCCGTACAGTGGTGAAGGAACGAGGCTAGAGCAGCAGGGGGCGATATTAAACCAAAAGCCTGGCCACGGATCACATTTCTGTGAATGTTGGAACACTGCTGCACAGATTGGAGGTGGGGTGAAAATATGCTGACATTATTCTGACTCTTGGTTCGCTCTTGGTTTTAAAAAGCTTGTCTGACAGTATTTTTCATCTTCTCCCTCTCCTCTGCCATTGGATGATACTGATAATGAAACTGCTGCAGATTTCTTCATCATAATTAGATAATAAAAAATGTAAATGGCTTGACTTGGGTTTTAATCTAATGTAATAAATAACATTTTGTTTGTTGTATGTACTCATGCGCATTAGTAAGCGTGTTGTTACACTTCTATTCCAGCTGAGGGCAGTGCAGAACCGAGCATCTGGAAGAAGCTGACTTCACACATTGAGCTAAGAGTTCGGGGAAGGAGAGTGTAAAGTGTTCGTCCTGGCATCGCACAGACCGCTGATTTAGATGCCTTATATATTCCCCAGTTAACTCATTTCTGTTCGCTTAGAGAAAAATCCATTTGATTCCTCCTGTCCATATTGGGCCCTAATGAAGACAGAGGACAGAGGTCAGAGGTGAAGTTAACTGTTGCGGTGGAAAACCTGATATATTTTTAAAATACAATTCAATAATTCAACATTACAATTATTGTCATGTTGAAGTGATTTTCCAATAGACATGTTTTTTGCCTTGGGTGGAATATATATATATATATATTTAATAGTACTACTACTACAACTACTGCTACTACTACAACTAGTACAATTAAATTTTTATGATTAACTCCCATCCTGTAATAATAATAATAGACTTAAGAACATAAATAAAACAGAGTTTACCACTAGTAATGCTGATAAACCGTAGATCACAGGAGGGGTGGGATGTTGATCAGTATTGGACTGGGACTGGTGTCATCAGGTCTCTCAACCAATGAAATCCATTGGGGTGGACCCAAGACTACTGCAGAGCTCACGTGAACAAAAAAAAGTAAAGTAAACAGATGAACATATTTCACAGATGCAATATTTATAACATAACATATATTTATAACATAACATTTATTTATATTATTATTATTATTGTTGTAGTTTTTAACAAAGTTTCTCAGTGGTTGATTTTCCTACAGTGTAATTGTGATTAATTTAAATGATCTGCAAAGCAGTGGTGGTAATTAATTTCCATTGATATAAATAATGTATTTATTAGTTTAAAATCACACTGTGTAAATGTGCAACTTAGATGAAAACATCTGGTACACTTACATCAGTCAATCATTTCTGACTCCATGTCAGCAGAACCCCCTCCTGTCATTTTAATACCAGCGGCACTGTCACTTTTCCAACGGCGGCGCTGACCTACTAAAGTGGTGATGCTCACAAAAGATGCAGTTTGTCTCCAGGCCTGTGATCAGATTTCTATCCCGTCAAAAGACGACGCTGCACTACACAACACTTATTATAGTGTCATATAAAATGTGATGTTTCCTTGAAGCTTCCTCTGTGGGGTGCTGGCTGTCAGGTCTGCAGCATGGAATAAAAACACCATCTTGTATTAGTTTCCTTCAGTCAACATCTAAAAACTAGGACATGTAATAAAACGGTGTCTACTTTGAAAACGGGAGAACATCATATAGGGTGTTGTTTTATTACAACAAGTGTAAAATTACACTCTGGTCATCTTTTCACTATTCAATAATTAATACATTTATTTAGCACAGGAAAATTATTAACGAACACGTGTCGCACTGCTCCTTCGGTAATTAGATTTTTTTTGTTTGTTTACTTTTTGTTCTTTTTTTTCCTCCAAATTTCTTCCGACCCCTTAGCACCCTCTAGCGGCACCCACTTTGACAACCACCGCTTTAAAGGGCAAAATCTGTAAAAAGGTATGTTGTCTATAATGAAAGCAAAACTGCAAAAATATAACTAAATGTCACTAATAAGGGAAAAAAACGGGATTGATTTGTTTAGGCTGGGAAAGGGCTGATAGAATAAAAGGTTCAAAATGTCATTTTTATATGTAGTCGTTGGAGTCATCAAAATCCACAGCTTTGATGTCTTTGTGAAATGCTGACACTGGTCTGATGAGATTAGACTATGTTGATCTATAAAGGGATACAGATAGAACATTGATGCATGGATAGTACTGTATATATAAGATGGTACAGACAGAAAAAACAATGTAAATATTAAAAATACCCATCCCCAGCCTTCTGATTACTAAGTTTAAAGGTCTTTATTCATAACATAATTTGCATAAAATAATGACATGACAACCTGGGAGTGGGCTATATTGTACAGGCACCTGCACGTACGTTTGGTTGTTCAGCAGTGATGCTGGATTCAGCCTCTTAGTGGTGGACACGTGCCGCAGTGTTGTGAGCAACCTACTTCAACCCACACCACGCTGAGAGTGCTTTCATTTCTCCTACATATGTGTCACATGGGGAATTTCCAGCCAGCTGCTGGCAGAGGAGCTTTTATACACATCAGGTTTATCACTCAGATAAGAGGCTCTGACACGCATTTTCACGGAACAATGATAACTTGCTGAGTGCAGGGGCAAGAAAACACAATGTTGAAAAAACAACAACACAGCTTATTAAACTTTGGTCTCCGTTTTCACAAAATCCGAGGTGACTCGCTAAAAAGTTACAGTTTACACTTTTCAAAAATATGGGAAAAAACTAAACTGAAGTTCTATCTGTACTCTTCTCTGACCTGAGATTAGATCACATTAATTATTGTGTATTTTTTTTATCACTTAGAATGAATGACTTGAGCTGCTCCACAGTAAAAGGTCGTAATCTAATTCTCCGCCTTGTTATATGCCAGCCTTTTTTAAAAGGGGGCAAATCAGGACTTCAGGCAGGTCAGGTAAGCACTTTGACAGATTGTGTTCAAACCTATGCAGCGTTTGACTGCAGCAAGACTCAGCACTGTCAGGCTGACAAATCTGTGAAGTCCCCGTACTGAGTGTCTCTGTGAATTTCCAGCCTCTACGTCACGGACGCTTCTGCACCAAATGCAAAAACCAAGACCAAGACCATGCATATTTAGCAGCAGGTTTTGGAACTTTCTAGAACTACTTGAATCTTTTTTAAATATTACTTCCTGATGACAGTGATGCTCTTTTTCTATTAAAAATATTAAAAGAAGAAAACAGCTGTATTATTATTAATAATTCACTGGAAAAATAGGTACAAAGTGAGGAGGTATGAGTCATCGCAACAGTACCATCAAGCACACACGAGTACCAGTGAAACCGCCCCTCCTTCACTGGTCAAGATCACTTAAAGAAAGACATTTTAGTTGTTTTGCAGTTTGGTGAAATTCACCTTCTCTGCTGAAAACCTTTTTAAATAAAATGTGAAATAATATTTGTTCCTCCTTCAGCAGAGCGGTGCCTCTTCCACCAGCATCCATTAATATGGAAATGTTCTCCCTTCTCTACCCGGTGTGTATCTGTCTCACTCATTTCCCATTTGTATACATTTCAGTAAACAATTGCGGAGCGTGTGACAGTATACGGTGCTGAGAGCGTGACTCTTCCCCCTGGTCTATACATCACTGTTGATCGCAGCGTCATCACTTTCTCCCAGCACAGTTTTTCTGTTCAGCTAAGCCCAGCATTTTCTCTCAATTTTACGCATCTTCGTCTGAGAAGTTTGTGAACTTTTTCTGACAAAGATTTTTCTTTAAAAAAGAAAACAAACAAAATCTCACTAAGGTTTGTTTCTGCCGCTGTGATTTCATGAAATACAGCAAGCTGCTTTGAAGAAAATGCAGCCTTCCCTTTAACCCTGAACAAAACCACATGTTGATGTTACTCCATGTAAACACACATCTGAATGGAGGCAATCACATCAATAAATAATTAAAAATGTGTGCAATTACCGAGCAATTATCTGCTCGGGAACAGATTCTAGGTATTTAGACATGTGTTAAATGTCCTGGTTAGATAACAGCTGCACGCAGAGTACTTTGAATCATTCTAATCTGGAGATAGAACAACAGTAAAGATAGTGGACCTTTGCTGCCATGCAATTAGGAATATTACAGTGCTGATAATAGTGGACTCTCTGTCCAGTGAGAATCGTGTGCCTGACAAATGACATAACAGAGGGATCCACAGTGTCCGGCAGATTCCATTCACAACCGTTGCTTTCTCAGAAGAGGATTTCATAACATTAAAGGTTAGAATTGTAAACACTCTGGGAAAGTCAACATGAGGTGTATAATTAATGTCTGTCTCCACAGGGTTAAAATCAAAGTTCAAAACTGATTTACATCCAATCAAAAAAGATCAAAAAACAAAACAAGTGGAACCCCCGCCCTCTTCTTTATAGGTTTTTGCTCTGAATGTCTCTCTGTTGTGTCAGTTTAAGTTATGTTCTGTGTTAGCTCAAAGTTAAGAGTCTGACTTGAGACTGCAGAGCCCCTTCTTGTGCTTCTTGATGTGCTGCCTTCACCCTCATCGGTAAGGGCAACAATGACCCAGGGAGAAGGACATTAAAAGCAGGAGGGAAAAAAATGTACCAGATCTCAGTCTGCTTTGAGTTGACTGATGAACTGCAAGATGTCAAAAGACAGAATTGGCTTCCACAGAAGGACAGCCACGAAGTGACTTTCCCCAGATGTGTTCTGTTGTCCAGGAGTGAGCGGAAGGACATCAGTGGACCTGATATTTATGGTGAAAAGGAGAAACGGCCTAGTAGTAGTTGTTATTTTTCCCAACCTGAGGTGAATATAATCGCTCCTCCATTATAGAATTCTCTCCCTGTGGTGATAATCGATCAGTTGAGGCCTTTCTGCCTGTGTTACTGCTGCTACAACATGCTGTCAAAATAAAGTATGTACTTGAAAATAGCACTAGCTGTTGTTGATGAAGAAAGACACATACAAATGTAACAGCTAAAAGCTAATAATTATGATCTGTTTTTAGCAGACAGCTCATCAGCAGTCACAAATATTGAGAAAATGTTCCCTGTGTTAGAAATAGATGAAAAAGACAAGGAAACTGTTGACAGTCTGTCTGGGTTTAAGACAAAGTAGGCGAGTTTGAGGAACATTAGCAGCCTCATCAATACATTTCATTCTTTAACTACTGCTTATATTTCTTCTGTCGAGAGTGGTGTTAAACATTCTGTTGATAAACAGAGAATATTTCACAACGGACAATCAGTTTGCTAACTCTAACACTGTTGAAACTGTGCCTTTTGTCTCAAAACATACTCAAAATATCCTTTCAAGTGCAAAGCAACATACCAAAGCCATTGACAATGAGACACCGACCCAACAAGTTTTTAGCCCAGCTACCTGCCTGTACTTTATGTGACCACATTGCTGTCATTTTTGTCAATTTATTTTCAAAAGAAAGAAAAGTTTGATTTGACCGAGCACTGTTTAATTTATGCAGGTAAAAGTGAAACGGCCTTGGTGCCAATGTTCTCTCTCCCCCTCTTTTCTCATCCCAAATGAACACAGGTGAGTGGCCTCTTCCGAATGATCTGGAGAGAGGTATAAGAAGAGCGCCACCTGCAGCTTTTGCCTACCGTGCCACTTTGCCTATGATTACAGTAGCAGCGTGTGTCGCCGGAGATTGAGTTTGGTACAGAGTGATACTCAGTCCTGAGATTGATCATTTATGTCAGTTATGTCAACCTCGTCCTTTAGTTTCCAGTGCTGTGACTACTTTGGTTTTTATTTAAACCAATAATAAAACACTTGCATTTATTATAATTTCTGTCTTCACCTCATGTTCTCATCACCTGGACAAAGCCGGAGACGTGACAACCAGAAAAAAAGTTCAGCAAATATATTTGGAAAATTAAAAGGAAAAAAGTTTCACCAGAACTGTTTTGGATTTTTTAACTTCTAACTGAATCATCATAACACATTATTCACTCCGTTGATAATGACAGGCTCCTAATAATTCAACCTATAATCCTGCCAGGAAAAATATGGACCATCGCTCATCGAGTGAGACCTTTAGAAAAGCACAGTCATCCCACTCCTCCACCCCCAAGTCCCCCCAGTGGTGGATTGCTACTTGACATCTAGTGCCTGAGCTTTACAATTAAATGCAGTGACCAAAAAGCACAGCCGAAGCTGACCCAAATCTGCATCATTACTCAGAGTTATACTTTATGTCGAGCAAAATAAAAAAAATGTTATTCTCATTGCCACATTAGTAATTCATGTTGTAAAAGTTTAACAGGATAATTATTTCTTAGCTTCAAAGTGGCTAAAACAATAACATGGCTCTAATTTGTTTTTCTTTCTTTAACTCAAATCCTGTCTCGACTGCTGACGCTCAGACTGATCTTGCTGATTAAGAGCTGAGTTTTACATCATTTTCTGTGAAAAGGTTTTCTTTATTTATAGACTGATGAACTGTTATTGACCGATGCACCTAAAGTGTGACTCTGTCTCTGAATTTACTTTGGAAGCAATTAAAAATGAGTCACAAATCAATGCAGTTCAATCCAAAGTCAAACGAATGTGAAAGCGCACAGTGAGTCAATCCTCACACATGATGAAACTGAACGTCAATCTACAGTTCTTGTGACTAATCAATCTATCAGTGACTGCGGTGATTGGCCCGCTGGGCCGTCTCCGTAGAGCTGGGTTGGACAATGATCACCTGAGGTTGAGGTAATGATCTTGTGTCATGCAGCATTTCAACTTTTGCCCTTGAAGCAGATACAGATCTGACTGTGGAGCAACAGAGGATTGGCTGTGTTCTAACTCCCACTGGATAGTTCTCAGTTTCATATGCTGCTGCTGCGTAGACGGTGGAATTATGACGTTGACAACAGACAAGGTAAGGCACACAATGTTTTCGTCAAAATATCACAGAGTCACTTCTCCAGTTCAATCAAAAAGCCATTAATGAGGCCATTCTAAAAGACTAATAATGAGATGTAGGCTGTTTATGTAGTAAACTACTCCCTGTTTGAAAAGTTGATTGTCTGTGGGAGCCAACTTTGTCCCAGTTTTCATTGACTTGAAGCTCTAGTCAAAGGCCACAGGGTGGAGTGCCCAGAATCTGGAGTTCTTTCTTAATTCTTTACAGCTCTGGTGAGTAGCAGAGTTTTTGGCAGGGCCATTCAGAAGGAAAGCGGACTGCCACAGCTTTTTGTGAAATATTTATGTTTTGGTTTTTTTTATAAAGTGCTTTGTCTCTGTAGCTGGAGTGTGTTCTCATGTACTGGTTCAAAATAGCTCCAATACAATGTGTTAGCAGAGGAGCAGTAGGAGGTTATCAGTATTTTTTTTTTCTTGAAAACTGTTTGGGGTTTTGCATCATGGGCTGATGCAGACAAAACTACAAACAAAAAGAGGGCAACAAGGGAGAGGCACTGATTTAGGTTCTCACTTTAAAGTAGATTTACTTAGTCGACTTTAAAAAGACTACACTGCTGTTCATCAGTACCAGCAAAAGAGTCCTACAGAGACTAGGTAGACTGGTTGTCTTAGTTGTTTAGAATACATTGGGCATTGTCTGTACACATGCTCAAAATATTCATCCAAGTGCTACACAACATCAAACATGTTCTAACAAGACAAATCTGTTGGCATTTTATATAATCTTTGTAGAAAAAACAGTCTTGTTAAGAAGACATTTTTGATTAGTCACAAAAAACATGTAACTGTCAGACTAACCCTAACTGTTCCTGTACCATTGTCAGATGTCAAAGTTTCGGTTGAAGAAGTGTAACACTGCTGTAATTGCTCCTGTATATGGATAATATAATTTCTAGAAATCCTCCACGTGCCTCCTAGTGCCTTCTATTTCTGTGCCATGATTACCTGCAGTATTCACTGGCTAACAATGCATTAAACAAAGCTACACGTGACTCGCTGTGCTCTTGTTTTTTTACCATTGACAGTACTGTGTGATCAGTTATAACAGAATATTAACACATAGCATTAGCCAGGTTCTCCCCACATGTGTATTCTTATTAAAGCTGACATCCAAAACTCCTTTTTTTTCTCAGAAAGTCACCTGTTCTTTTCAGGTCCACGGTGAACTGGACTTCAGTGACCTCCTATTTAGAAACCCTGATGGAACCAGTGGTTACCACAGTAACCAATCATGTTATTTCACAATTCCTGAGGTGAGAGTGCAGTGATGAAATCGCAAGCACACTTTTCCTCCAAAAATCTCATTATAAATGTGTGCCGGCTCTGTGTGATCTGGGATATTTGGCCGAACACAAAGATATCTCTCTGACAATTTCACTCTCTTTTGTGCGACTGAAACTGCAACAAGAGCTAAATATTCTCAAGCAAATGAGCTGAATGTATCTCCTGGCTCATGTGAAGGGATATGATTTTCTGATTAAGTCACTTCTAAGAGTCTCGCGTAATCAAGTACCGTCCGCCTCTTCAGATCCCTAACCCTGAGGGAAGTTCTGCTGCTGATGACTTCCTCGACACCCTGCTGCGAGGGAGTGACTCTTCCTCGGCTCCGGCTTCCCCCCTGTGGTCACCCAGCACCACCGACAGTGGAATCAATGAGGAGCCCACGTCTGAATCCACTGAGAGCCCTCACCCTTCTCGCTGCACCGCTGTCCCTCACTTTAACGCACCGATTTTCTCTCAGCCTCCACCTGTGGAGACACAGCTGCCACCAAATGGAGCTGTGGATCAAAGTAAGGCTAAACCTGCTGTAGCAGCAGCGTGCTGGAATCTTTGCACTCCTAATATATGTATACTGGTTGGATGAATTTTTAATTATTATCATGAGGGCTATACCTTCAAACTATTTAGAAACAAATGTCTATTATATGTCAGAGTTAAAACAGCAGTGTTGTTTATGTTTAATATTTGACAATGCTCTTGATTTAGGGATGTCCGATATTAGCATATTATGTAACATCTGTAACAATTGTTGTCGTTTTTCCTCCAATAATGAAAACCCCCGATAACGCAATGCCTGAGTTACGCCAAATGATGCCCTAAAAATTGTTTTGTGGATAAACGGCTGCATATTAAAGCGAGGGTCACTGGATGGCAGTATTGTAACTCATCAACAGTGGTTTGTACAGATAAATAAATATTACCATATTTAAAAAGTTAATATCGGACATCCCTATCTTGACTGTTTTGTTTTTTTATTTATTTGAATTGCAGTACCAATCTTACCACTAGTGGCCTTCGTTTGACACATTTTACACAGTGCAGTTCAGCTCTACAATGAATTGAGCCCCTAGTTCCAAATATACAGATGAAGACGTCAGTGCAAGAATCATCTATTAGTAATTTGTTTAGTAGAATAATGGTTGCCAGACAACAAGCAGAGCGTCCGCTCTCAGCCTCAGTTATCCAACATATTTATCCAATTTTCCATCATAAAATATCACAATAGGTGCAATTTTCCTATATAACGTGAAAGAAATATTAAAAATGATTATTACTTGCCAGTGCTTCTAAAACAAAAAGCTGAACTAAATTTTCATCCTGCCAAAAGCTTCACACAGAGACATATATATTTTATAGCACAGATTGTATAGAACAGCAGGGCAGTGTTGTCATGGGGGTTGGGAGGGTACAAGATGGGAAGCAACCTACATATTGTGTGCTCCACGTGAACGGTGCATGGCAGCAATTTTGTGAACAATCTCCTACTGAAAAAGTCCTACTGTTTGACTTTTTTCTGAAGGCTGGGACTCAGACAACGTACGTGAACATGGGATTTCATATTACCTTACCACAGGCCATGCGTTGTCCAATCAGACGCTCACAGTGAAGGACCTGTTGTTGTCCAATCTGGGACAGAAGGTAAGGAGAAAATAGACAATATTTCAAAATTAAAATCGTACAACTGATTGTCAAGGATTGATGTTGTTGTGTGGGTAAACGGAACAGTATCCACGGCACTAATCATTCAGGGAGTGACTTTAATTCAAATATTCTCTGTACTCTGTTCATAGACGCAACAAATCTCGCAACATCCCCTGCCAGAGCTTGAACTTGACGAGGATGAAAAGATTCTTCTGGCTAAAGAAGGCGTGAAATTGCCCAGCAAACTGCCCTTGTCTAAGGTACATGAGCAAACCTGTACACCAAGTAGGGCATATGTAAAAAAAAAAAAGAAAGAAATCTCGATCCTCACTTATACAAACAACCCAACTCCTAATATAGTTCCTGCCTCACTCTGTTCTTTCTCATTCTTTTTTTTCTTCCTGTCTCCTCATATGTCAAGTTTGAAGAGAAGGTTTTGAAGAAGATACGGCGGAAAATCCGAAACAAGCGCTCAGCTCAGGAAAGTCGAAAGAAGAGGAGGGAGTATGTAGACAGTTTAGAGGAGAGGTAAGAGCTCTCTGCATCCTCAATCAATATGGTATTCTAGAAAGTTTTTATTGTCGTTTGGACAACAACAACAACAATGCTGTAGGCACTAGGATATTGCAAAAAAAATTTTTTTGTTAAACGAAATTAATTAAAAATGAAAAGGTTTGTTAAAATTAATGAATAAATAAAAAATACATTTAATAAATAGCTAATTTTCTCAGATACTGGCTTAACTAAAAACTGATGGAAGGGTTCACAATTGTCAATCTTAGTGCTATCAACTCTAACATCCTTTCTTACAGTCTGTACCTACCTTGAACAAAAAACCTTTCCAGCAACTTCACAGTCAGAACCTTTGGCCTAAAAAAGACAGAAGTAAGTGTTGGTTATCTGTCAGAGCTGACGGAACAAAGCCGAAGTTTACTTTCTGAGGCTTCCCAGCACTGTACACAAACGTTAATTGATAGAGCAGGAACACTGCTTCAAAAACAACTCAGTGGGAACAGACAGATACGGCTGTTGTTCTCTGACTGAACAAACACAGGACTGCTTCTGTATTGATTCGCTAGTGTTTTCATTATTTTTCCAACAGGATCAACAGCTGCAGTTGAGAAACTGTGGAGGTGTGCGCTGGCCCAGGCTATTGAAAAAAATACAGACAAAAAACATGCAATAATAGATAGCAAAAAAGAACTAGTAAATGCTAAATTCTCTTAAACACAGTACTAAAAATATGTTACTAAATTAAAAACTGAAAATATCAAAAGTCATAAATATATATTTCATTACCTTAACGTCCAAAAACGGAGGCATTAACTCAAAGGGTCATCTCCTGATGACCATTATCACCTATTTTCCTCCAACCTGGACCAGTATTGACCACAACGTAGGTGTGCCAGCAGAAGGAAACACATTCCTAGTAACTCAGAACACACACCTTTTAACTGAATATATTGAAAGACAGTTAAACATAGTCGTACAAATGCAGTTTTCTAAAGCTCCCCAACACATTGTAAAGTGGATTTCAGATGCATTAGAACCACGTGTGACCCACATTGGAGTTAACTTGGGAGTAAAGTTAACAAAGAGTCAGGAAAACTCGTGCACTGTACAAAAACCACAGGTATACTAGATTCTGATCCAAAGAGCTAAATAAAGCATATGCTGCAGCTCGTGTGAAGAACGTGTGTTTTTGCTCAGGGGAGTTTAGTGGTTAGTTTAGTACAGCTCCTGCTCTTCCTCTCTCTTCTGCCTTCTCCAGTCTGTGAGTAATGAGTGTTACGCTACAAACCCATGAAGCTTTTGTCACCAGATTTATTAATCCTGTCTGCCAGCCCCACAATGACTTCTCCCTGGCGCTCCTCAGTAAACCATGCAGCAAGGAAGAGACAGGGTTATATTTCAGATGATGAAAGTCTTGTTGCAGACAGGACTAACTTTTTTCCCTTTGTTGAAACCCTTTGAAAGCGCCGAGTTTTTGGAAGGCTGCTTGATCTTTCTCAGTGTCAGATGGTGTGCTCCTTGGACCGGTGGGCCACGGCAGTTACAGTAATGATTAATGAGAGAAAAAGCATAATCTCAGACACTGTGAAACTTTATTGGATCATGACTACATCTAAAACATCTGAGGGGCTGAGAAAGAGTTTAAAACCATCTACAGATAAAACGGAATCGGCTAACGTTAAGGCTAACTTCAAGCTGCTCAGGATTCAGGCTCTTATTGGAGACTTGTATTAACTCATACTGACCACACGAGCACGTGAGATGGCAGCAGAGGAACAGAAGAGAGAGCCAGTGACTCTACGACACAATGGCCCTGAGATAACATTCAGCAGACGGATATTGGCGAGGAGGAGGAATGGGGGGAGCAGAGTGTGAAAGCTCAATAAGCTGTAATATTTGATGCTGTTTTCTTCTCATTTTTATTACGGCCTCTCATTCACCAACTTCCTCCCCCAACAGGATGTCGGCATGCTCCGCACACAACCTGAAGCTGCAGAGAAAGATCGAGCAGTTGGAGGAGACCAACACGTAAGCGCTTCAATGAGTCTGCAACTAATGATTCTTTTCAGTATTCACCGACGATGTTCTAATGTGGGTGTATGAATTAAAGAAGTAGGGATGAAATATTCACAGCAGTCAGATCAGAGTAAGTCTAGAGATATTAAAATTGCAGAGGTATATAACTAGGAGAGGTCAGCAGTATCTGACATCTGAATATTGGCATCATTGTACGTCTTCTGTTTTTAATGGGTGACAATAGAGGACGACAGAGAGGAGTGTAAGACAGTAAGACGTGTGGTGCTAATTTGACTAATCCCATTTCTGGGTAATATACGGTAATTTACAAACCTCAATTAAGAGCTCGGCTTATTTATTAACAGTCCCCAAATCTGCTGTGAAGAGAATGAGGAGTAAATAATGTCACAAATCGTTCTTGTCTTCAGGCGGTAACAGTAGCAGTTTACTCATATTTATCAGTAGCTGTTGACAGCAAGTGCTGTCAAGTGGTTAGCTGTTGACAGCAAGTGCTGTCAAGTGGGTTTTAAACAACAGTGGTCAGACTAATTAATAATAGAACAGTGGTTTGTTGACTTTAATTAATAATAGAACAGTGGTTTGTTGTTCTATTATTAATCTAGTTTCACAAGAGAAAATAAAAAAGCAATGAGGTGGAGAGAAGAGTAATGAAAGTCGAGGGACGCGAGACAAAAATCTAGCCGATAATAAGTGAGAGCGAGGCCCAGTAGAAAGGTGAAGATGTGAGGAATCAGAAAAGTAAAGTTGGATGAGTTCAAAAACCTGAGCTCGACCACAGTTACAATGAAGGTGAAGATGGTGGAGTTTTAAGACGTTGAGATTTTTAGACAGAGCGACCGACATGGACCGAAAGAGAAATGATCATAGAAGAGCAGCTCAGGTTGAACAGGATAGGCTAAAGATTAGAGACAAGGATGAGAAGTTTAAGATGGATGGATGGATGAATAGAGAAAAAGAAAAAACTATGTGGTAAAATGGCAGCTGCACAATGACAGAACAGTTGTGGAAGACAACCATTGTACTGGTAAAGCAGTGCCAATAACTCACATCACATTTCTTCGGAGTAAATTAAACATTCCGTTTGTTGACTTATAAAACAGAGCCCACGTTCGTAATGCTTTCTGTAGTATTTGAATATCTCAGTGTCATCTTTTAGTTTGCTTTTATCACTGTTGTTTTTCTTCTCATGCCTTTACTTTATTATGAGTCGTGCCTAAATTAGCATCTTCCTTTTTTGCCTTTGTCGTCTCCTTTCAATGATCTACATTGATTCTACCCTCAGGGCAACCCTTTTAGAAACACAGACAACCTTTTTATGAAAACCTGCTACTTTCAACAAAAACTGCCAGTATCTAAGAAGCCTATCCAAACTTAAAATCCTGACACAGTGTTATCTGGCTCCGCTCCCTCCTCGTCCTCCTATCTCATTAGGCTTCTTTCTTCTCCCATCCAGGCTTGCAGAGAGCTGCAGCCAAATGAAACAAAACGTAGGAAGAAGCTGCAAACGCAACCCCCCAGCCCCCTCCCCTGCGCACCCCTCTCCTTTATGCTGCCAATGAACAATGATGCCCCCCCTCCATTCCCCTGTGAAAAAGATTTGACAGTCTCTTTCATCTTTCTGTCTGTATTTATACTGCAGTGCACTGTTGGAGCAGCTAAACCAGCTACATGCTCTTCTTTCTAGTAGCTCTGGCAAGACGTCGCACAGAGGGACCTGCATCCTGGTGAGATGGATACCATAAAATTATCACATGATGTTCCACTTTCAAGTCAGGGGTGAAGATACCGTCTCCGTCTCAGATGAGATTTATGGTTTCCACAGTACGACAGAAAATCTATTGTAAATAAATCTCTTTTGTGGGGACAATAACATTAAAAACAAATACAGTGATTTCACGACACATTAACTGTTAAATATGGTCACATAAATATGACACACTCTAAAAACTTTTTCTTCATTCTAACTGATGCTAAAAATGACTTATTACGCAACACACCCACCAAAGACTAATGACCACATTTGTTAACGATGCTGATGGAGATGGTTATGAAAAATTCCATGGAGCAAATAGTGACATTACACTGAACTGAGCTTACCTCCAAATAGTAGTAGGTAGATCACTGTCATCGATTTTGACAGACAATAGTTTAGTTCAATTGTATTATTATGCAATTGAACTAAAATACTTGTTCAACAACATTTTGTCTCCTTTTTTTTAAATTCATATGTTGTGCAAATAAGTGTGAGCTGTTGACACCACAACATTTCCTTTCCTTCTACTTTTCTTTTTCTCTGTGTTGGCTCTGTTTTTGTCCTGTGCCGTTTCTGTTTTGTCTGCTTGGCCTGATTTGGCCCATTTTCTTCTTGCTGTCCTGCATTTATGTACAGGTTTTGCTGCTCTCCTTATCTCTGCTTGTATCATCAAATCTGCAGCCAGAACCTTACAGCCAACTCAGCCAGGGAGAGTACACAGAGGCCAAAGGTTTGGAAGCATGTGAATAACTTTCTGTTCTGACACACACACGTCAACAAACAAACACTCGGTGATACCTCTCTGTGTTCATGCTTCTCAGTGCTCTCACGCTCCCTGCTGTCAGTGGATGAAACACAGGATGTCCATCCAGAGGGACCTTCTCCTGCGTCTTCTCGGCTCTACATCTCAAGGAGCTTCGAAGTCCTCAGCCGTCTCAACGAAAACCTTTGGACCTGGACAAAAGCCCATACGGTGGTGATCCGATCTTCAAATCCCCATGATTTCAGACATCCAGATGATCACTGATCTTCTCAGGACCTTCAGGAGGAAAGACAGTAGAAAAGAAGTGCAAACACGTTTGCAAACGCAACTAAATTAGCAGGTTTATTGCTTTTTTCTTTAGCATCTGCATCTCACTGCAGAGACCGACAGGAGTGTTGTTGTGTGTCCACTCACTGCAACACAACAACCAAGAGAGGTTTCACACTGAAATGTACTCCTTCAGTAAGGTCGGCCAAGGTCAGTGCAGTGGTTTTCTACAGAGATTGAATATTTCTCTATTCTCATCTTGTGAGCATCAGCAAATAGAAGAATATCTGCGGGACCACGCTGTATTATTGCCGTTGTATTCATTATTTAATATGTTTTTAAATAACAAAGGCATGTATTCACTGCCTATCAAAAAATATCTCTGGCAGAAATAAAAAGATTTCTCGAAATTTTAGCTTTGTATTGCTGTTTTTGTTATGGAGGTAAAAGGTTTTTTTCAGCCAGACTGAGAAGTTTCCTGGTTTTATTTGGCCTTCAATCCACATTTGTCTCCATCAACAGTGTTTTGTGAATCATAATGAGTAAAATCAGACTGCCCCTGACCGTGGAGTGAGGTGAGTCTGACTGTGGCCGAGGGGTGTAATCTTTCTGTTCAAGCATTTTTTATAGTTTGAGGCAGAATTATTTAAATAAATACAATTAGGTTTTTCGGTGAAGATACTCAGAACACTGTTTGTCATTTTACTAAAGAGTAATGTTCCTGTGCCTTGAGGAATGCTTTATTGCATTTTCAAGAAACCAAGAATTTGGTGTTGTTTGCTTTTTCAGCAAACATTTTTCTTACTGAAAACAAAAAATTGTATTTTTCTGCTGTGCCCTAAGAAACATGATGGTAAAAATGTATATTACCTGAACATAGGGTCATTTCTCAGAAGAATATCCACTGTTTTCATCCTCGTCTGTTTCCCTGTTGGAAATATACATCACAATTCAGAAAATGTACCTTTTTAGAATATAAGATTCAAATAGGCTCACCTGCAAATCTCTGAACGAATGGGGGGAAAATATTCAATCTCTGCACGTACGGCACTTTTATGATGTTTTTTTTCTATCCGTCTTTCTCAGCGCTAGCTAATATATCCAATATAATATACCAGCTTCTAAGTTGAGTTCATTTTTACATTCAATTGTACAAGTAGACTGATAATAAGTATAAGATCTGCAGAAAAAAACATTTTTTAAATATTTACTAAATGCCGTTGCTAAAATTCATCACTAACTTTTCAGACTGAGCATTAGCATTAGCTAAGGACACTGAGGTCGTGTTCATCAATTTTAATTTTTTTGTGTATCATAAAAATGTAATTTATAATTACCTGCATATTTTGGCAGGAGTCAAAGAGCACTCTGTGCAGTGCAGCAAACATAAAACATTAGTTTAGCGACTCACATCAGTTGAATCTGTTCTAGTTTGAATTATACAATTATACAGGAACCTCTAGCCATGCCAGCGGCTCCGTCAGACTGCACAGAGGGGCTTTGAACTAAAATGCCAGTCAGCATGCTCATGTTACAAATGCCTACATGCAGGATAATCAGTTGGTTTGTTTTTTCCCTGGGATTCATATTTTTCTCTCTCCTCCCCTCTCCTCTGATATAGAGATGACCTGAAAAAGTCAAAGTAACAAAAACATTTTTATTTTGCCATGATCTTTTTGCATTTGATAATAATATCCCAGCCAGAGGTGGTATGTCAACATTTAAAGCTAGCTGAACACTGGAAGCTGTGTGGGATTGTGCATAGATTGCCCCATGCTGTTTGCCTACACAAATTGCACAGCTACCTTTGAAGCCTTGATTAAGTATTACATTACAGCAGGGGTTCTCAAAGTGGGGCTGGGGCACTCCAGGGGTCGTGGGGCCACAGCAGCACAGTTAATAAATGTCAATATGTGTAGGAATTTCGTGGGAATGTCAATGATTTATATGAAGTTCAGTAGAGATTTGGGTGTGTAGGAATTTCGTGGGAATGTCAATATGAAGTTCAGTAGAGATTTGGACCAATAGCAGTGAATGTGTAGACCTTGATAGGCGGGGCCATTGGGAGGGAGTGGGGGGAGCTTTACTCTAGTTCTATCCAAATGGTAGAGGCACTACACATGCAGATTAAGAACAGCTTACACTATAGTATAGAATAGTGTCCAATAGTATAGTGTAATATAATATAGCATTGTATAGTTCAGTATTGTGCAGTTTAGTATAGTACTGTGTAGTATAGTATAATACAGTATAGCACTGTACAGATTTGTTTATCAAATCTGCTAACGCTAACTTTACAATCTTTAACTAACCAACAAAGCCTTATTTAAAATAAAAATACAACACAGTAGCATAGAGTACAGTGTGATGATACATTACAACACAATACAAAATACTGTCTTTGTACGACTTCTGTGCTTTGTCAGTTTAACAGGTTTATGACTGTTTCCTCTGACAGACGCCGCTCTGTCCCTCCCCTTAGAGTCAGACTGTACTCCATTTATACGAACAGACACTACTATAAATGCATACTGCATTACTACATCAACTTCCTAAGGTGTACTTTCAGGACCACATATACAAACAGATATAAGGTATGATTTATTATTACCCAGTTGGTATGGTGTATGAATTATTTATATCTGTATCTACTGGTTCAGCTGTAAACACTGGTTAATGGTTGCTGTCAAGTGTTTGAGGTTGATAATGTTCTGGGAGAACTGTCATTACTTATATATAGCGTTTTATTTATTTTTTTTACAAACTCTGAAGACTGTTAGGGAAGGACATACAGTTCTCAATAAATAAACAGTAGAATTATAGGTATATCCCAAATACAAATATAATATTAATTCTAGGTGTACAATATTATTGACTGATCTGCTCTACCTGTTCGTTGAGTTGGTCCCACAGAAGGTTCTGATGTAGGTAGAAATTCAATATGAATGTCAATCATCTCAGTAGAAGTGGTAAAGGGAGCTGAATAAGAAGGAAAAGATGTCACAGGAGGGAAAAACAATTGACTCAGGTATTGTAGCAGACGTTACCGATCAGCTGGGGTTTTATTACCTCTTTAGAAGAACGGAACAGAACTCTGTCAAAGCAATCACGAGCTGTGCTATTTTATATGCGGCTCCCTAATGGTTTCTGTTCAATTCTGCTGGATTATTACACGTATGAGCAGCAATACTAAATTCTAATTTGACCGGGCTCATTGTCCCTGCGGTAAGGGGGTAGTCAGAAATACTGACCCGGTGTTTGCATCTCAGTGTCTCGCAGCATTGTGTATAGAACCAATTACTGTAGGCAGTGAATTTAAATAACAGGAAAATGTCCTTTTTACCCACTCAGAGGGAGTGCAGCTACTGAACGGTGTTAGAAAGCAATGAAATGTATTTGAAAAGAAGTGTCTTCTCAGTGACAATGTTGAATAAATCCAAATGTTATTATATTACAAGGAACACTGATTGACAAAGATCTCAAAAAAAATTTATTAAAAAATGAATTAACGCAATCTGTTTATTTTTTTTTACTTTAGCTACAAGCTACACAAAAGGGCAAAAAGGGACGAATTGCATTATGGGACCACAATAAAAAAAAAGATTATATCTCTCAAAAAAATAACAAAATAAACATGAGAACTTCAAAAGTATAGTGAAGTGAAGTGAAGCACAGGACTGTGGGGTACTTTTACCTATCACTATAATTATTTTATCAGACTGTTCTGTATCATTTCCTTGAAACTATTAATTAAAAAAAAAAAAAAAACTATCAAACTGGAAAACTACCCTAAATTTTGACAGGCCTTACCTACAGACAAAATTAAATGTGAAAACCAACAGGGGTGGCAGTAATTACCGGTCTAGACTGGCCTTCAACTCCTGGTCAGCCTCAGAAACTGAATTTTAAAGACTCTTTTGTATTTTAATGTCCCGTAGAGCAAAGCAGTGAGCTGTTGCACTTTCATCAGACATTTTATTTGTGCTTCAGTTGCATAAATTCTACAGTAAAACAGAAAAATGAGCTAATAAGTTTGTTACTCTTTGGCTAATGAATATAATAACAAGTGCCGGCCTGGTCTGATGTAGCCTTACGGAACTTAAGGAAATGCCAAAAGTGCCCATTTCCTTGCATTCAGCTCTCAACGTTTACACTGCCTGTCACAGTGAAGAGCTGTTTGCTATGTATATATTTACGTTGACCTATGAAAAATGCAAATGAAAAACACTCGCTCTCTCCTCTCTGGCTCTCCTGTATCGACTGAGGCCCGCTTGAAACCTAATTATCATTCTCCTGATGTGCATTTCAGACGCACAACTATGCATGCTAACAGAACCTTTGAACAAAAACCATCCTGTGTGGTTTCACTCCGCTTCGTGTTCAGTAATTTTGAAGGTAATCATGGGGCACAACATCTGACACTGTGATTTGCTGGCTGCATCACAAAACTTTGTGTAAACACAGAAAAGTATTCTTCAAATAAAATGTTAGGTGGTCACATACAAAAATACTAACATTAAGTAAAAGCAGTCAAGCAGAGGATGACTTTAGAGAACATCAGACAGTTCTGCAGACTGAATCCAAACTAATAGTCCCTTCTACGTCATTTATATTACAGAAGACAACGCCTAAACCGACGCTGCATTACCTTTATGTCATGTTTTCTAAATGACATCCCTATTTAAAAGGTGCAAAAACTGTGCTAAATGATGGCTAATTAAATTGTTATGATTAACTCAGTTCAAATGTTTAATACATTTTTACGAATGGCCAGAATGCTGTAACATGATCCAACCTAACATGACCTAAATGCTCTGAAAACTATGATTAATTTACTGAAAATAATTTGTCAGTGACATGTTGAAGAATGAAATACTCTTCCACTAGGTGGCAGCAGTTGGCTGTAAAAAAAAAAAAAAAAAGAGGGACTCACAGCTGTTGAAGATCTTTATGTACATCTTTCTTCAAATCCTGTGTTGTGTTGCGGAGCATCAGTGTTTTTTTTCCACTAAACTGGCTTTAGTTTTCATCTCGGGTACACTGTGGGAGAACTGAAATGATAAGATCATTATAGGTCATGACATGTACGTTTTGTGACTCTTTCCAGTTAATACTATTATATTCTTTTGTTGTTTAATATATTGACAGTTAGTGAGGTAAATAAGACGTATATGTATATACATATATGTGTGCATGTGTGACACTGTCAGACTGTAGGACAGTCTGGTGTCCCAGCAGAAGGTGTCTCCTACACATCCTGTCCCATAGGCTGTCCTAGATAAAAGCTATTGGAAAAGGAAGAATAAACAGGATACACGTTTAAATATTCATCAAAACATAAAAAGTATCTTGAGAAGACTGTAGTAGGTTCAGCATTAAAAGGAAAAACCCAGGTGGCTCAGAACAGAGCATTGCAGAAGGCACAGAATATGAACTGATAGAAAATGGATAATCAATAAGTAAACCAACGACAGAAATACAGAAATCAATAAGAATATGACAAGGATGCTTACCACAAGCAACAGGTTCAGTCATTGTCTTATGGGTTTCTGTTAGAATCACGGAATTGTATTCCTTTATTTTTATTTTACTTTTAAGCATAAGCTTTTATTCTAGCGTTTCTGAATTTACAAATGAGGAAACGCAGAGCCGAAGAGCCCACGTGAAGTGCACGGAAATGAAAAATGCAAAATAATAATAACAAAGAGATTTGACTGTCGCGCGCACGACACATTAAAAATAATACTTCTTTGACTTTAATGGATATGTACAAAAGCTTCTTTCAGTTCATTCATGCTGGGAATAAAATGATGCTGCGTGTACGCATGTGCGCCACCCAGCGTTTGAGGAGAGTCCGGTGAGTATAAAAGCCTTGAGTGTGAGGATGCTGAGAGCAACACTGACACAGAGAGGAAAAAGAGAAACACGCACACACAAACGCAGGGACAGAGGAAGAGTGGGGGCTTCATAAAGTCTGACTTTTTGCTCGACTTTAAAATAATTGTGATTTAATCTTGAAAAAATGAATTACAAGATTGTGGATAAAGTTAGAAAAGCGTGTAAATACACTTTAAGAAGCTACCGTACACGGACGCAGGAGTGATCCATCGCTGACGCTTTCTTCCACCACTTGATGCAGGACCAGGACGATGTGGATTTGTGCGCCCTCGACCCGTGAGACCTGTCCTGACTGAGAAGACAGAGAGTCAGGGAGGAGGAGGAGAAACTGCGGAACTTGGTTCATAAAAAGTGACTCTCCACCTCCTTTCCCTCCTCTACACCACAATGCAGAGCAACGGCAGCGCATCATCCGGACCTCCGACTTCTCTGAGTGTGTGCGGAGAAGAGGACGAGCGTGAAATCTCCACACTGGTCAGCGCCACGGGTGGAACGTCCAACCTGGCAACTTTTAACCTCTCCCTGAACTGCTGGCTCTACATCCTGTCCAAGGAGTCCTCACTGGACCTGCACGAAGACACGGCAAACTTGGCTGTAAGTTCATATAACTCAAATCCACTTAAATAATTCACGTGGTTGTCCGTGCTGCATGTTACTCCCACAACGCTCCAGTGGCATTAAATAACAACATGAAGCTGATAACGGTCTGTAGGAAAAGAAAAGTGAGAACATTTGGTCATACATAGAGTTTTTTTCTACTTGTCTTTAATGTTTGTTGACACAGCGGGTGACAGACTGGGATAATGTCTGCAACTTTAAGTAAACAGACAAACAGACCTACGGTTTTCTCCATATTTTGTCTCAATAATTTGCAACTGTTGATCATAACTGTTAGTCACTGCACAAAACATTCATGAATAGTTCCTTGCAGCAAGTTTTTTTTTTTTTTAATTTTGACATGGCTGTGGCTCAAATAGCAGCAGACGTAGTCGAGGCACTAAAATCAAGCTTGAACAAGACTATTGTAATACTAATTAATACTGCTATTTTACAATGACACCCAGAGAGACAGAGAGACAGATTACTTGTTAGGTGTTAGTTCATGTTGCTTTGCATTTGCAGTGATATTATAAATGTGTCATGAAACGTATTGTAGGGTTTTAAAATCTGAGCCTAACACTTTGCCTTTACTAAATATAATGAACAACTTTTTTTCTACCAAGTATTTTCTTTTCTCCTAATTCTTTTCCTTTTTGCTTTGAATTGCTTTGTGTATCCTCGTGTTGAAAACTGCTCCATCTTTGTTGCCTCTCTGGTGTGGTGATTTTTTATTCCTTTCAGATTGAACGGGACAATTTCAGCTTGCTCGCCGTTACCACCGTCCTATCTCAAAAATTGCCTCCTGTTGACCTGAAAATAATAAACGTCTTTGTCCGACAGGTGCGTATTCTCATTGCTCTGGTTTACCTTGTGGTATGTGTGCTGGGCCTTGTGGGTAATCTCCTGGCATTGTTCCTGCTCCACTCCCGCCGCCGGCGTCACCACCACTCTTCCATCGACTGCTTTGTGATGAGCCTGGCGTTCACAGACCTCCAGTTTGTCCTGACCTTACCATTCTGGGCCGTGGACACGCTGCTCGATTTTCGCTGGCCTTTCGGCCGTGTCACATGTAAGATTGTGAGCTCGGTCACCACTCTCAACATGTATGCCAGCGTCTTCTTCCTGACCGCCATGAGTGTGACCCGCTACCGCTCCCTGGTCACTTCTCTCAGGATGGAAAGCCCCAGAATCACCGCTGCTCGAGCCAAGTGGGTCAGTTTAGCCATTTGGGTTGTGTCGCTGGTGGCTACTCTGCCTCACGCTTTCTACTCCACCACAGTCCAGGTTTCTATGATATTCTAATGCCCATTTTACTTAACCTAAGGACAGAAATTGTCTATGGTTGTTGGTGAGCAGCTGTCTGTGTTCCTGTTTTGTTGGTAGGTGTCTGCGGACGACGAGCTTTGTTTGGTGAGGTTTTCTGACTCCGACTCAGGCCACTGGGATCCACAAGTCCTGCTTGGACTCTATCAAACACAAAAAGTCCTCATAGGATTTGTAATTCCCTTGATTATCATCAGCGTGTGCTACCTGCTCCTCCTGAGGTTCATCCTGAGCCGGCGTGTTGTCGGTAGTATGGAGAGCGGGCCGGTCACAGAGAGGTCAGAGTGCGAGAGGGGACGTCACCGCCGCAGGTCCAAAGTCACCCGCTCCGTCACTATCGTGGTTCTATCCTTTTTCATGTGCTGGCTGCCCAACCAGGCCCTCACCCTGTGGGGGGTGTTGATAAAGTTTGACATGGTGCCCTTCAGCAAAGCCTTCTACAACGCCCAGGCTTACGCCTTCCCCCTGACCGTGTGTCTGGCCCATGCAAACAGCTGCCTCAATCCTGTGCTCTACTGCCTGATCCGAAAGGAGTACAGAGCTGGACTAAAGGACCTCCTGCTCAGAGTCTCTCACTCTTTACGGAACGTCCTCACTTCGGCGGTCAGAGGCCGACGGGTGGAGGAAGCACCATCCAGTCTGGTTGTGATACACAAAGACATTAATATGTGATTCACTCAGAGCGAGGAGCAGTTTGACAATGTGGGGACATTATTTATTTGGGTTTTGTTTGCTGAGAGTTTGATGAAAAAGTTTATGAGGCTACAGTTAGCTTAGCTTAGCATTAAAGCCAGCTCCTCTCTGCTTAGTGTTCAAGCGCCCTTACTGATGCTCTAAGACAAAGTTCATCAATAAGTAGATAAGGGAGTAGTGGTAGGTCAGGAGTTATTGAAATGGAAATTAAAGGGTGAAAATATAGATGTTTCTATTTTTAGATTAAATCTAAATTAATAACCATATAAGTATTGAGTCATTTTGTGCCAAGTAGGTCAACATGTAAAGTATATTCAGTTTATATAAGTAAATATTATCAATGTAGGTATATAATTTTACTCCGATAATAATAAAAGTAAGTATAATCATTAGGCCTTACTGTATCCTTTGGTTGCACTCGTTCGTTTGTCAGGGCATGTGCTAAATGTTAATCTAAATTCAACTATCCACTCATTGCCACTAATAAAAATCAAATTCTATGTTACAGTAAGTTAACTAGAATTTCATTTCACTAAACCTCTACCACCTTGGGCCTATACAGAAACAGTGGAGTTGTGTAATTTCTAACCAGTGAAGTCCAAGAGACTTGAGCGGAATTTCAGCCAGTCTGAGTCATTCTCCAAAAAAGTCAAAATTAGCCCCCTAGGGTCTAAAGTTTAGGTCACGGCAGAACATTTCAGTTTCTTTAAAAGTTTCAAGCTCGAGTTCAAATTCATGGCACATTTTCTTTTGATTGAGGTCCAAATGAAGTTGACCTGATTTTCAGTCGTCAGCGCTGACGTCAAAGTCACAAATCCTCGACTAGCATAACAAGAAGCTGTGCTCTTCAGGTAATAATTAGATCTGGGTTTAATCCATGCTGTCCAGCCTCCGTCTAAAGTTAACCAGCCTCTTTGGCATCATTTCATCCAACTCACAGCAATCAACCAAATGGTCATATTTACTATAATAACCTATCTTAAACCTTTTGCTGTAAATGTATGACTTTAAACATTTCAATCACCTCTGATCTACATTATTGTAAACTACAGACTATTTCTCCTCATGCAGTCAAGAGATGTAATGCATTGTGTTTGTAATGTTTTTCCACCTTTAAAAACCTGTAAGATTGTCACATTTTCTTTGAGAGTAATATATGTCATATTTATTTCTGTCCAGTTTTCTGTGTTGACTAAAGAATTGTTATTTGGTGTCGGACACTAGCATGAAGCCATCTTACCGTTTTCTTGTTTACCTTCTCTGTCTGCCTTGCTGTTCTGCTGTGGATTGTTTTTGTGAAGTCACACGTGTTCTGTGACATTAAATAAAAATGGGAGAACAAATACGTTTGGTGACGTCTGACGTTAATCTTTCCTGCCGTCATGACAGATGCACAGAAACCTGGGAAGACAAAGCAGAATGTTAGTGTTAGTTCCACAAAAGAGCACGACTCTGCCATTTGCGACCTTTGTGGCTGAGATAAACATATTCAGCTTCAGATAGATAAGGGCTAATGTGCCGTAACACACACCTCTATATGTTATCTCTGCAGAATGCCACTCTGCTGGTAATTACTTCCTCAGTCAGAACCGTAGTTCTATACACCAGCAGGTCAGGAAGCCTTTAAGACCTGGAGCCGGTTCTCCGTTGCACATTTCTGTAATAGAATAAATTCACTGCACGATGACAGAGGCTCACTGCATGTTCAAAAAACTCTAGGGCAATCAAAACCTTTATACACGTTCTACACAGCTGGGTTATTATTTCTAAAAAAGTAAATTATTTTCCTCCTCTCTTGAGATGCAGTAACACCCATTGCTCTGTTTTTATTTTATTTTAATAATTTTACTGCTGGTGAAAATCCCTGAAGGCTGCACAATTTCACAGTTTAACTGAAAATGATAATGGAGTTTATAAAGTTTCAAAAACATGAGTTGTATTGCAGTATTATTCAGAAGGACCTAAGGAAAGCTCTTGAAAATGTACAGTTTCAAAGGTCCAGAATTTTAGCCTGGTCGACCATGTGGTCAGATGGACAATTTGGGCTGAAGATAACAGATGTAGGCCAAAGTCGCCTCGATGATTGCTATATAAATGCCAAGTAAAATGAGGTTCTGAAGTCTGACAATAAGAGCTGTCATAAAGCACGACTTGTAGAAATTACAATTCAAATGCACAAGTCCTAAAAGCACTGATCATTCTTTGTTTTGTTTCTTTTTTTTTTTTAAAGGCCAAAATATGTAAAAGGTTTTCAATAAGTACAAAAATATCTATTAATAATACCAATGTCACAAATGAAAAAAAAAAAGTGAGCTCATGACACCCCGTGTACTCTAAGGGAACAAGCCAATTTTTCTGTCCATTTCCAGTTAAATTATAGATAATTCGATTTCTTTTCTATGGAACAAAACACAGTTCTAATCTCCTGTGGGTCTCGTGTGTAAGGCATTGTGTTGCATGTGAGTATTTTTGATTCACAAGAGCAATTTAAATACGCGGTTGTGTTCTCAGAAACATTAAAGCAGTTAGGCTTCAATGGGACAAAAATTAGACTAAATAACTGAACTAAAGCAGATTCACTCATAAAAAAAAATATCATTTGTCACATTCATGTTTTCCTGTCAGTTTTCTTTCTCTCCGCTCCTCTTCATCATCACATCCCTCCACAGTAATTGCTACTTGAGTTTCCTCCTCAGAGCCACAGTCGCTGTACGTCTAACCTCCATAAACAGAATCATCTTCGTGTCATTTTAATGAGATTCAAACAGTCAACCCTGTGCTCTCTGATTCACTTAATTATTTCCTTGCATGCTCTGATTTGACGGCTCTTCACATGGCCTTCAACATGTTTCAGATTAGGGGCTATGACAACAGGGTTAGTCTGACCTATTTGGCTTCATTTATTGTTTTCACTCTTCTAAAAAACATAGTGAATGAGCTGAGCCTGTGCTCCTCCAGACGTAGCACTTTGAATTTAACTGAGGGGTTTGATTCTGGCTTCATCACACCATATCATCTTTTATGCAGTCCCTAATTCTGTTTGTGCAGTTCCAGGCTCGCTATCACAGACTGAGAAAATGCTGCGGTGACTGGTGTTCTTCCAGGGAGCAGCCAACGCAGCACTGCTTTCAACCTCTTGATTGTGTAATATTTCTACCTACAGAATCTAAGACGGGGAGAAGCAACAAAGCCAACCAATCTGCTAAGGTACAACAGGTTTCTGTGTCATAGTGATACCGCCTGTCATCACTTCAATCAATTTATACAATTTTCAATTTTCTGTCCCAGCATTTAGGAAGAGCCTGTTCCTCTATGGTTCCACAGGGTGACTGTGCAGCCCACAGCTAAGAAAGACATTTTATAGATTTAATCAAGGACTGAAAAAGGTATAATCTTCTTAGAAGCACAAGGGGTTCAGGCTGCTAACCTCCTTTTGAAAACCTTCTTTTGATTTGTAAAACATTTTTGTTGATATAGCTGGAAACAAATTTACAGAAATTTCCTCAAAAACTTTATGGACATGATCACTTTCCTGTGTCCTAGTAAAGGTCAATGACACAAGCATTTCCCCCAATTTACAGAATCACAAAAACAGATAAAAGATATCAGAGGATGGCAGAGGAATTATCCTGGAAGTGAAAATGTTCTCAGACAGATGTTATCATTTCAGTCTCATCTAAACTAAAACATGATCTTTGTTCAGTTTTTAACCTTGAAAAAAAAATGAACTCAACTATTGAATTTTTCTTACAGGTTTTATATAAAGCTCCTCCTGATCTTTATATTTTAACCAAAACTGAAAGTTATAAAAGGCCCTTTGTTTTAGTCTTAAGATGAGACGAAGATGGAGGTTGTGACATGGTTCAATAAAGACATTCACAGAGTTCTCTGATGATAGGTTTTAGAACTTACCCTCTTACTTACTTACACTCGTAAAGGTTGAAAACCAACGTTCCCAATAATTGCCAAGTGAAGGATGTGACAGGGCGCCTGGACAGTTAGTGGTTGCCTTTGTGTGATTCTCCTGTTCATGATACAATTTGCACAGGTGACTTTAGGTATTGTTCTAGCAACATTCATGGTCTTCCAACAGGTGGCAGTGGATGGTTATAAAAACAAAAAAAATGACTCAAAGCTGTTGAAGAGCCTGGGGTGTCTTTCTTTAATTCCTTAAGTATATCAGCATGGTGTTCAACTAAACAGGCCTAGGTTTGACAGGTAGTAAGCAAATTGCGGGTAAATTTAAATTAGAAGTACATCATCACATACTGTTTTTGAGGCATCTTTTTAAATGTCTGGTGGTGGCTCATCAGTGTAGAACTACACTGGGGCCCAGTTCTGGGGCTAGCTCAACAGCTGTGAGACATATTTTTTGCAGGAATATTCCACACAAACACAGCCAGTGTTAACAAATGCGCATTTTGCTTCAAAATTTAACACCTAAGGTGCAGGATTTCTATATTTCTTCCGTTATTTGTACTGAGGGCAAAAACAGGAGAAAGCTCTTCTTACCTCTTCCCATCGACATAACCTCTCAAAAAAAGCAAGAGTCATTACAGCCATGATTCACAATGCAGCTCGCTGTAATACATTTTTTAACTACCCTTGTGTAGATTTTTAAGTCAGAGACGGTCGGGTTAAGGGTGAAGGTTTTACGGTGCAAACAATGAGAGTTGTCTCTATTTCCTATGAAACACTGGCTGACAAACGCAACCAGGCAACTGCTGATTGAGTGCATGACATTAGTACACAACACTGCACATAAAACCTGTATAAAAAAAAAGTAAAACATATTTCTCTGAAACACTACAATGCTTTTTCCTGAGATAAGAACAATTTCCTGGAAACACAGCAGGTTCCATTTAGAGCCAATCATTTCGGCAGGAAAAAGTGGAAATAGGTCAAACCTCTTATGGATTCCGGTGACCACTGTATAGGTGCCTGCAGTAAAGTGAATGCAGTTTGTTTTAAATATAGAAAATCCGCAGTTCAGAGTACATACTTGTCTGTAAACTTAAAATTAAAAGTTAATAAAACATTCTTACGACACAAGTAGTTTGTGAAACTTTAGCTGTGAGGCATGTTTCACATCTTTTAGTGTAAAACGTTTGTGATGAACAAAAACCACTCCACTTTGTTCCACAGGGTGTTTGGTGGTGAGAACTTTCATCTTCTGAAAATGATGAAACTGTGCACCCTGGCTTGTAAACTTTGTTTCTGGATGGATCTGTGTTGAGTTGTTGTTGTTGTTGTTGAGAAAAGAAAAATGTCTGGGGCTATTTCTCTTTATTTATAACTGATGGACAGTCGGTTTTCTCTCTCTTTACTGAAACCATCTCCTCCTTGATGCCCCCGTCGTCTTCTGGTGCCAAAGCTTCCCTCTTCCTCTCCTCCTTAACCACATCCTTTTTCACTTTTCCTTTTGCTGTCACTGCACACGCAGGTTTGACATCAGCCTCTGTTTTGAGAGAGACTGTGGAGCTTTCACAGACGGTCGGTCCTTCCCACTTTGGGATGTCTAATCCCAGCCGCTCCATCAACAGTTTCATAACCTCGTCAACATAGCCGTTAATACGGAGGTGCGCGTGTTTCTCCTAAAAGACCAAAAATGACAGATAATTACAAACATGTATTACAGTCATTAAAGTGTATAAAAATAAAATATTATGTTTCAGTGGTGCTCAGGATCACTACTCAGGACTTTTAAAGTAATTATTTATCTCAGAAGGCAATAAATGTATTCAACCGCAGGAAAGACTATGCTTTTGGGAGGGTTTAAACATGGCGTCAAGGTTTAGTTGTGAGACCTACGTGTTTGGTGGGCTGAAGGTTGACAATGACAATCTTCCCTCCTTTGCGCTTGGTGAGGAGAGGAAGGTCTGCAGCCGGTTTAATCTGCATGGACGTGCCGAGGGTCAGGGCCAGGTCTGCCCGTCTGGATGTGGACAGCAGAGAAGTGAGTCATGATTTAACAACAGTGACTCATCCTGACATTCTTCTTATCTTGGTCCATTAATTAATCGCCTTAAAATATCACTACATCTCAGAGCGGTGTTTGGTCAGTTCCTGTGGTCACAGTCTTTGTGTTTTGCTGGTTGGTTTGAGATGCAGAGACGCAACAACTGTCTGAACAACTGGAACTGTTTTCCAGTTGTATCGCAAAAGTTCTAAAGACCTGGCATTGTGCTGGTGTAAAAGAAGAAACACTGATTTTAGTCACAATAATAATATTATATCATCTCTATTATATATATATTTAACTATTTTACCCTTCAGTATGGCTACATGTTGGTAACATGCTGTTGAGGAACCTGAGATAGAAAACAGTTAAGTAAGTCTGGGAAAACAACAGTATGTCCTGAGTGGTAACAGTTCAGAGACAGTAGCTGAATTTAAAAACAAAACCATGTTTATGAACCGTAGAGGTAAACAATTTCAGTTCGATTTGTTTCACCTGCTGGCTTCATCTGCTTTGTTGAGGTCTTTATCAGGCAGAGCGTCTTCCCAGTCCAATATGGTGCTGATAAGTTTCCCTCTGTTTTAATGAAGAAAACACAAGTGTGAAGAATAAAAATAAACTTCGAAAATAAAATCATTCTCAGAGCACAAGGTGGTCTGTAACCTGCAGGCTCGGAGTCCTCTGGAGCGCACAACGTCACAGTAACGTCCCGTCGGTTTCAGACCCATGACACCGATCACCTTTTCCCTAACGTACTGCCTGAAAAAACAAAATCCCATGTTCCTGAACTTTAGTTTGATGCTTACAAAAAATACTGCCTTTTTCCAGCAATCTGTTTGTTGATAATAGGCACTCCCTGTAAGGCTGCATCACCCAGCTGGAGTTGTTTTTTTGTTTTTTTAATGAGGAAGATATACTGAGCAGCCGATAAACTGAAGCCTCATTTGGTATTAAGGTGCCCAGCATGTGCGGAGAAAACGTGACAAAATTACAACACTGACTTCTGTTGTTTGGGTCTAGAGACTAGTAAAAGATATGAAGATTAATGACTTATTATTTTGTTGAGGCTTCGTTATCGCATGCTGACCACAGTTCAATTCTCTTGTCTCTATCCATCAGCGGTGGAATGTTTTTTTACATCCACTACTGCAGGTGATTCAACAACTGGATGTTTGGCAACTTCATATAATAGCAGCTCCTGCATCTCACAGACTTTCCACAATAAAATACCCAGGATTATTTATGCAGGTGAACCCTCTAAACAAGAAGACGTAACTCTGCTGCCATAACTGGTGGCTGCTTTGACCTGTAGCATTATCTTTCACCTGAGAATCAGCCCATAGGAAAAGTGACTTTATATGATTTTATCTTTATTTTATCAGGGATTATCCCATTGAGTCTCAATGGGATCAGCGATCTAGAACTGATAAATATTAATTAATTACCATCACAGCTACCCAGCGATTAATAAACTTTTTTAATTGTTCACAGTGTTTGTATATTATAAATCTAGAAGTGTACCAACACTGCCAAAATTGCTCAAGTATTTCTGTCAAATCACAGGAAAATGTTTGCTGAGGTTCATGACTGATACATACAGTAACCATGTGGCACAGGTACAATGTTTAGCTGTTGAAACCTAGGCAGATGCACTTTCACCACTGTCCACAATGTTCATGTTTCTGTTTTATACTGCCTTGTAGAGATATTTTAACCCAGTAGTGACGGGTTGTAGATTAAACACATTCCCATATCCCAAATCCCTTTATCCAGATTTAAAAGGAATTTTTTTAACCTCTGGGAATGGGACTATGTTGACAAGATGCTTTTAGGCACAGAGGAGCTGCTGTAGGCTTTTAACCTGTCACTTTCTGTGGCTACCTGCAGTGAGTAAAAATCTCAGGAGAGTGTGTGAGAGGCAGCTAACCCCACATTTGGCATCAACAACCTCACCAGATGTAAGGCTGCTGTGATGCAGTGTGTGCTGGCATGTGCTGAACAGTAATCAGAATCTCCAGCTGCTGGAGCAGCTCTTCAGTTAGACCTCATTAAAGGACTATGTGGGGAAAATGTGCGAAAACCTGTGTCTTTGGAAGATAATGGTGGTGTTTTAAATAAGTGTAGGTGTTTGGTGCACGTACGATTCCATCCTTACCGGCCACATTTTTCACACTCCTCCACAAACATATTTCCATGGAGCTCGGATAACAAATCCCTGGAAGAGGGGGAGATGGGGGGACAGGAGGGGATAATGGGGTTTACAAAGGCAAAAAGATTACAAAGGCAATATTCTCTTAGATCAACGTTGGGAATTAATTTTAAGTCAGGGTTTATCAACACAACTTTCTCTCAGAACTTTTTTCATCTTCTGCTCTGTTAAATATTCTGTCTTTATTTATGTGGCCTCAATTCACTCAGAACTTAAGTACACACCAGTTTACTTTAGCAGATTTTTGGCTGTCTCAGGGTTTTGTTTTTTTTTTAGAGAGCTAACACTTGCTGTCTAACCCTAAAGAACCAAAACAACTAAAGAAAAGAGAAAGAAAGAGCTTTTCTGAAAAGAGGGAATAAACAATACAGTAATGGATAAAAGTACAACGGACATTTTCCACTCAACTGATCATTAAGTGGCGTTTTGACGAGGCAATTAAGACAAATGTTATTTCTGCTGCTGCTCCAGCTTTCAGCTCACCATCACCAGGCAAAGAAGGATGAATTTGACAGTGAGTCACAACAAATACATAACAACCTGGTGTGCAAACAACAGTTATAATGTACTTCAGTTTAATGGCTTATGTTCAACTGGTACTAAATCAGTTCCAAACTAAACTGGGAGAAAAGGTAAATAAAAAGAAATGAAAGGATCAGACAGAACCATTTGACATACATATTATGAAAACTCAATTAAGCCTTCAATCATTTTATCCTATTATTATTGTATTTTGTCCACAAAACAGAGATACTTGGATGACAGTACTAGAAGTACTTCTGCGAAAATACAGAGAAAACACTCAAACTAAATGATCACTTATCATCGCTTCTCCTTAGGACTCACACCAATCCAACTCTGTACATGCATCACTGTTTATTTTTCACAGGAGTCTCATATGGCCCAATACCATCTTTCTTTTTTTGTTACCTGGGAAAGCCTGATCGAACATGCAGACCATCTACGTTCTGGCTGATGAGATACTTGAGGTACCCAGCTCTCTGTAGGCCTAGAAGAGCCAAGTGAGTCAGGGTAGGCCGGGCATCTTCGAAAGTGGTGTTAAAGTGAGGAGTCTCGCCCTTTTCTTCTAATGTCCACACACCCTTTGGACCCCTGCAACCAAAAAGAGGAGGGGAGATTCGGAGGGGAGATTAGAGCTGGAAAGGCTGCAAAGCAGTGAACAGATTGGAGAAACTACAATCGTCTGTATTGTATTTTTCTACAACAGCTTTGTTCCTGGTGGTAGGGGCAGGGGACTGTATTCCTGGCAGATCCCTCAATAGATCAGTGGAAAATGATCCTTATAAAAAATGTTATTTGTACCAAAATGAGTGCTGAGTTTTTGAAGTCTGAGTTGAAAAAACAATGGTAATGACAGTAGGCCAGATAATCAGCCATTTCTTTTTGTCCATTTCTTTTAAATGAAAAAATTCAAAAGAAAAGATGTGTTGTTAGAGAATGACAGCATTTTTTTTACACAGCAAACTCTTCTTTTTAAAAGGAATGGTCCTAAAGAGAAAAAAGGATGGATTGAGCTGCAGTTCTCTGGACAAAACATGTTCTTTATGCCAGATCAAAAGAGAAAACTACAGAATAGGTACAGAGAAAAGAATCAGCAGTCAGTCAAGAAAGAGAAACTCTCTGTTTAGATAGCTCACATTTGATTCTGCCATTAAAAAATGAAAAGCGGTTGGATGCACCTTGTCTTGTGGTAATAATTGCATGCTGATGATATCATCTTTTTTTGGGGCTATTTTTAGGCACATTTTGGGTCCTTGAGGGTCTGAATATTGCCTGAATCAGGGGTGTCCAAACTTTTTTAAAGAGAGCCAGATTTGGGGAACATGTGTAGGAGCCAATCATCTGTCAGACATTAAATGCAAATTAAACTTTTTTAGGTAATATGATTGCAAACAATGCATTTTCATTTCATCAACAAGATTTTAAAGACTGTATATTGTTTGTAAATTATGTTGTCTGAGCTTTTCATATGCATTAGCATGACACAACTGATAGTGTCCCTTGACATTGAATTCTCTATGAAGAGCAACTGTCTCTTGGCAACTCAGGTGAAAACTGTTGTTCTGTGATTCAGAGGGAAAAAAACTTTACTTGTTTTTACTTGTTCTGGAAGCAGCTCTCACACACAGATTTTGCCATACACCATAAGGCCACTACTCATCACTGCTGCCTTCATTTGGTGAAACATAATATTGTTTTTTTACATGCATATTTATACAATACTTCTGTGCCACAAGTAAGTCTATAAAATATGTAAACATATGAAATTTGAGGATGAGCCACAATTGGCCCCCGGACCAGACATTAGACATTCCTGGTCTAAGTTTTACAATCTATCTGAGTATTATTTCTATTTGTACCCAGTGCAGCTACATGCAGCAGAGTAAAGGTGTTTACTATAAAGAAATTGCTTGAATACATGCCATGAAGAATTAAAGGCAAAACACGTATCAGCCCAGAGAATATTCATTCTTTCTTAAAGTTTTCCCTAAAGACGTTTCAGGAATACAATTAATTGTGAAACATGTTTATTTGGTTAGAAGCACAAGGTCTTCTGACTGAAATGCATAAAATAAGTGGCTGGTCTTTCTTTAATTAACCAGTCTGTCTGCATAAAAAATGAACCCATCGCTGCTGTAAACCCTGGTGTCAACAGTGCAAGTTGCTTCAAGGACACGCCACATATCATTATGCATGAAACTGGGGAATGAAGGCGTCTTGTACCCAAATGCAACCACGACAGCCTCATCTCTTACTTACAGTGAGTGAACTCAAACAGCCCTGTCTCTGAGCATCAGAATGATTCGCTGCATTCTGCGCCAATACCAGTTCAAAGACACAGCAGTATTAGTGGAGGAGCACCTACATCATTTATTACATGCTTATCACCATGAGAGATGGTGCAGGACATGAAAGCCAAGGATGATGTATAAAGCTGGTAAATGGGTCGATCACCAGATGCAGCATGTGGGTTTGTGAGTTGTATATGCAGCAGTCATCAGGACATGACATACACCTGAAAGCCAGAGTAGAAACCCTGGCTTTAATGGTGCTGCCATTCAAGGTCAATCCTGTCTAACTGACAGGCTGAACATTCTAATATTAGTCAAGTGCCTGGGGCTCTCTGCGAGCATGCATATTTGAATTCAAAGAGTAAAAAATATGTCAGACACAGGTGAAATGTGAACGTGCTTCTGTTTGAGCAGAAACTTGATGTGAAATGTCTATTTTAATAGTTCCACCTGAGCTATTAATGGGGGATTAGAACAGATAACAAAACAAAACAAACAAAATACCTGTTTTACAAAAGACAAAAAAGCAATTAATTTAACTGCGAAACGGGCGTGTACCGCCCTCTTCTGGACAATAATTGGTATTACAACCAACATAAAGTCTTTTGAAACCTTTGTTACAATTAAAACATAAAGTGATTCAACCATGTGTCATTAAGACCAGTTAAATATTTTCTTTACAAGACTGTAGGAGTTCCCATTCAGCCAATAATTTAGTTCGTCCATCCCTTTAATCAACAATTCAAGCTGTCTAACACGTGCATGTTTAACTCATGTTTATTCCCATTTAAACTAAAACAAATCTGAGTTGGAATCAATCAAACAAGGAGACAAACAAAACACAGAGCTTTCTTTTCAAATGTTTTCTAACATGCTGACTAATTTATTTTCAGATTGGTAAGTGCTTATCTAAGAGCATTATTTATTGTATCCACTCTTTCTGGAGAGATATAATGGCCTTTAGCTGAAGAAGAAGCTCAGCCTCCTGCTTATAAACAACTACCTAATACTGACAAAACAGCAGGTGACAACAACTCAGCACTCTATTTGTTTTACTGATAATCAGCAACATATTTAGAACAATATTTCAATTTGTCTGGAAGCTGTGTGCATCCATACAGCTTCAGTCTATTACCTGCACCACTGCAGAACTGTTGTGTGGATTTGTCTTTTGATAACACCAACAGGAAACAGGATTATAATCCCATTAAAAGTGAATTACTAGGAGGATCAAATAATGGCTGATTAACTAAACTCAGCTAAAGTAACCTCTAATTGGGATAGCTACAAATTAAGAATTAACAACTACTTGGTATCAAACTGTGCAATATCAGCTGGGGCTACAGTAGTACTATGTTAGATGCAATTTACATTTGTATCAATTACTTGGTGAACAAGATTACATCTCACCTAAAGTCTGGGATTCCTGATGAAGTGCTGATTCCTGCTCCTGAGTGGACAACCAGGTACTGAGACTCTTTAATCAACTGGGCTAGGGTCTCTACTTTTGCCTTCAGTTCCTCCGGACCATCAAATTCCTGACAGAGACACACAACCATTAAGCACGGCAGGAATTAGCAATTTACCTGGTAAATTTATTTGCTTTGTCACTGTTCCCATCAATTACAAAAATAAATTGCAGATCAATTTCACACTGAAGGCTGTTGCTGTGTTTTACAAGGTCAGAGAAATACAGTACACAAGCAGAGACAGCAAAATGTGAGCAACACATGACAAAACAGAATTTTGAGAAAATGCTACATGCAGAAAATGTTTTTCAATTAACTTTATTTTAATTTTTTTAAATATACAACAGCATGCAGTCTATTAACTGTACAAATAAATGTAGTACGCAATAAAATGATTCTGATTATTATTGTTAATAGCAGTTGTAGGAGTCAACTATAAACAGAGACACATTATCAAACCGTATTTTTGTATTATCGCTCAAACACACTGTCAATTTATTCATCTATTCATGAAATTGAACAAACATTGCACGACAAAACCCACGTGGTTGATATTGATAACATCTTGCACGCTTAAAACGTTCGTGTTTTCGCAAAATACTAAACACTGTTGATTTTAAAGGAGAGGAGTTTCTTGAAGTGTTAAATTGGATTTAAATACTTCAATGTACTCATCTCCGACACCGATACGAATGCTGTAGGCTGGGCTAACCTGTTAGCCAACTTTGCTGTTCAAGAAACTTGGTGAGTGTAGTCTTTTTAACCTTACCTCAGGAAGTCCACAAACACCTTTGTTTGCATACGGCGAGAGTCCAGCAGCGTAATTTACAGACATTGTGTTTTTAGTTTTTACTTTTCTCCTCTCCGCGTGTTGTACAGTGGTATGCTAGCTGGGCTATATGGGTGACGTCATTGTCACGCGACTTTATGGGATTATTATTGTTTTACTTCAAGCTTTATTAACGCTACAGAGCGAACGAATTAAGTCAACTTATTTCGTACTTGTCTTTGTTGGAAAGATAAAACAAACAATCGTTTAGGTCGTGTTTTGTGGCTGGACATTCACTTATGAGCATTGTCTTAGTACACCAACTCATTAAATTCACATGATTATGTAACGCCCCCTTACATTCACTGTTTTCATACTAGACACATCAAGCCGCCCTTTTTGAATAATTTTTATTACTATTTTAAATAGCAGAAAATAAAATAGAAACAAAAGTGAGTAAAACAACCAGGTGATCATTTATACAGCTACATGTGCATACCACTTAAGTGTTCTGTTGAAAATGTAAACCAACAACAAAGACCAACGAAAGAGGGAGATAGTTGCCTATTTAAATGATTCTATATGTGATTATTTGTCCTGAGAAATTTACTATGATTCCCAATTTGTTTAAATGAAATAATAAAAACTGTTTACCCAAGAATGCACTTGAATGATGTACAATTTGTCCTCAGTAAACACAAAGGAAATGCACAAATGTGACCTTTTTCCACTTTCCTGGTTGAAAAGAATTCACCATATTATTGACTGGTACTGCAACATCTTCTTTAGACAAACACATTTCAAACAAAAGTTATTTTTTCTTGCCAAACAAACATAATAATCTCATCACAAAAAAGATTCTAACGGCAGAGTGCAGGCATAAGGTCTTATCAAAGATAAACTAAAATACAAAAGCAACAGAGCAATCAAAGACAGAATACAACAAACAGTGCTATAACATTTTCGGTGTTACACTGATTTAGGTCTTTGGCTCCTGTAGGTTGTCCAGATTGGAATCAAACGTGAGGAGGAATACAGCTCTGATTGGTAATTAGTTCTGCCCACCCACTTGCCCTATAAATCCTGGTCACCCTACACAACTTACATCTGAGCTACTTCAAATAATAGAACCCCACACTCATAACGACGGAGAAATACATCCAACAATAACCAGAAGAACACCTCAAAGATCAGTTTCATGTTAGCAAAAACTCATCACGAGGATTTTTGAACGCATATACTCAGCTCATCAGACAGTTCAGCAGACAAGTGTCCTCCATTGTCACGCGTGTTGTTATTACCAAGCTGAAACCAGATCTCAATGAAGGCAAATTGTTCATGAGTGAAAAAGACAAAGCTTCCAAAGGGTGTTCTGCCATGCACAGGAACGTCAGAAACACAGTCCTGTGTCAATTCATGTCCTGTCCTGGTGAAGCAACACAGACGGGATAAGTGACATATCTGATTCATTGTTTTTGTGGACAGAATTCAACATAATCAGGTCGCATAAGTCCGCTTTGTCAGTCGCTGAGACAAACGACTGGTAGTGAAACCCGCTTAGATTTCAGCTAATAATGATTTGCAAAAAGACTGAGAGTCTGGAAGAGTTTGCACCAGTGTGTCTTTACTTTTGATGCTCACTACTGGGATAAATTTAATTCCTTTGAAGTGTGGTTGTATATAGTACAGACACATGAATCAGTGTTTCAGGAAGGAACCGGTTCTGTGACCTTAACACCCACTCTTACTGAAAACATACCTGTCAGCTTCAGCTGCTTAACTGGAACTTATTAATGTTACTTTAAGGTCAGAACATGCTTTGTGAATCACAGAATCTCTAGCATATAAAAGCTGCATATTTACCTAAGGGGGAACTGTGGCTCTGAGACTGATGCTGTCTCTTCAAGCAAGTATGTGTCAATTAGGTAGTTCCCAAAATGGATTTCACATAGTGAAGTCACTAACTAACACATTAGTTACTGATGGAGACAGCAGCAGGTCTTGACAGTGTGCCACAGTGATAAACTGCTGACTCCACCGTGGCACCATGAAATGGAGAAGTAAGCATTTTACACATTTTCACACATACTTATGTTTCCTGTTTTAATAGTTTTTTCCCCTTTTGTCAACACTGTCAACCATGTTCTTTGTATCACTGAGTGTCAGTGTCTCTGGCTAGTTCCTGGCTCCAGCACCGACGCTAGATGAGTACATTGTACAACCACACTTCTAAAAAACAAATATATCACTTTAAACCTATAGTCATTCTGTACTGTACATGGGAGTGAATAACTCCAATGACAAAGCAGTTGTCCCAAGGTACATAGGGAAAAAAATTGTGCTGGTGCAACTCTTACCAGGTTTGACCTTTCAACAACGAAGCATCAATTAAAACCCTCAAGAAGAATTCAGAGATCAAGGTAAAAACAGCCATTTTCTGTTGGGTCAGAAGTGAGAAGCTTTAAAACTTTTGTGGTTGTAGAATATCTCACAACCCAGGCAGAATAAAGGAGTTGGCATATTTTTCATACGCCAGCTTTGACAACGATACTGTGAGAAGCATGTCACGACTCCTCGTTTCCGGAGTCGTCCTCATCATAGCAGCAGTCACCCTCTCCACCCTCCACATCATCGTCATCATAGTAATAGTCATAGAAGAGGTCAGAGCCTTCATCAGGGGCTGGAACACGTGTGCGGACGCAGTACTCGGCCAACGTGGTTGGAACTTTAACGCCATCTCGCTCTGCCTCTGCTTTGGTAGCCAGGACTTGTTTCCTGAGGAACAACAAAAGTAATTGTTGCAACAAAATTCTTGACTCAGCAGGATTTTTTGCACTATAAAGTAGGGTTAGGAATCAATGATTCTGATTCCATTATTGATATTAATTATTGTTTTGATTCTTTTATCAGTTCTATGTTAAAAAATAAGATTTATTGAAAAATAACATGCAAAAATTATATGTAGATCCCATCTGACAAATATATGTGTATATATGTTTTACCTGATGATTTCGACATATTCACGGTCTTTTCCCTTGCTGTCTCTCCATTTACGGTACATGACAGAGGCGTCCACATTAGCAGGGGAGAAGGTGTTGGGCTCATTCAACAGTGAAATCACACTCAGTAAAATGGTCCTGAAAGAAATAAAAAAGTTCCACAGTGTGTAAATAAAGCAAAGTATGTAACTTTAGACTGAGTGATTTTTAGGTTTTGGTATCAAGGCTCAGTCAGAGATTTCAAGCCCACCAAATGGGTAGCTTCTCAGTGTCATAACACCCTGCAAGGGAGCGTTACTACCAACTGTACCGCTGTGAATAACTGCTGGCTCACACTAATCTGTCATGTGGCACATTTTCTTTCTTAAGGCTCACCACAAAACTTGTACAGCCACACAACTTTGGATATGACAGGAGAATGGTCTTTATACTACTTCCCACAAAATCCCATGAAACACTGGTTAAACACCAAGTTTAACCACTATATTGGAAAACTTAAAGTGACTGGCTACAACAATTCTACAGTTTGAAACAACCTCGCAAATGTCTGACGAATTAGTATCTAAAGTGTAGTTATTTATGTAAAGGATGCAGTAGCCTTTGTCTTTCTACTAGGAATTACAGTGTATCATAGTATAAACAGAAGTGTGATATCTGCTTATTGTACAGTTCTGCAAAAGAACTGACCGCAAGCAAACACAATGGCATCACTTGCTGACAGCTCCAGCCAAGAACAGATCCCATTACACCTACAGTGTTGAATTTCCCACATGTGGATTCAATATTGGGTTTATGGGAAGTTTAAACAGAGTCAACTGAAGACAAATGTCATGTGATATGAGGGTATGGGTTGAGCAGAGGAAAGACTACATATTAAATGAATGGATGGATGAATGATTGCTCACCGGACATTCTGGGTGGGATTCCATCTCTCTGATGGCAGCTCTCCACTTTGTGGGTCATCTACTGGAGGGTGCAATATAGAGATACACACATCTCCATTCTGAAACAGAAGGAACAGTCCAATTTAGTCCTTTTGCAGTAACCACATAAGAAGGCACTATGAGGATGTTAGAACCACATATAACTGAGTAAAACCATGATACTACACCTCATAGATGTTGGGGTGCCACATTTTAGTAAGGAACCTGAATGTGGGGGGAGAGTACGGGTAGTCCATAGGGAACTTGATCCGGGCCTGAAAAGAAGAAAAGAAAAAGTGATTCAGATGCAACTCAAAAATGTTGTAGGATACTGTAGGATTTATTAATTAGTGCAAATTTCTGAAAAGCTATGGAACAAGCCTGACTGTTTTACATTTTGAACTGTTCAAAGAGCAACAATGGAATCTGTTTATAATATTATGTTATATTATTATGGGATTTTTTTAAAAAGATGCTGTACTTGTTGGTCATGTTATTTCCAAGCATTTTTAGTTTTTTAGCCAGCTGCGACATGGGAGCAAGAGTAAGTCTTTCTTGGAGGCTTCGATCTGGTTTTCTAACATTGGCAACTGAACTAATTTCCTAAGACTATAACTTAATTTTCTGTGGCCAGCTGCCAGAGGCCATGGCAAATGGAACAAGGCTCTAATGCCCTGACTTAGCCAGGTGCCCAAGACGCAAACTGATCAGAAATAAATGCATTGGTACCAATGTAATTACTCATTATTTAAGTTTGTGTCACACGTTTGTGTGAAAAATAGTGTATGACATACAGTATCTGCAAAAGCTGAGCTTAGTTCATTGCAGATTGTACTGTGAAAACAGTAGGTGAAAAGCAAGTTATCCATCTTTGTGTTGTAGATGGCAAAGAGATCATAGACCACCGTTATGTTCAAATGTACTTGTTGAAGGATTTAGCAACATCTAGTGGTTTCATGTTGTAATTAGATATCCTTAACAATTCCGTTTAAACTTATCTTTATCTTTATTATCTTAATTATCTTTTGTATCTTTACACTGGAGCTTGTAAATGTACACTGGGTGGTAAGACACTACATGAAATTGGGTTTATTTACTTTGGTCTTTTCTTAAAACACGTCAACCAAACATGGCCGCCTTTGTTGACAAGACTAAATCCTGTTGAACACAAAACATTTTTATTCTTGTTTTGCAAAATAAGTTAAGAATTATAATCAGCCTAAATTATTGTTAACGTAAAACATTTTTATCTGACTTGCGTGAGGTTTTAAATGTTTGGATTGTGTTTACGATTTGTTGTCCTAATGTTGTTATGATCAACAGTGTTTCTGTCAAGTGTCAGATGTACCGCTGCCAATAAACGCACAAAAATTGTAACTACATTTCATTCTTACCTTAAAATATCCACCTTCATAGTGAGTGTTCGGGGGTCCGAAAATGGCCACTTCCCAGTTGTACAAATCAGCCTCATCAACCAGTGTTATTTTGAAACCTTCGACAGGCTCTTCTTGAAGGCTCTTCATCTCTAACATAAGAGCTTTCTGTGAGCTGGCTACATGAGAGGAGTCGTGTTGCGCCATAACCAAACTTGCAAGCTTTCGAAAATAACCTGAACCGGGAAACTGGGCGGTTTAGATTACACGAATGAGGCTAAATGAGCCCAACTAGGCTAAAAACAACCAAAGACAACGCTGAATAACAACTGGTGTGTTACCGAGACAATGAAACAGGCCAAACTAGCCAGGTTGCGAAAATGCAAACAAAGACTACCGTAAAGTCTATCCCGAACCAGGTGAATTATTTACCGCTGTCAGTGATAAGAAATTGGTGAACTGACCAAACCATTGTGGCTGACCGGTGGCTCCAACCTTAGTTTATCTACCTGGCAGCGGCGGACATAAGCCGTAAATTTACTGTTGACGGTCGGCTAACGTGAGCTAGCTGACAAGCTCCACCTTACCGAGCAGCTGAAGAACACTCTACCACAGCTTATAACAGTTTTAACCACCTTGAAATACAAAGTTAGAAAAGAAAAAACGCCACAACTGGCATGGATTTGTCGGAGATAAAGGTAGCAATGTCTGCCCGCGGTGCTGGGTAAAAGAATACTGTTGTTGAAAAGAGTTTCCTCTCCCATCAAAACAGGCAATGGCGCTGTGTGTCGCCTGGTACTTGTAGTTCATTTAACCTGACAAAATCAAGTCCAGTTTTCCAAAACAACCCAACAATAACTCCGAGTTTTAAAATAACCTTGGGATTTATAGTATCTTAAACGAGGGCTCATTTATTCCACTGTCAGAATTCGTAATTACTTAATTTAACTATGTTTTCATAAAACTCCATTTGTCATGTGTGACGTCACCAAAATGCGAGATTGTTTTTGTTAATGAAATATATCTATAACCTCTTTATATTGCTATGTACTTTAAACATGCGTTTTAAGCATTATTACTACCAGTGAACCATAGTATCTTAACTTACTGTCAAAAAGAATGATTGTTTACATGTGGAATTTTAAAGACGTGCACAGACGTCATAAATTGCGCCTAACCATAAAAAGCCCCTTGAGGCTGCCCCTATAGTGCCTGTATAACTAATCATTTTACCGGCCTTTTTTTTTTTTTTTTTTTACAAAGATTATGAATAAAAGCGAATCTTCTTCCGAAGTCCCTTCTGCTCACCCTTTAAATTTAATTTTAGCTTATATTCTCACCATAGTACATCAGACGACTTTTCTTGGTTACGTCTTATTTACGCGACAAGGTAACATTCAGGGCCTGCACTTCTCAAACTTCGTGATGGATTCGAAATCAAGACGTCGTTCTGGATCACGATCGAAAAGCCGCCACCGAGAAAGGCGTAACAGGTCCAGACTGAGCAGATCGCGGTCACCTGAAAAAATAAAAGTTCGCAGCCGGTCTCCGGACACCAAGAGAACCGGACGTGGTGGCGGACGGTCCGGGAGCGCGGACTCTTGCGAAGGCTCTCCAGCTAGACGTTGGGCGAAGAACAGAGACCGATCGGGATCCAGAAGTGGTTCTGGGAGTGACAGGAGACCGGGACAACGCCGAAACCGGGGCAAATCAAGCAGTCGATCGCCCAGGTAACAAACTGTCCTTACACGTGTATTACACATTTTTTCAATGTGTAATGAGACAAAAATAATGAATACAAATCAGTCTTTGTGGTTTTAATCGGTCGTAAATGTGGACTTAAAGAGTATGGTATGGTAATGAAATAAGGTAGTATGGTATATTTGCTCAGTGAAATGAAAATGAAGACCTACAATCAATCTTTGCTTATTGTTTCTCTATGTAATCATCCTTTACTCTGAATTTCTAATAAATTATTTATTTAATATTTTTGTAAAAGCAGTTCTACTAACATAATTCATGTAAGCACTAAAAACAACGTTAAACTATGTTTTCTATCATAGTTCTGGTTCAGATGATCCTAAAATGAGGCGACGAGGAAAGGAAGCCGAAACCAGGAGAGGAGCATCAAGAGAGAGGGCAAGAAGGTCCTTGTCCAACTCCAGCTCCCAGGACGGAAGCAATGAGAGAGAGAGAAGAAATAGGCGACTAAGAAGTCCTGACAGAAGGAGTCCAACCAGGGACAGACAGAAGAGAGAGTGTGACAGTGACAGAAAAAAGAGCAGTAGCAGGGACAGAAAAAGAGACAAGAGCCAAGAGCGAAGGAGGAGAAGCGAGGACAGGGTAAGAGGGAGGCGGGAGAGGAGTAGAGGGAGGCAGCGCTCCAGTTCGCCTGAGTCTGATAGTTCAGGGTCTGATCATGAGGGCAAAGCAGTAAAAGAAAAGGAGGAGAAGAAAAAGCAGAAGGAAATGATAAAAGCCCTGGAGACTCCAGAAGAGAAGCGAGCTCGACGACTGGCAAAGAAGGAGGCGAAAGAGAAAAAGAGAAGAGAAAAGATGGGCTGGAGTGAGGAGTACATGGGTTACACTAATGCAGACAATCCTTTTGGTGACAACAACTTACTTGGCACATTTAAATGGCAGAAGGTGGGTTAAAAGGGATTCAGAAAATCATATATGTTTGTAGTTTAACTTGAAAATAACTAAAGTTTTGCCTGTTTTTTTTAGGCATTGGATAAGAAAGGCATTGGTCACCTGGGGGAGAAGGAGCTCAAAGATAGGAACAAACTTATACAGGAGGAAAACCGCAGAGAGCTGCAGAAGGTACAATTTTTGTCATGCTGATATAATGGTCCTGATACAGATAAACTCCATAGTTAATTTAAATTACTGTGAATTTAGGTGAAACAGCTTCGTCTGGAGCGGGAGCGAGAGAAAGCCATGAGGGAGACCGAGCTGGAGATGCTGCAGAGGGAGAAGGAGGCGGAGCATTTCAAGACCTGGGCCGAACAAGAAGATAACTTCCATTTGCAACAAGCAAAACTGAGGTGAGTTTACAGCAACACGTCTACAGTCACAGTCTGTTTCTGTACCACCAAATGGATTCTGTCTGTGATTTGTCTACAACAACTGGTGACTTGTTCTCATTCTATTTACAGATCTAAAATCCGTATTCGGGACGGTCGTGCCAAACCCATCGATCTTCTGGCAAAGTACATCAGTGCAGAAGATGACGACCTTGCAGTTGAGATGCACGAGCCGTACACCTTCCTCAACGGGCTTACGGTCACCGACATGGATGACCTTCTGGAGGACATTAAGGTTTGTTGTTTAGAGGTTCTGGTTCGCTTTCTCAATTCTCAATAAATGCAGCCAGTTTGTAGCCTCTGGTTTGCTATCTATGTACAGTATATACTGTATGTTTTTTAGTAGTCAAGTGTTTTTCTTTTAACTGCCACTGTGGGGCACCAAACACACCCTAATTTATAGCAAATGTATCTCTGTGCTGTAATTCTGCAGACCATAGACTGTGAACTAATTTGGCCCTTGAACACGACTTGTAGTAGTTAATTAACACCTAATATTATTAATTGGTACGTGTTACACTGTGTCTTCTGTACTGGCAGGTGTACATGGAGTTGGAACAGGGCAAGAATGTGGACTTCTGGAGAGACATGACAACAATCACTGAGGATGAGATTAGCAAACTGAGAAAACTGGAGGCATCTGGGAAAGGACCAGGTATTTGAAGTATTCTGACATATCATCACCATGAAACAGTGACTTCACACTGAGGTCTCTCTTTTGTTCCTCTGTACATGAGAACCTGTGTCGGTAGTTATTTTCAAGCATCTCTGTGGTGACTGCAACAGGAACTGTATCTAACCACACGGCTTTTTCTTCTCTTTTTTCTAAAAACAAAAACAAAAAAACAATTGCAATCTCATTGAAACCTCAGGTGATCGCCGCGAGGGAATCAACACAGCTGTGAGCACCGATGTGCAGTCAGTGTTCAAAGGCAAGACTTACAGCCAGCTGCAGGCTCTTTACATGAAGATCGAATCACAGATCCGAGAGGGAGGTTCCAATCTCGATATCAGCTACTGGGAGAGTCTGCTGCAGCAAGTCAGAGTATACATGGCCCGAGCCAGGTGCATATACACAGGAACCCATTTAAAGCACAGGGGATAAAAATACACACCAGTATTAAATTCGTTGTGTTGTGTTGACCTATAACAGCATACACTTACCAGACTGATGGCAAACTCTTATGATGATGATGATTTTACTTTACAGGTTAAGAGAACGACACCAAGACGTTCTGCGTCAGAAGCTGTATAAACTCAAACAGGAACAAGGAGTGGAGAGTGAACCCCTGTTCCCCATCATCAAGGAGCAGCAGCTGAGTGAGGATGAGGAGTAAGTTACCTGGAAAACGCACAACAGCACATGTTGAAATACAGTGGAAGTCCAGTGAATTGTTGAAGTACTACAGTGGTTCTCAAACTTTTCACCCTTAAAATGTTTTTTGTAACCACAGGGAGAGGATGCGGGTAACTGCAGCCGAAGAGGCCGGACCGTCATCATCTTCAAGCAAAAACAGAGGAAACAATGAAAGTGAAGAAATAGCCGGGCCCTCAAAATCTCCAAAACAGCACGAGGACGGAGAAGGAACGGCTGAGGGCAAGGACGATGAGGAGAAGGAAGAGGAGGTGGAGGCTGTGTTGACCGAAGAGGACCTGATCCAGCAGAGCCAGGCGGAGTACGACTCGGGCCGCTACAGTCCTACGCTACTGTCAGGTTCCGAGCTGCCGCTGGACACGCACACCATCACCCCGGAGGAGGACACACACAGGCTGCAGCTGGCCCGCAGACAGCTTCAGGTCACAGGTAGGAAAACACATTCTTTAGTAGAATTACACAGATGTGGGGGGAAAAATAAACGTCTTGCTCATGGTAACTTGTAATTTTCAGGTGATGCTAATGAGAGCGCTGAAGACGCCTTCGTCCGTCGAGCCAAGGAGGGCATGGGCAACGACGAGGCCCAGTTCAGTGTGGAGATTCCAGTTTCGGGGAAGATGTACTTGTGGGCAGACAAATATCGCCCCAGGAAACCACGCTTCTTCAATCGTGTGCACACTGGTTTTGAGTGGAACAAGTACAACCAGACGCACTACGACTTCGACAACCCTCCGCCCAAGATCGTCCAGGGATACAAGTTCAACATCTTCTACCCAGATCTGATCAACAAGCGATCCACGCCGCAGTACTTCTTGGACCCCAGCCATGACAACAAAGACTTTGGAATCTTGACGTTTCATGCTGGCCCTCCGTACGAGGACATCGCTTTCAAGATCGTGAACAGAGAGTGGGAATATTCACACAGGCATGGCTTCCGCTGTCAGTTCGCCAACGGGATTTTCCAGCTGTGGTTCCATTTCAAGCGGTACCGCTACAGGAGATGAAGAGCTGATTTACATCAGAAGTGGACATGCTGTCTCAGAATAAGAATTTAAAATATCTACAAATGCATTTGTAAATGACCAACTTGTGATTCAGCTGTGATAGTGACCATGAGCTGGACCAGTTTCTGTTCTTCAGTTTTTATTCTCTCACCTGAATATACTGCATTACGTAAATAATGAGGTATCACGTGTGATTTAATGATGCAGCCACAAGTCTGGATCTAAGTGACTGTACTTTGCATCAGTGTATTTTTGTTCATTCCCTCAAAGTTGAAAACAACGTTGTTTGAAAATTAGCCATTAAAGATTTTCGTCTTTTTAGCCTGGCAGTATTTTTTACATTGAAATACTTTGACAATTGCATCATTGATTTTGAATTGTCACTCACACACACATGCATACACTTACATCTCTGGTCTTTGCATTCCTGACATGTCACGTCTCGTGGTGGAAGCAGTAAACCACAGCTGGATCTGAATACACTGAAACACAGACTGGGTAGAAAAGATGTTTAATACAAGAGAAGAAAAGTTTTACAGCTAATGGTTACAAAAAATAAATTGGCTCAAATTCTTATTTTGTGCATTTCTTTTTCAATCTATTATTACAAAAATGTAAAAAATGTTAAAAAGTAGAGAACGATAAACAAAAGTCCACAACATTTGCATAAGACTGCATAAAAAACTGAATTTCAAGTATGTCTCGTACTTGCGCAGAGTCCAGTTAATCTTTTGGCATCTCAGTCTCTCAAGGTGAGGTTTTCGTCGACACAAAAGTCTCATTCCAACTGAGCTGGTGCACACTGGGTTTATGCACAGAGTTTTTCCCAGGTTGCCTCGGAGTTAAACCGTGCCTATTGGCACGTTTTCAAATTTCCGACTCGTCATCGATGTACTGCAGAGAATGCTGGTTCACGTCTGGGGGATCGTTCTCCTCCCCGGCCTCCCCTCCTCTGTGGTTATTGTTACTGCTGCTGCTGTCGGGTGCAGGTGACAGGAGCTTGTCCTCGGCCGGTGTAGGCCTCTCACTGCAGTTCACGCCCATCTCCTCTTCATACTCGGGAGATTTTCTGCTGTTCTTTTTCCCACACTTCCAGGGAAGAGGCAGATGACCTTTGTAGAAATTCCAAACCAGAAGGGCAACCAGAGAAATGACCAGGAGAGCTACCACCACCTGCAGCCCAGTTACAGAGGGGCCGTCCTTCTGAGCCTGTGGAAACACTATCTGACCGTCCCTGCCTGAGCCTGTGCCTATTTTCAGCTGGTACTCGGCCACTGTGTTTGTGTACTTGCCCGCTTTTGAGTGCTCCACAGACAGGCAGCGGTACAGACCGCCATCGCTGTGCGACGCATTGAGGATGAGCAGCCCGTCTTTCAGCCACTGAAGTCGGTCCGAGGGGATCAACAGACGGTTGTCCCACTCCCAGCTGGTTGATGCCAGGTTTGAAGGTCTAGGACAGCTCAGCTTCAGGTTGCCTCCAGGCCAGATGGACCGATCTTGTCGTTTAATAGGATCTGGAAAGAGTAATTTGATTATTTATGATGGATTCTGATTTTTCATTCCCTTGTACATACATACATCCTACTGAATGGTGTGATGTACGTATTTCTTACCTGCTTTGGGGCAAAGAGAAGCATTTCCATCTTTCACACTTTGAATTAACTCTCTGAAACAGAACAAAAATAATACACAGACATTAAAATGAACCCCGTCTAGAACCGATTTCAGATTTACGATTGCTGCAAGTGAAAAATATTTACCTTTGTGAATCTAAAAGTGCGACACATTTCCCGACCACCTTGTCCCAGCCACAGTATGGGTCTCTGGCTAAAACACAGTCCATACAGGTTGAGGACCTCGCACAGTTGGCCAGTGGTATCTGTGCTGCTCCAGAGTTGGACCCAGCATACAGTTCACGCTGTACAAGTTTGATCACACAGACACACAACACACAACAAAGTGGTCATTAACTTATACTTGAGTGACTATCAGTCATTTTTTAAATTTAAATGAAGCTGTGTTGTTTGAGGTTAGAAACATTGTTTGTTCCACATCCTGTGCTAACAACAAATGGTTCCTTAGAACTGAACCACCTCACATATTTTACATTATTAAAATACTAAACCACAAATACCACCAATACTAATGATATTTTGAGCATAGATTTCAACTTACCGTGACATTAGAAAATTTCAGAATTTTGACCGGCTCCTGTTGTTGGAAAAGTTCCATTTCCTCGACGATAAACATCTCTCCATCGTAGTTCACTGCTTTCAGCATGGTACCTTCAGCTTTTCAAGAAAAAAAAATATATTAATAGGTTTATGAGTGACAGCAACGTGTGATAACTAGATGGGGTGACCTTAAACACACACCCGTGCCTATAAACATCACGTGATACTTCTCGCCATCTGCTGCCTGCATTCGGTCCACTGCGATGCGAGTAAACGTTACTCGCCTGCGCACCAGCAGGGGCTTCTCTCCTATTGGCTGGATGGCCGGGTCCATGAGAGGACTATCTTTGACAAATTGAAGAGTCTTGTCTGGGAGGTCCAGCGTCTGAGTTATACCCGCATTACGGGCCTCATTGTTGATGCACTGATAATAGAAGAGGTCGAGGAGGGAGAAAAGGAGGAACAATAAAGTCGCAGGACAAAAGCAGCTGGGTCACCGCTAAAGAAAAAGACGTCTTTGAGGTTTTGATTTGTTTTTATGCCACACACACTGAGTGGTGGACAGACTCACAGCTCCAGGCCGAGGGAACGGGACATCTCCACTATACATCACCCACTTAACAAAGGAGGTTTCTACATGGATCGGGGTCTTGTACTTGCCCTCCGCAAATACTCTGCTGATGTCAGACACACGGTACGCACACACAGCAGACAGATCGGATGTGTCCCTGAAACATACGTACACACACACAGAAGAATGTGGGCCACAGACCAATAAAAAAAGGAGGGACCCCCCCCTTTACTTCCCTTCCTCTACACATTCAATTCAAACATACGATTGCGGCGTGAAGATGGCATAGAATATACAGTTCTTCCAGTGCTGCTGGGGGTCACACCAAAGGTAAGTGTCCTGGATAATATACGGCAGCTGAGCCTCCAGCACCGGACAGTCCAATCTGGCCTTCAGGAAGGATGTCCACTTCTTTTGCAAAGTCCTCTGACCTCCAAGATCTCCCTGTGGGACACAGATACCGCAACACAGGAGAAACGAATCCCTTTAAAATGACGGAAAAGAGCCTGCCATGGAAACCACTGTTTATGTGCTATTGTTGTGAATGGAGGCAGGGATAAAAATAAAGTCACGCTTTTTATCACCTTGCAGACACGGGCTACACGGGACACAACGATTTTGTTGAAGCAGTCGCACTCTACGGCCTTCTCACTGAAGAACAGGTAGACCTTGTCGTCGTCTCCCGCCTCATTGTTTTCACTCTCTGGCATCTGAGCCATAGAAACAAAGCTGGGCTCTGTGGTAGGAAAACACAAACAGAAACCTCGACTCTTGAAGCAGTTCATGACAGAACAATAGGAGTCATCACAGAGATAAAACAACGTCCAGATTACTTCAGACATTGGTGCAACTTTGACCCTGGTTCCGGACAGTTACCCTTGGAGTCAGCTCTGGAGGCCGTAGGGTTCTTTAGGTCAGTCTTTACAGTCAACACTTCACCATAACTAGTTGTTGTTTTTGTTACATGTACATTTCAATGTACATGTAATGGTGAGTCCAAAGGTTTTTTCCACACATTTTTAAAAATTAATCTTAGTGGTCTTTTGGTATTTTATTAAATTAGCTTACAATGATAGAGTATGAGGATGTTTTGTGTAAATGCATCTCTCCAGTGGTGAGGGTGAAGAAATACCAAAGAATGATACAAGCTGTACTTGTGAAAGTCTGCATGTGGGATCTTACACCAGATACCACATGCTGCCTTTGAGAATTGAGAAATCTCATACCTTCTACCCGTTTGTCATCATGGTTAGCGTTTAAACAGCGATTACAAACATGTTACCGTTGAGCCACGAGCTCTTGAACTCAGTGCGAATGGAAACAGGAGAGCTGCGCATCAAGACAGGTTCGGAGCCCAGAAAGTTCATGGACGTGGCTGAGTACAAGTTCTTATCTGGTGGGAACAGACAAGAAAAAATTGAGACATAATAAATGAGGTGTGTACTTCCAGTCAGCCTGTTTGGTTACAGCTACACACACACACACACACACACCATCCATGATGGAGGCATATCTCTGCTCTGGATCAAATGGACACTTTCCTTTTCCATCCTGTGCTTTATTTTCCAGAGTCAGCTTTCCATTAGAGTAGGACTGTAGTCACAGACACAGACATCCCACAATTAGATAAACATAACTATGATTTATACAGAATAAATTAAATCTCTTATTGTGTCTTACCATGTAGTCACACTCTGGGTCAAAGGCATTAGTTCCGCAAACGTACATCCTGTCATCATCCATCTTGTGCAAAATTCTGATGTAGTTTTTGCAATCCAACTGTGAAAGCAGTGCACAAACACAATGACGCCTCAGGTACAGCCTCTTTAGATTAGTATCTGAAGAGAGACTCACCTCAGGATCCTTTCCTTTGTTCTGACACTCTGTTTTCTGCTTCTCTGTTACCTCCCATTTCACCTGAGAGAGTGACAGGGAGTGCAGTTTGACATTTTGCATATTTAGACCTACATGATGCACACAAACGTAACACTAGAAGTCAATTCTGATAAATTATTATGTGGACCAGTTTTAGGTCCTGGACCAAATTTGTTTGGTCTACATATGTAAGCTGTTCCATGTCAAATTCAAAAAGTCTATTAAAACACTGGTGGGGTAACACTGCCAAAAACAAATATAAAAGATGAATAATATAAATGTATTTCAAAGGTGCTCAGTTCTACTGAACGCTGACTCACTGAAGCATGTTTCTTGGAGATGTCCTTGAGGTCCAGTGCATACACTGCCTCTCTGGCCCCCAGGACCAGCAAATCCAGATCTTCTCTGAGCAGCATCGTGGAGTAATTAAACACCCCCTCCTCATGAAACAGATGAGGGTTGACCTCTGAAAATCGAATGAAAAAGAAAAAAAAAAGGTTAATTATTTAGCAGCAACACACCCAGTTTAGAACCACCTAATGAGTCAGGTCCAAGTGTGTGTGCCCACACGACCTGTTGCACAATTAAGAGCTGTTACACAGAGGCAGAAACACTCACCCTGATAGGAGACGGACTTCCGTGGGACGCAGTCTAGTGGAGAATCTTCTTCCAGTGCCAAGGTTAAAGGGAAGAACCAGAAGATACCGAGGCAGATGAGCAGATACATGGCTCCTGTGGGGTTTTTTTTTTTCAAGTTTAAGGAATAAAGGCTTTTATTGTGTCACTAAGAGTCGGTCATAGAGGGTAAAGGCGGCGAGCGGCATCTATGATGTGATGAGGTTTGTGCTGGCTAAACAGCCCGGCCCCTTTATTGGCCTCGCTCAGCAGGCTGTCCATGGTGAGATAGATGGCACACAGCAAAGAAACAAAGCTGGGGAGGGCTGAAAGACAAGGTTGGAGAAGAAACACAATCAGCCCGCCAAAAGTCCGACAAAAATGTTACAACATGTTAAGGAAAGATACGGTAACAAAAAAAAAACAAAAACACACGCATAAGGTGACTTTTTAAAAAATGTGCCTAAAATGTCAATGAGGACAAACAAAGGAAAAAAAACATGTATTTCACAAAAAGGTAGGGAGTCAGCCAGAAAGGGCAGTGCGATCTAAAGTCAGCACGGCAGTAATTCTGTCAGTGCCATAGTGATGTTAATGCAGGGCCATGAAAGGCATTCAGCAGGGTGCAGCGATGTCGACCTTAGCACTCCTGCAGCACCAAACACAGGCACACAAAGACACGCACAGAGAGAGACTGCCAAAGTCTGCTGCTGATGAGCAGCGAGCTAAAGGCTTTCTGCTTGGAATGGTCTCACAGCACGTCCTGCTTCAAAGACCAGACCAGAACATCTACTGTCAGCTGTCCTTCTACTGTGGTTACTGTGCTGCAGTCATCAGCACTTCCTGTTTCTACAGATTTTATCTTTGATTTAGCATGCTTATATCAAATATGTCCAAAATCTGGCTCAGGGGCTCATGAAGAGTCTTTAATTAATTTGATGTAGATAATTGCTCTTTTTGTAACTGATCATTAATAAACATAAATTATTCTTTTGGTTTGCTTTAAGGGTGTTTCAGATCATTTCTTGGATCTTTCTATTGCTTAACTTCTTAACCTGAAAAACATTTGGACACCACTTTTAAACGCAACACAAGTGCACAGAATGCAGTCCAACTTTAAAGAATGCACTTGGATTATTACAGTACTGAGTCCAAGTATCCACCTCAGGGTACAGTAATCAGAAAATGTTGATGAAAACTGTACTTGATGTTTACAATAGTGTGTGTAAGTAGAGGCTACAGAGTGGGTGTGTTTGTAGAGCCTGTTCTTTCCTAACAGAGGTGTGTGCTGTGTAACATCGATGAGCTCCAGCTTGTCAGAGAATGCTGCCCTAATAACATGTTTCACATTTTTGGCCCTGCAGCCATTTACTCAAAACTAACAATCTCACCCACTCACCCCCTAGTCTTATTAATACCCAAGGACGTCTTTGTTGATATATAATCCTAACCCTATTTCAAACCCACTTTTTTTATTCTAAACTAAGGATCGGCCACAAACCATGCTGAAGGCTGACTTTTGTGCACATTAGTGATCCATCAATGTCATAGATATAACAGAACTATGTTTAAACTAAAAAAAAAGGTCCTTTAACTCAAAGGTATAGACAGGATATCTTATAAACTTTGTGAAGTACTGACATGCTCTAACAGGCCACTTCATTAGGAACACTGTAAAACTGCTTTTTAGTGCAAATCATCTGATCACATGGCATTACCTAAATGAACTTAAGGATGTAAACATGGTCAAATTACACTGAACATCAGAATTGTGAAGAAATTGTGTTAAACATTCTATCACCTCACCTTGTGTAGAATGTTACAGTAACAATAGTACAACCAACTGTAGGTTTTAGGGTGAACGTCACTGAAGACATTAAAACCTAAAGAAAAGCAAAGCACCACAGCAAAACGTAACCACACCTGGTTCAACTCCTCGACAGAGCTGCAAACATTAACTATACTGATAGAGAAAAAGACGGTCTTACAAGAACATAATTAAGAAAATATTAACTTAAGCAGGTGAAGGTTATGTTTGCTTACTGTTACTAGATTCAAATCATTTTAGTAGCCATGTTTTCATTAAGAGTGGACGTCATTGTCAATAAATGTACTGTAGGCAATTTTAAGTGCACCAACGTTATCTCGACGCCTTCGTGCAAATGAGAACTGAAAGCGTTTACTATTTCTTTAGAAATTCAAACTTTAGCTCTTCAAGCGTCAACAGTCAATCACTTACCTGCCGTGCACCGACACACCCATCGCCGAGGACACCTTCATTTAAAATGCAGTCCAAACAATGGCTTGAGCGCAATTAATGAATCACTTCCAGCAGGTTGCTGTTTGCGAAACTAGGTCATTGAACTGTTAAATCCTCCAGCAGTGAAATAAAATCGACACAAAGGTGACTCTGGTCTGAAACTGCACCGACTAGATTAGATTGTTTCTCTGAGTCAGTGCAACCGACGCTCAATTTAGAGTGCTCTCGCACCGTAAGTGTTACGGTAAACGCACTGAAACTCCAAGCTTGAGCTCAGATGCCACACATCCGGTTTCAAAATAAAATTCTAACTTTAAGCTTTAAAACCGTTACCATTCATTTTTGTTAGTTAAAAATATAAAGAATAAACACAAAATATGAAAACGACTACTGTGATTATTATTATTATTATTTATCACACATACTACGTTTGTTTATTATATTCATTATTTTAAAAACTATATTCCGTATGCAAAAATAGTCATACTTAGTACTTAAGATATATTTTGAAAACCAGATATGTGTCCGTCCGGGCGCGAGTAGCAAATTTACCGTACAGGGTATAATATAGGACCAAGCAGAAATAGACAGTAGGTTTGTTTGAATACAAGGTCGGCGTAAACCATGTCAGTTTGATGTGCTCGGGGCGGATCTTTGTCTGGCACCGCCCAATAATTCACCTACGGAAACCCCTTTTAATAGTAAAGAGTTCTGCGTGGCGCCACCCTGTGGCTCAATAGTTTTACTACTTGGGGCCGATTTATTTTTATAAAAATGACACACTATGATACACTACGCGCAGATTATGGGAAAGACAAGCCACGGACACACCGATATGGTGACCATACTGAAGTGTGTGCATATAGTTTGTCAATTTACTTGCTGTTAGGCAGGTGAATTAGGTATGTATAGAAGTAAAGTGCGATAGCAGATGTAGCCACAAGACGGCGCCTTTGAGGTGTGTTGGGAGGGTTGAGGAAGGTTAATAAGGAAATATGTTGTGTTTAATTAAGAGTGTGTAAAGAAAGCCTCTGAGTCTGTTTTATGAATATAAACAAGCTAAACTTCCATCATCTGAAAAGAGCGGTAGTCTATTAAAGGACTGAATTTTTTACAATTTTATTCAGTCCATTTTTCTCACCCTGTTTTAAGAAAATTTAAAAAACGGAAAGAAAAACAAAAGAAAGTCATGGAAAAAATGTATTGTTTCCAGTATCAAACAAATACTGTTGGGAAATCACCAGTTGACACGTCAAATGCTGTACAAACATACATGAACAAGAAAACATGAATCACTGCATCACATTTCGTCACTAAAACTCAGACACTTCATATGAGCAAGAACAGACTCATCATGTCAAAGGTTCAGACAGGGTAGGGTAGATAGTCTCGGTGTAATACTGCAAAGACTGTTTATGAGGAGGGTGAGTCCTTTCAATTGGCAGTCATTCCACTAGAGGGCACCCTTATATACAGTAGAAGTGGAACATGGGCGTTTCCATGCAGCAGGTCTGAGCACCGGGGAGTAGTAGCACCATATAGTAGTACACACGTAATGTAACAGAGAATAAGAAAGAAAGAGAATAAGGTTTGAAATTAACCACAGCAGTGTCACACAATCCACAAAATGTTCATGGTCGGTACTCAATCACAATAACACTCAGAGCAGCAGGCTGAGATTGTGCAGGTTTCAGTTTGTTTTGCAGCTCAACTGTTTTCAGTTATTTTCTCTCTTTTTTTTTTACGGTGAAGGAGGAGGTTCACTGAGCTTAAACCTGAGCGTGCTCGGTTTATTTTACTTTCAGACAGGCTAAAGTATCTCAGCAGGATCAGTAACATCAGCAGCTCAGGAACGAACATGGGCTCAGACAGGAAAAACATTCAGCTCAGCTGGTGGTCCAGTGTTTATGTCAATGTGTTTTGTTTTTTTTTTCATTTTAGGTTTAAGCTGCCAGCTGTCACTTCTTGTGCGTTCTGTCCTGAAGGAAAATCATGTGTCAGGAGGCAACATTTTTACACAGTTTGTAAACAATCATTTGCACACATTAAACAGGAAGTGTTGGGTTTGGTTGTCTGTCCACCTAAAAGGCACAGGATGGGTCGCTGCTGCAATGAGGCGGTGTTTGGCACTGAAGATCGGGTAAGCTGCAAAACAGGATGTTCCTATCAAACAAATTCACTCCTGACTGGCTCGTCTCTTCTCTAGCTTCATTTTCAGTTCTTCATTGAGAGCTGTGGACAAACAGAAGATGCACTTTGAGCTGAGGCAACTGTTGGACAACAGCTGCAGAGAGAGTTACAGCGACATCTACTCACTGTGTGCAAGAGGAGAAGGAGAGAGAATGAGTCGTCTCATCGGGTTGGTGGGCGAGGCCGGCACTGAGGAGGTCAGAATACGTCGGTCTGGGGCAGGTGACCTGGTCAGAGGACTGGACCAACGCTCTGAAACAGACAACAGTGATTGCAGTTGCTGCATGTCAGGGAAACAGTTGAACAATTGGACATTTTAAAAACGGGATGCTGTCCATGTCGTAAAGTAGTAAAGTGGACTACATTATTGGTTTCCTGGCAATACGTTTGCTTTTAATCTGTAGGAATTGGGCCATGTTAACAGTTAGCAAGTTGGCTAGCCACTGGTATAAATTTATTATTTATATGTTATATGTTATTGCTTTATGGTAAAAAAACCTTGTTTTGGTGGCAGGGCTGGAGCTTTAGGAAGTGGACTGGTGGGGGCAGTGTGGAGGATCCTTTCTCCATTTTCATCATTAGCAGATACATATGCTGATAACAGAAGAAGAAAAACATGGTTATACAGATTGACACGTTGACATGCAGCAGGTTAGACAGAGGTCATGCTCGACTCACTTATGTTCTCTTCGTACGGCTCCTCCAGAAGGAAGGGTTGGAGAGTTCCTGCCGTCTTCTCCACCAAGGCATCGATGACATCATGGAGGGTCGCACAGGGAATCTGGCAAAGAGAAACACAACAGTATATCTATAAATTTAGGTATGTCGGCCAACCCGATACAACCTGAAACTTTTATTAGTATTGTGCATGGTATTGTCATTGTGACACAGCACACATTAAAATGTGTCCTCTCCATTTAATCCAAACGACTGCATACATCGGCATCAATTGATATCAAAATTGCAAATAAAGTGTTCGGATATTGGCAAAAAGTTAACATCAGACATCCCTAGTTAAAATTATACTGAAATCTCAAAGAAGAAGCTAGCAGTTGTTGTGTACACTTACAGGGTTCTCTACGTCGATGACATAACCACCTTGGTCCCTCTGTGTCACACGATAATGTCGAAACACAGACCTAGAACCAAATGAAATAGAAAGTACAGTGGTTTAGAGTTGGAGTAAAAACCACAGGTATGATGATCAGGATGTCCCTCAGATTCTTATTCACCCATTCAGGTCTTGTCGTGTGGTGACAGCCAGTGAACACCCGTCTCTTCCAGGACGAAGCAACATGTTGCCACAGTCTGGGTGTCTCTCCAGCAGAGTTTCAGCTTCTGTTCTAGACACTGGACGAAAGCAGCTGCGAACACAAAATGGTAATTATTAATGTGGAAAATTCACTGAAAATCCCACTGTGTGCTGTGACAAGACAATTAAAAGAAAATGTTTGCTAAGGAATCCCCAACACACTGACACAGTCTGACTCACTTCGTCAGCAACATTTTCTTTATCAATTTGTGGTTCAAACACAGAGCACAACTCACGCTGGGATCTCCCCTACTAAAGGCACAGACAGTGGCGAAGGAGGAGCTCGCGTCGGAGTACGGATTCTCCGTCTGGACCTTTCTTTGTCCACCACCTCCTTCAGCATCTGCAGTTGGCCCGGCAACAGCGTGAGACAGGAGGGCACGTTGAGCTGTGGATAAATCAAAGACAGACTCAAGCGTTGAAAAGCACACCAGGCTGCAGGACATTAAAGACTGAAGAGTCGATCCTAGGATGTAACGATGTACATGCCAATGTGTCCTTGGATGAGACGGAGGCTGTGTGAATGACATTTTGGTCGTGTCATGAAAGCACCTTGGATACATCTGCTGTGTGACTGTGAGTAGTGTGAGTGGTTGACTGTAACGTACAGTGTCTGAGTGTCATCAACAGTCAGAAAGACCTTTACAGGTAGAGAATATTTAATGTTAGACAAACATCGACTCACATCGATGACAGAGTAGAGGAAACCTTTCCACAGCTCTCTGGATTCTAGGTTCGGTGCCTGGAACTAACAAAGGGAATCAGCCTACTACAGTGTATATATATATATATATATGAATATATATATATATGCTGTAGTGTGTATGTTGTGTGCATGTCTTATTACTGTGAGTTTAATTTCCCCGTCCTTCATGCGCAGGATGAGCCTGGCTGCCTCCAGGTTTCTGTCTCGACTACAGTCGTCCTTCAGGGAGACAAATCCATTGAGGTCCAGCTTCTCCACGTACTGTGACCCACACATAAATATACATCTGTGTTAGTGTCAGAACAGCAGGTCACACACTAGATGCCCACACTGCGTACCACACTTACCTGGGAGTCCTTGGTATTGTTGAAGAAATACAAAGAATTCCCACGAAGACTGGTCCACAAACGCCGGGAAGCCTGGTACCATTCATAATACAAATGTCGGGAAGATAGGGGGAAAGGACACAGTGGTTAGTTTTGACGCCTTACAGCAAGATGGTCAACGGTTTGATTCCCAGTAGAGAGTGTTTATGACCTCCTTTTGTGTTTGAACTGTTGGGACGAGCTCCGGTTCCTCCAGGACAAGATGGAGGACAAAGATGAATGAATCAATGAATGAACGAATAATGGGGACCTCATTTCCTGTGGTGGTTTTCCTACATCTGTGTAATGGGAATTTACCCCCTTTTATTGCTCTCCCGTTTCCTGTCCCAGGAGACGGATAGATGGAGAGTCTCAGCTGTGGTCAATCTGTGACCGTGGATCATTGACAAATCCTGCACCTGAGCCGCACACGCTCACGTTACAGGACTGCATCACATTAGAGTGGGGGATAATGGACGTCCATGTGGCTCCCTTTTTTTTATAGTGATCAGACTGTTACAATCACACAGACTTTATTTTGTTTTATTGATTTATTTACCCTTGCTTTAAGCTAATTGGTCCCATTAAAATGATTTTTTTTAAAGTGAGACATGTTTTAAATTTAGATCAGAAGATTTCATATCATAAAATCTTTTAGCCTCAATTTTGCTTTTTGGCAATTTGTTTCCCTCAACAAATTAAATATTAACAGTGCCCTTATGCTAAGACTGAAATATATTGTCCAAAAAAAAGAAATCGTCATATTTCTAACATATATTTTGATTGCAATGTCACTAATTATATTCAAATTAGTAATATTGTTTTAATAAAAAATAATTAGGGGGTATGTTGCATCACAGAAATGACAACGACAAAAACAGTGAGAAGAGAGACAGCTCAGGAAATACAGCCTCAGAGTTCTCATTAAAGGTCAGAACACTTTGACTGCCTGCTTCTCTCTGGGGCAATAAAGAGGCCCGGCCTCCTCAGCCGGAATATCTAAAAGAGAATTATTGACGACAAGATAATTGTCAATTTTTGCAAAGTTGGAAGCCTTATTTAAGCCTTTTGGAACGTTTTTTTTTTTTAACATAACTGGTATTAACAGAGCATCCAAGTATGGAGTTGCACAGTATTATGAAGTATTTATCTTCAGGCAATCCATTAGATTAATTATTAATTTCAATACTGTTAATTGTTTTATTAATAAATTGTAGTTTGATTAAAGATTTGTTTGACTTATCCCTCCTTGTGCCAGGAAGGAAAAAGGAGAAGTAGAACAAGAAAAAGAAGGAGACAGAGACAGAGCCAAAAGATGAAAACAACTCCCGTGTGTTGATAAAACTCCATCTGATCTGAAGTCAATGTTAAACTCTGTCTATCTGCAGGAAGTTTGGATCAAAGGAACAGTGTCTGTCACTGATGATCACTTCACTCACAGCTAGTGCAGAGCCTTTAGAAGAAGAGTCCTATAACAGGGTGAGAAAAAGTCACCCATTAAACTATGACCTATCCCTTTATTCACTGATTTATTCATCTATGAGTTTGTCTACAGTGGAGTTTAGACATGATGATCCAACATGTATAAAAGATGTATAAAAACTCTGCTCCTCCAGTACACCATGGTTTATTCTGGGCTACTAAATACAACTAATCATACTTTGGTGAACGAAAAACCCAACTTACTCTTGGTGTAAAATACATTTAAAATAAGTACAATACAACAGATAATAATACACTGTGTGCACTCACGAAGTTATTAAATTAATTTGAATTATTTGTATTGGTAATTAATCTGTACTGACATATTGAAAAGCTGAACCTTGACCTTTCTCTGAACAAAGCCCATTAAACATTAGTCAGCGGCGACTGAATGATTATTCGACTAATCACTGCTGCCGTGGCGGCCAGATCCGACACAACTTTAAATACAATAGAAAATGCACATTACCTATATTTAAACCATTAAAATAATTATGAACCATAAATAAAATACTGTTATAAACGGTCCATAAATGCTCGACGGCCAATTATTTGGTGCATTGTCAAATCAAAACACCGCCTCAAAGACGGTCTGAAAATGGATTTAATGCATTTCAATAGTGATTTTACATTATATTTCCTACCTTACTCACTCATACATACTCCAGTCAGATGATGGAGTATTTCATTATAATTAAACCTGGTGTTGACCTTCTGCCTCTCTCTGTAGTAACAGTAATAGCACTGATAATGAACTGAAATAAGCTGCAGCGTTTTGACAACGTGTCTCTTTCCGCGACTGTCGCGTCGCGATTCCTGCACAAACCGCCTTCTGTGCTCGGTAAAAAATCACCACCACCACCACCACCAGCAGCAGCAGCAGCAGCAGCAGCAGCGGTAACGGCAGCCTCGCCCAGTCCCTACTGTTCTGTCACAATAAGGAAGTTGACAGCTCTATGGGAATGAGGGTCCAGCCGGTGTGGGCTGCACACCCACACTCAGACATGCACGGACACATTCATCAATAGTACGGTTCCGAAACAACAGGACCCGCTCTCTGCAGCGGTGGTTCGTACCTTTTCTTTCGGGCCCCTTTTCTCCAGGTATCCTTCATAATAACAGGGCGGGATCTGCGGCCGGGAACCTCCCGTCCCGGAGCGCTGTCTGACGGGTGCAGCCGCCATGAGTGTCGCTGGCTGGGCACCGAGGACAAAGGGGGATCCGGGGAAATGTGGGAGTGACACGCCTTCCTCCGACGAGATAGAGCCCGTGGCACTAATCCAACAGCTGGCTGCACAGAGTGCAGATTATAACAAACCCCCAGGCGTTGGGGTATATTTTGGATTTATATATTTGTTCAATAAACAAAAATAAACAATATAAAATCTCAAACCGGGGTTGGTAACATTCAGAACAATAGGGACAACTCTCTCTATATTATCATTTTAACAGACCAAATAGTATTTTTTGAAACAACAAGACCATTTTTAAATATTTATTTGGAGAAATAACTAAATATCAACCATTCCCCTTTACAAAAGAACAAGAATATGACATCACATTTAAGATTACACTTAATGTCAAGGTAATGCATAGTGTATATCCTATAGGTAATCCAGGATAATCCCACTTCAATCTCCTCACATTCATATACAAAAGGAAGACAACGGCTGAGTCGCAGAGCTAAATAAGGTGCAGGCAAAGCCTTTACATTTCAACACAGCGCTAAAGTTCTTTATCATACAATAAGCTTTTAAAAGAGATTATAGGAGAAGTCAGGCAGTTTTCAACACATACCGCAGTACACCGAGTACTTTAGAGCAAAAGACGTCCCAGATGTTAAAACAAACCTTTTGTCTGTGTAATGTCAACAAAATATTGTTACATGTGCTATGCAACATCGCCTGTTTCCCACAGAGACACCACTGTGTGCGTTAATTAGTCGCAGTATAAACAATGAATAACAAGACGTGAACAGAAATGTGATTTTCCATAGAAGCGCTTGGTTCAGACTGCTGTGTGAAAATGACCAAGTTAAAAGAAAAAGCCATAATTAAAAGAAACACGTTCACGCTGCACATAAAAAGATGATGATAGACAATATTTTAAATTTGTGGGTTTTCTTTTTCAAAATTCCTGTAAAACTGTACGTATATATTTTTTACTGACAGAATCTAATGTGTTGAAAACTGCCGGGGGTTTTCTTTAATACTTAACGGGTGGGTGGGACAGTTCTCCGGATGACTGCAAAACAAACCATCTAGAAAAGAAAAAAAAAAAAGTGCCGCAGCAGACAACTATTTTAACAGCACATTAAAATTGATCTTAGCCCTTTTTCTTTTATGCACACAACATTCATCATCGTGATTACACAATAGCTCAAGCTGAGCCCCTGACCCTTGTTTCCCCCTCTCCAACTTCAGGCTTTTGATTGAGCATAATGAGGCATGAAAACCTGCACCTGAACCACACTGTTGTTATTATTTAGTACAGCCAAACACTGTGGGTTTTACACTCAACATGAATAACACTAGAGACATGCAACAATATCATAAGGAGTCAGATACTATGACAACAATGAGATTATTCCTGCGATGGACCAGGAGATGGAAATACAGAGGCACCGTGGGATTGGTATGGGGCAGATAATGAGAAAAGGGGGCAGTGGCAGTGGGGCAGGCGTCGAATAAAAAGCAGTGGGGGAGGGATGGAGGGCATAATCCATCGCTGTGTGCCCCTCCCTCCTGAATAAGACCTGTCTGTTCCACTCCCTATTTGAATAGAGATGAGATTGGGGAGGGGGCGGTCTAACAAGAGGATCATGACAAGCGGAGAAAGTTGGCATTATGGTGAAAACACAACGCTCACAAATCATATTCATGCCTCTCATGGTCTTAAATTAAACCAAAAAGACTATTGTATTAAGACAATGCTTATTACTAGTGGATTCTAAACACAGCAGTTGGGAGCTGGCATTTTTGCTTTATTTTTAGCCCCCCAAACTGACAATCCTAGGCATTACACACATCAGATTTTACTCTATGCTCCGGTCAAAGCTATAAGAGAACGTACAAGTAACGCTGGAAATCTCTTAACAAAGCGCTGAAATAAAGCCCACAAAAACACTGGTCGACACTGCCAGCAGCATCGCTAATAGCCTGAGAAAACAGAGACACTGAAGGAATGTTTATAGGTCCGATGGCTGGTGATGGAAGCACAGGTCTGCTTCTATAACTAAGAAGATAAGGTAAGGTACACCATGCTTGCATTGAATCCTGTCAATGATTATTCATTATGTTTTATTATTGGCTGAGAGCCATTTAAAATATGTCATGCAGAGAAAAAACGTTTTGGTTTAAACCAGGCTCAAATCGGTGGTTTGCAAAACCTCCGATTTAAATGACACTTTATTTATCTATAGATATTTGTTCTCCCTTCACAAATATGAGAAATGCCTATAGCAGAAGGTTCATCAAACTGATAGAAGACTAGTAAAGGATTTGGAAGTTTACATTGCTGCAAAGGCCACTTAGTCACATTTTTGTTTTACCTACAGGTATGACCTGTTTGTATAAATGGTGAATATAAATTCTGCTTTGAGCCATGTATCCTTAGAAAATTATGCAACTCACAGGCAAGTCAAACGTGGCTGCAACTAGCAGTGTGACCACAAGGTGGCAGTAGAGGATTGTGTAAGACTGAATACAGCCCGACCTCCATGTTGAAACCCTGGCAAACAGCGCTGTAGCCCAGAGGCACAGAGGTAATAAGTAGGAGTGTAAAAGAGTGCAGAACATAACAAGTGTGTAGTACCAATATAAAAAGTACACCACACAATTCATACTGTGAATAAAAAAGGAGGATAGAAATAAAGTAATTGCACTTTCTAGTGTTTGTGATTTCCCTGGACTTATTACAGATCTTTTCATCAGTCCTGGTGATGGAGGTGTAGTGTTCAAAGTGCACAGGTGCTTAAAGGATTTTAAAATTTAAGGACACCAATGATTTCCTAGGCATTGGTGAAACCTTTAGAATGAACTTTCCTCTACTGCTCATCAATATAAATTTCAGCCAATTGGAATGGAAAATAACTGTTGCTTGATAAAAGATCCTGGAGGTGTTTACTCTTTGATTAAAATAAAAAAAGACTTTGGTAATCTGTCATCATCACCATGTCCTACTGTCTCCCTCTTGTCCTGCTGTGTTCAGAGGGGCACGATCACTTCTACGTAGTTTTCAGGGAAGAAGCCCGTTCTCCCATTAAGGCATCCCTCCAACCAGTTCTCATCTATTCGGCCACGGAGCGAGATTAGGTCACCCTCTCTGAAGCCCAGCTCGCCTTCGTTCTCTGGGTCAAAGTCATAAAGGGCTTTACAGCACGGGTCAGCTGCAGGAAGAAAACATGATGAAGCAGGGAGAGAAGAAAAGAGGAACAAGTTATTTTTGTGAAACATTTTCCTTTTTATATTAGTGTAATCACTTTTGGAAAAGAGGCAATGCCTCCCCGCAGTGCATTCCCTTATTGGACCCTGCAATGGACCATAAAGCACGAGTCTTTAAACCAAAAGGACAAAGGAGTATTGAAGGAGTTAGAATGAAACTTTTTCTCTTCTGAATCTCAAGATTAAAATCAATTACCAAATTCCCAACAACTAATTACATCAACAATGAATTTGTTGAAGAATTAAGATCTTTAAGGTGAATGACAATGGACATTTGATTTTTCCTTAAGATTCAGAAGAATTTTTAAACAGAAATATTTGACCAAGCACAATCACGACTGATACAAAGACAACTTTTAAATGAGTTATTAAATAATAGAGCGATTAATGTGTTTAATACAATAAAGCTGCTTGTTTGTCACTGCCTTCTCTGTGAAGATTGCACTGTTGGCAGTGACAAGCCCCACCTCGCTCTGGGATCCCGACAGACCAGACACACTGGACCCAGCAAACACCCTTCAATAATGTTAGTGAGAAACAGGCCTGTGCTTATGTGTCAGTCACACAGTCACTGATCCACTCACATTGCCTGGTCTTGATGGAGTTCCTTTGGAAGGAGGAACCAGGATACTGTGCTGGTGATGCTTTATGTCACAGAGGAAATGTACATCAGTCTCCATAAAAGAAAGACTTACCTCGAAAACAAACTCAAATGAAAACAGATATCTTTGCACAAAAAGATTGAAAGGAAGTTCCCGGTTCAGAAGCAGAAGTGCTTTCCAATCAGGTTCACTTCTTTTTGAAGCAGGTCAAACAAACAACACATGCAAACTTATCTATTGCTAGAGCAACATTCACGTGTTGTTGTACGGAGGTTTGATTTGACTGAGCAAACGATAATTCAACTGTTACAACTAAATTTGGTCGTGGATGAGTAGCGCCCTGGGTTTCAACCTGCTGAAGAATCGTTGCATGAAACCTGAAAATATTTTTACACACATGACTCTAACAATATAACAATTGCAACTGGTGTTGTTAAGTAGAACCACTGTAGACTGCAGCTAATGCCACGGCCTCTCTAACTAGGATCATACACAGATGTTGTCACAAGAGTCAACAGGTACAGAAGCTCCACACCTGGTACTTTGGCTCTCAATAAAGTCACCTTGTGAAATTATTTATACATTACTGACACATCTGACCTTGACTCCAGTGCCTGGCTGGTGACCTTGGTCTTTCTTTTGTTTTTTATTGGCTGTATGCTTATTCTGTCATTTTCCAATCATATCTGTAAAACAACGTTCCCCTTTATTTCCGTGAACAGTGTGTAAGACGGTGAACCTACTGGGAGAGTATGCTGGTGGGCTTGTTGCAGCCAGTGCGTATCCTCCGTTGGACTGGTTCACTTCTGCAAAGTCAAAGGCTGGTCTGGGTTTGGGGGTGTACTCCCGCTTTGGCTGGTTCTGAGAGTCAATCACTCTGCACACACACACACACACAAAGAATTCTGTCTCTCAGCTCAAGATTTATTGACTCGTGTCCAAAAGATAAAAATTGGTGTTGTTTGACAATACTGTATACATCAACATAGTACTGGTGTCTTAAATTCATTTTCAGAGCCAGACACCTCTTTTATAAAGTTAAAATGTAAAGCTAAAACTGTTCTGAACTGACCAGAACATAGGGCGCACCAACTGGTCTCATTTCCTCTTCATTTTGATGACATTGTGGATAATTATCAGTCTTTATTTTGGGACATTTTTGTCCTCATCAATTACTCAGTGGTGACCATTACAAATGAGTGAAGTGAGTTTCACTGAGACGTATTTTTCTGCCTTGAAGACTACAGCCTGACAAATATTTTCAAGCCAGTTGGAAACAAGAACGTGTTCCTCAAAACAGCCCTGAATAGTTTACTTTAACTGTTGTACTGTACCATGACCAAGTTTGGATTTTGCACAAAAACAATGAAACCATGAGGCATTATATCATATGTACTCTTTGTGACCCATGCTACATTGTCCTTTTCAGTTTACAGAGGGAGTAGTTAAAAAATAACTGACAACCAGTTACACCACACCCTTTTGATTGAAGTTTATTTAACGATGTTTGATTAGTGCACCACAACCTGGCACAGAACGATTTAACGACTACCAGTATTTGGTGGCACCAATGTAATTTGGCAAATAAGTTGCCCTGAATGTCAAAGAAGCTACACAGATACTGACTTATTTAAAATATATAAATATAGGTTTTCTTTTAAAAATAAAATAACAATATTGAATAAATAATTTTATCTCAGCATCAGCTGCTGCTGCTTGACATTAGTTACAGTCAGTAAACCATGGCTGAGTTATCTGCTGTAATGAAACCAGAGGTGACAGTTATAAATCAAAACACTTGTCATTCTATGACGTGGCACTGACCTTTGTCTCAGTTTGTCAGTGAGCTCATCCAGAATCTGTGTGGCCTGTCTGTGGTACTGCAACAGTGATTCCACTAAGGAGGCCAGCTGACTTACTTGCTCCACCTAGATGCAATCACAAAGAAGAGAAAACCCCTTTATCACGTCACCAAACATGTTAAGGGTGCTGACCTTCCAGGCAGATATTTACTGGTTGACTGAAAACATTCCATTCCTATTTCTGTCCCCTGCGTTTTCCTTGTTCACCATTGTTTCGTTGTTGAGCAGTTGTTAAGCTGCTCACTTAAAAGGCTTTAGAAGAGTTCATTAAGAAGCAAAAACAAACATAACAGGTTGAACAGGCTTAGACAACTGCAAGTCACTGTGAAAAAAACAGAACTGTGACACCTGACACAGACTCAACATGCTGTCTGACAAGTTGTAAGCAACAAAAGCAAAAGTATCAGTGGCTCTGAAAAATCTCACCACAGTCTGTGAAGGAAATAAATAATTTCACAACTTTCATAACCAAAACAACTATAACAATACAAGAAAACAAAATAATTTAAATTGGATGAATTCTATTCCAAGACCCTCAGAGCAAAAAGGTTATATTTCAGGGCAGATAACTCAAATAGTCAAGGACTCTTAGGCCATGGCCCATGGTGGACATACATATATTCTGTTGGTGACGCAGTTCCATTTGAATCAATTGCTGAATTTGTACATTGATGTAATTAAACACCAGGAAATGCAGTAGCAATGTTGAAGGTAAATGCTTGGATAAGTGTCCTTACCCAAAATATGATTACCGAGGTATGAATAATGACCTTTAATTGCCCCTTGGAAGAATAGGAAACATTTATTTGAAGCACTGCAGCCGCAGATTATATGTAAATGTGGTATCTGTTATTTACCATCCTGAATATTTAAGGTATCTGTGCGACTGCAAATATTGTAAAATCATCTCCGTGAATCAAAAACACATCTACTGAAGTTCAGTTGATCAATTCAGTGGAAAGACTCACTCACATCTGTTTCCAGCAGGTTATGCATGGATCCTTCGGCCATCTCTTTGGACTCATGAAACTTCTCCAGGGCCTGTCTGATCTCTTCATCCTGGATTTTACCTTGACGCTTCTTTTTGTAGTCGTAATCCAGACGTCGTCCCTCCAACTTCTTCAGGTGATGCTGCCAGTGCAACAAATGAGGATATGAGTATTTATTCACTGCCCAGTTTTATGTGAATGTAAATTATTACAATGCTACACTGCTGCTGTCTTTAAAGCACATTCATGCAGTTCAGATGTTCTGCATCTGGACTGTGGAGCACATTAATCAATTCCCCTCCTGTACGCTCTTTGATTTTACCTGAATGTCTTTGATATCCTTGTCAGCGACAGCCTGCAGCGGGTCAATAAAGTTCTGCTTTACATCAATATCCAGAGAGTCCTTGACCTCAGCCATTCTTTTCATGGACTCGCCGATGTCTATGAGTGCTCCACCTGGAGTGCACACACACATTAAAACACAAGCATAGGAGAGTATGGCCATGAATTCATCAGTCCAACCATCCATCTTTCTGCCTATTGTGTTATTTGTCACAAGGGAGTTGCAAGTGACAGCACAGTTCACAGAAAGACCACGTCAGTCTTTTGGAGAGTTTCCCTGTATTATATATAAACCAGGGCAACTATGCACATACGCACTGCATTTAACACTGTGACACAGAAAAGCGTTGTAGACAAGGGTTTGTTTTCTCTCACACATCCAAGTACCCAAACGAAAAATGATTATCTTGTCTTTATGCTGCTTCTGTGAATAGAGCATTATGCAGCGAGTGCATGAGAAAAAAAGAAAGAAAAAAGCCTTGTTTCATCTGATGGTGTGAGAAAAAGTCATAACTATTATATAATTTACAGCTATTACTAAAATCAGGAAAAAGGCAATATAAAACTTAATCTTTCCAATGTGTGAATGTTTAGGGGTGGAGGTCCACATTACTGGCTGTGGTTGAATGTCCAAGGGAAACACTTTCTTTAAAGAAGTAATGCAAGCTATTCGTTTTAGTCAATGCAAACACATAAACCTATCATCTTGTGAGACCACACTGATAATAAAACAACATACACCACATCTGTCCCAACCTGTGTCCTCCACTGTGACTGGCTTCAAAAGACTTACCAAAGTTGGACTCTTTGCCTAAATCCCATCCATATTTAGTCATGCACTCTCCAAGTAGGCCTTCTGGCTGAGGGTAGCCTGGACTGTTCACCTGTCCCCGCATTTTGGAGACAGTGGTGAGCATGGAAAGTTTAGCCCTTGTGGCTGGGTTGGGCTGGATGTACTCTGATGTCTTATTGATGACTTCCACCACTGCTTTGCTGGTGACATCTGCTTTCTGGTGACACAAGTGCAGGGAAAACACTGATTAGAGTTTGTGATCAGAGTGTGAAGCCAGTTCTGGAACTCAACAATAATAATGATAGAGATGCTTGATGGATTTGTGTTTATATCTCAACATATTGAACTCATGAGGGTATTGTTACTCAACACACAAATAAAGTGTAAATAAACCATGTGATACCCGTTCAAGGTCCTTGAAGTCTTCGTCCAATTTGGTTCCCTCTGCTCCTCCGACTTTTTCACTCATCAACTAATGACATCAAAGCAAACAGAGAATGAGGTCAATTCAACTGGACATGTTGATTAGAATAATTTGCACGATTAAAAAAATTATCTTCCTGTTCTTCACATGTATCATCTTACAGAATTACGTCATCAACAGAAATACAATTGGATTGTGGAACATGTTGGCAGGTGAGAGGGACTGTTATCTTTAAAAGTTACTGGCTGCTTGAAACACCTTACACCATAATACTTTCAAGGAAGTGACGAACCTAAAGTCCAAGACCCACCCGTATTTTCCAGATAGGAGGAGCTGACACACATGTGAAGAAGAAAAAAAGCAAACTATCTTTTGTACTTTCTGGCTTCAGAAGTAGTTCAAGACAAATTCTTTCCTTTTCTCTCTATCAGAGAAGCAAACACACTGCACTTTCCTTTGCTACACCCACACACAATGTCCCTGTTACTTTTACTAAGCCAGACATTAACTTAATTTTGTCTTTTTCTCTCACTAACAAATTCAAATAGTCGCAAACACATGGCTCACGCTCTTCATTTCTCATCAGAAAGAACTAAATCTTGTGTACATGCAAGCATATTTGTCATTAGCTTAACTTGACGCAGCTGCCCGCTGTACACCAGTTCCAGATGGATCAATAAATCTAGTATCTACATTATGCAACACACAGTCTATGGGTCTCTGTTTTATAGATGGGGAATAATAATGTAAAGACAGCTTTTCAATTAGAATAAATACATTCTTTTGTACTAAATGTCCCAAAAGCATCGTATGTGAACCACACAAACACATACCAGAACCGCATCTGGTTTCATAACTGCAAGGTAACACATGTTTTTGTTTAACACAACTGCAAGTCCTGCCCATGTCAGCCACACCAGGTTATGCAATCTATATGGAAACTTTTTACAGACCCATGAATGCACCCCTTTATTCATTAATCTATTCGTCTTCTACCACGCATCCTGTTTGGGGCCCAGACCTCTGGTCTGAGAATGTACACTCCAGTGGGGCAAACCTCATTTGTCAATGTCTAAATGCTAAATGAATCAGCTATAATTATTATTTTTATTAATAAATGTATTATATATTTTTTCTGGTTATTTCATTGCTCTTTGATTTTGAAAAATACCACTTTACCACGTAGTATAGATTTGAAAATAAATGATTTAATTGAAAAATGATGAGTATGAAAATTCAGTCATACATCGTACAGAAGGCCAAATCTTTTTGCACAAATGTGATAATTATCACAATCACATATTTATACAAAGGTTTGTTTAATTTGTTCCTGACTAATAAAATAATTAATATTTCAATGGAGATGTGCTTGTTTGGCATTTAATTATTCAAATAATTCAGAGATGCATTTGTATAAAAATAAAATCTGTTTATAATTTGCAGTATGCTGTTATGCTTTCTTGTGTGATGTGATCTTAATTATATTGTGATTTAAGAGAAAGAGATATGAGTTATGGAACATATTACCCAGCCTTCTGTCAATTTGAGTATCTCAGTTGATTGATCTCCAAACTAAGTACATGTACATACAAAAGTGATTGTACTCCTCGTAAACGGTCGTCTTTCATTTCTTAACTTCAATGAAAAGGCACAACAAAGTTTACCAGAGCTGTGCTAACAGAAAGCAGAATGCTCACTACTGTACGTGCCAAAAACTGAGGTATTCTGAGAAGGATTTTCCAAGTTCCACTGCTCTAATCAAGTTTTCCAAAAGACTCGAGACCCAAAAGAAAATGTAAAATGTCAGTGCATTTGCACAGAATATGTAATTTTATTGGTGCACTGTGAACATACTGGTTGCATGTATACACAGTAATTACTCTTGATGTGAAAAATTAGAATCAGTGCAGATATATCTTAGTGCAACTGATACATCTTGGTTTCCAAATGAATGTCTTCTGTGGGTCTGAAATAATGAATAAGGCTAAAAAACACTAAAAAATGCAGATCAATGCAATTACTAAAAGTGAAATATTGCAAACTAGTCAAACCTAAGTTAAAGCATTTTCATATTATTTGACTTGTGTTTATAATGATTGGGCTTATGAACTGTTAAATGTCTACAACTGATATAAGGGCAGACTCCTGTTGTCACTTCCTGCTAGTTATTGGCAAAATTACTGATTGAATGCACATTTAATATCATTTATGGAAGTGGTCTTCACCCACATTTTTTGAGATACTCAAGAACTGGAAGCTGGTTTGAGCAGACTATTCACATTAGTAGGATTCCATTACTGAAAGCAAGGCCAACACCCACTGAGGACAACACACACTTTAGTCTGACACATGATAAAATGTGAACAACCTAAGCTTTGATGTACAACATAGACAAAATAGTGGTATTTGTTTATGATGGTAGCTATTTTGGTTTATGATTATAGATCTTATTTCACATTAAAAATAATCAATATGTGTGTGGACCTGAATATTTACCCAGTACAACAAGAACGTTCATGTCGAACGTGTTTGTAAATGTCAAGACCTACATTTAGATAATCATAGGTCAGCTGTGTCAAACACGTGAAAAAAAACAACAGTTATAAAATTCAACAGGTGACATTTTGACAGGGATTTCATCAGAAAACAAACAGTCATATTTACACACATGCACAAATCCGTTAAAGCAGAAACTAGTTCTGTCAATAGCTTTTACAGCTGTGGTTACTCGCGCAAGGCGCTTAGGTGGACAAAAAGATGAATTTAAAAAAACTCTGAAAAGGTCCAAGTATTTTAAAAGTCTCGCTGTCAGCTTTTAAATAGTATTCATTTGACGTTCACTAGCTAACACTGTGACAAGATGTAGCTCGCCGAAGGTTAACGTTGATTTTGGACGAAACTGGCAATTGGTTAAAGAGTTAATCAACCCAGTAATGATCGTGTTCACCTAAACTAAAGTATAACTATTCTCGTATACAACGAATGTGTCTTTAAAGAACTATATTACGTTTTAAAGATACCTTAGTTTACGCAGTGACAGCGTCACTTAGCCTCATTAGCCACAGGCTAGTGTTACAGAAGTATATCGTTTACCTGACTCGCTTTGTAAAACTGCTTCTTAAATCCCGCGACGGACATCTTGCACCGTCTTTGTTGCCGTTAGAGATTCCAAGTAGATGTTAATGTCTTTGTTTATGATAAAAACTAGCCGCCGCGCGAGTTTGTGGTTTACAGTACAAACAACAACCGAGCAACACGACTTCAAACTTTGTACCGTGGATGTGAAACTTGCTAGGCAACCACAATTTCCTGGACCCAGCTTCATGTGGGAGGGGCTTTACGTGCTCACGTACATACACATGTGCGCGCACGTCCACACGCAAGACACATTGTTTATTTGGGGTTTTAAGCGCCTGACACAACGGGTTTGCTATGATATTAGATGAAAAATAGATAGATAAATGTTTTCAATTTGTGGTTTACGTTTCCTATTGGCTGTACAGTTTTTACACGTCATTTCTATGGTGTATTTCTTATATGATATGAGCAATCCTAAGGTTCTTCTTATGAATTTGTCACAAAAACATTTCTTGTCTTATAGGATATAAGACAATTACTTACATACCAATTCATCAACTTTCCAAACCAACAGCAAATAACACACTGACAATTTCAAAGAAAAAGACACATTTTATTACATTCTTAAAACCACATATAAGGTTTCCCATTGGACAATATATAGAGCTGTGACTCAATTTACTTTTGGACTAGTAATATACCTCTTTTACATTTTGTCTTATTGGGAAAGATAAAGAAGGCAAACTATTTTTGTTTGTTTGTACCTTGTCTTCCTCCAATTTTAAAAAAAAATGGATCACAGACTTTGCAAGACCATTGTGGGGAGACACATAAAAAAACGGATAAATGACTGAAAAAATCATTAGAAAATCACAGCAAAACAAATGTTAAACCCAATAATGACATCCATTTTGAACTCTAAATTATTTTTTTTAACCTTTTCATTTCCGTTTCTTTAATTTGACATTACAATATTAGGACAAATGGGAAGGGTTTGACACTTTTGTGAGTGCAATTCACAAAATAGAACTTACATCCACAGTGATCATGGTTATGGGTCTCATCTTAGGTGCAAATGTGAGAGGAGACTGAGGCTAAAATATGTCACTGGTAATAAAGGGACGAGAGAATACAGCTAGCTCCCTGAGCAGCTAACAGCAGGTTCTCTTGACTCTGCTCATGGACTTCACAGCAAACCCAAGTAAGACCTTATCATTGTCATAGTATTGAAACAACCTTCAAAACATGTTGTTCACTTTATGTACAAGAAAAAAACAAACAAATAAAAACAATGATCTTGGAAACACTGTGACAGATGAACAGGTAAAATGATAGCAAAGACAAAGTGAAAACTGTGGAGTCTTACTGGCATTAAGGCCCATCTCAGGAGTTAGCTGGTGGCTCTGTCTGGCTTCAGACTCGTGTCCGGTGAGAAAGAGGAAAGTTTAAGTGCTTGGTTTTTCAGACAAGTGCTGGGTTTTGGACTAAAGGCGAGAGGAACAGCAAATGTACAAAATAATACAGTTATCTTAACCAGCAGCGCAGGTTTATGTATGACACATACAATGGACCGTTAAATACGTAGGGACAGCTATTGTCCTGGTCTTTCACCAACTGAAACATAATGAGTGGAAAATAATTTGACTGCACCTGCTTTCCTGACTGCTGGTTAGAAAGAGTAGGGCAGACCCTGTGCGTCCCCTTCCATTGAAGAGTCCATGAAGTCGACTTTTTGCCTTTGCTTCATCTTTTTCTTAGTGTCATCCTGTCTGCCAAAGTACAGACTAAAGCTCAGCTTAAAAGCGCAACATCTCTCTCGCTCGCTCTTTATTTTGATCTTTTCGTCCTTGTTCAGACACACTGTCTCCCCTGCTGTGTCACATGTGCAATTTGTGTCCTCCAAAATGCTTACCACATGACTTTACCTTACCCAAGTGGGCTTTGTCATTGGGACAGAAAAGGGTCTCTGCCAAAAAACCTGAGAGTACTGTCACGAGAGGAAAAATAACCCAGTAAAAGATTTGAGTCTGAAAACGCATCTATTCTTAACCCTCTGTTTTCTCCTCTTCCTCCCCATCTAAATACACAATTTTCTCTCTCCCTTTCACACTTTCAAGACTCAACTGAACACACATTATAGTATCTCTCTCCATATACTTATTAGTCACCTATTTACATTCTTATTTAAAATATTTGTGTATAAATGTGTATATAAATTAAAGATAATTTCATCTTATCCTGACTCTAAGTGGCATTTACAAGGGAAGGGGTGTGTGGGACTGAGGTTTCTCATTGCAATAAAAGAGCCTACAAAGGCAGCACCGAACACCATATACCTGTGTGTGAAAGTGGCTCTCAGCTGACTGAGGTCACCCTGAGCCACAAATCATGACATGACAAGTGTCCATTATTTTTATAATAGAGTACATGACTTGTGATCTTGGTCCCTTAGTGATGGTCAGATATCAGATAGAAATGTGTACCTTAGTGAGAAGCTTTAACAGAGAAATATTGACAGAGAGTTGCAATAATAGTGAAACCCGTCGTTGAACATGACTTGGTTCTAACACAGTGTGTAAAAGTTGTTGCGTTCTGGCTTGTGCAGCGGTGCTTACCAATAAAGTACATTCAAAACTGTTTGCCTGATCCACTGTGGATCTGATCATAAATAAGTGCTTGGAGCTGTTACATGCTGAGTGTTCTGCTGTGTTGTTGTTATTCTTTTTTGTGTGTCTATTCACTTGTTGGTAGTGCTACAATATGCAGAGGAACATGAGCATGTGCTGTCTGTAGTGTAAGGTGCTGTTGCCTGCTGGGAAAGTGGAGGACTACTTTGGGATCATGGGAGACAAAGTTTTTAAAAGTCCTGGATTGTCTCATAACTGCTGGTTGTTGAGCTTCAATATCTCTATCCTTCTTTGTCCCTCCTCTCGCGTCCCTACCTCTCAATACGCTTTCTCCATATCTGGTGTTGTGTAGCTGGATGTCTAGCTGTTTGTGGAGTCTGGCAGAGACATCTCGCTGCCAAAAACTTCCCGGTACAGTGGCGGGAAGCTGTAGGCTGTCTCTGGGTGGACCAAACGGAAAAACTCCAGTTTATCGATGTGGAGGTTACATATAGACTTCATTATGGGCAGCTTGGACGTCATCTGTGGGGACAGAGGGAAACGTGAATTACAGTGTGTGTTACGGAGGCGAGTGGAAGAGTTCGGACTGTTGCGTGTGTCTTTACCTTGTCCAGTTTCTCATCAGAATCACCTTTCTTTTGTAGGCTGTGCTGCAGAGCCAGGTAAACCTTTTCCTGGAGTTTCTGAACCTTTTGTCCTTCTGACAGCCAGGGTCGGTCTGTGGAAAAAACAAACAAACAAAAAAAAAAAAACAGTTAAAAAAGCAGGTGGAAAATAAACCTGTTAAACCAAGAGTACCTGAAATGCTCCTCTTCAAAATTAACAGATCTGTTTGCTCTTAAATACAGGGCGAAAAGACTTGCTGCCTGACTAACATGTGACAAGGAGAAAAGAGAGAATAATCACCAGGCGATATGAGGACAGCAGCACTGAACAGAGCAATCTCCTCATCTGACAGCTCTAGACGGCACAGTCCTTTTCCGAGGTCAAATACTGCACTGACAAGGTCATCACAACCTGCACAAACACAGAATAATTTTTATAAAAACTGTCACAATAGATTAACTATACAGGTCAATTCTTCAAGAGTAAAAGTGTTAAAGTGTCTACAGCTTTCCCTGTTGATATTTTGGTCTGACATTAAAAATAGACAGGGAAACATTAATAAAGACTAGCAGCTCAAAATGATATTAAGCTAAAATACATCTTCTCCTTTAGAGATTTTTTCTGATTTCTTGTTGTTTATTTGTATTTGTTTCCACCTGGTCAACTCTTTGATTTGAGCTCATAAAATTGTGTTGTTTGCTCTGAATCTTCAATAACAGTTGATCATATATCTAATGATGTTTATAGCTTAAGGACTGATAAACATCAAGAAAATAATTTTCCAAACTTTTTGGACAAAACAACAAATCAATAGAATTAATCACCATATGGAATAATCATGAAAATACAGTACTGGAAATGAGGAATTATATAATATTTTATAGATTTTAACTCTTTGGTTGCTTTGCTTTTGGTTGGTGCAACTGAGCAATTCCTCTTTTTGAACTTTGAGCTTTTTGAACTTTTGTCTTATTTCCATAACTTCTTAGAGATTGAGAGCATTGGTATTTCTGTTCTGTACATGGAGTGATTACAGCACCGATTTCTTTTAAGATTTCTAATGTGTAAAAAAAAAGGGACCATCTCCCCATAAATGACTGTTTTGTTAGGATTCACACTCACCGAGCGCTTTGAAGAACTGAGCTGATGCGAACTTCCCATTGAATAAAATGTTGCTGTTGTTGACGTTAAAAGCTCGGCACATGCGTATCAGCAGCACCTCCAGGCAGCCTGAAAGGTCAGCCACAGATAGAGGCAAAGACATGGAGAGATGTACAGATGGAGAGAGGAGTGGAAGGAGGAGAAAGTCCAAGATACTCCAACATAAACACAACACACAACAAAATGTAAATAATTTAGACCCAAATTAGTGCACAGTAAATGTATATAACATATATATATTTGAAAGATATATGTGTTGTACATCAGAGAAAAGTATTGAAAGCAAAAAAAAATTCAGTTCAGTTTTTGTTTCCACAATCAAGAAGTTCTCCCCAGTGTTTGACCAAAGTGTGTGTCAATATATTCAAACAAATGAATGGTAGCATTAAGGCAAAGATAGAAGGTTGGAGACAAAAAGGAGAAGGGACAAAAGTTAGCAAGTTTCACACTAAGTTTACTAAGAGAGCGTAAACTTTTTCAGACAATCCAGGATGTATTTTCTGGAGCATCTGGGACGCCACACTGACCTGCTTTCAACAAAATGATCTGATCGTTCTGGCACAGATCCATGAAACCTGCGATGCGTTTTGCGAACTCCACAACGTACTGGATGGCGTTGGTGATGTGGTGAGCACACTGCTGCCACATCCACTCCGCTGACTGAAACAGGAAGAAACAATCTAATCAGATTTGGCCGCTGCTCTGTCAGAAAACAGAGGACAATCGACACGTCTCATCTGCAGAACTAATGGCTGCTGTAAGGCCAGCTAGTGTGTGTTTACTATTGATCTGAACAAAACCAGCCAAAGCAGAACATGGAATAAAAACTGATTCATTTAAATAATAACAATTTACATTCAAAGAGTTAATTTGCCCAATCAAAAAGACTTATGATTAGAAAACTCACCTGGCTGATATACATTTAAATAATAACAATTTACATTCAAAAATCAAAAGGACTTGTGATTAGAAAACTCACCTGCCTGATATACATACATACACATAGTATATGTGTTAAAATATAAGTGCAAATTAAATACAAACAAAGCAGAGGAGCCTTGTTTAGGAGACTGTACCTTGTTCTGAAAAGTACGAGTTTCCTCAGGTGTGTATTGGACCCAGGTGAATCTCTTCATGTCTTCGGCACTGTACTGACACGTCTCCATGTGGGACTTCACAATGTTTTGGGTGATGTGCTCTGTAGGAAAATAAAAAACACACATCAACAAACACACACACATATACACAAATCTTGTTACTTTGTTTACTCCTGGTCGTCAACATGTCAGGGCGTCAGCGTCATGACTGTGAGACTGTGGTTTGGATTAAGGAACTTAAAGATTTGCCTCCATTTCCATACACTTTATTCACTCCACTGGCCTGTTTATTTACTTTTTTCTTTTTTTTTATTTGTTTAATATATTCTCCACCTTCTGCAGGTAATATTTTTTCCACAGCCAAAATAATTTCTGACCATGCTTTTCTTTTCCCCAGGGCGCCCTTAAAAGGCTTCATCGCAGTCTGTTGCTGTTGCCAGTATCTATAAATATGCACAGGAAAATATAAAAGCATTCAGGGTCTTCAAGGTCCCCAGAGACTACTATCTTGTAAAATTCTTTGCTGCTTTGACTCTAGAAAAACCATTTAGCCACTATGACTTCATCTTCCCTTGTAAACACTGATAAAAGTCAACCCTAGTAGCAAGGTCTTGTGAATGAAAACATAAAGAAGAACAATCACCGCTGAAGGCCACTCTAATACAGTCTGTGATACACTCCTCCGTCTGAGCATGAATATAAATAAAGATGAATCTGGAACTCACCAAGCTCTGATATTGAGCAGTCATTAGGCAGATGGTCCAGCAGTGTGTGTGTGTGTCCCAACAGAGGATGTGTGTGCGTGTGCAGGAGCTGAATCCCATTGCTGTCTGCCCCATCCAATACAGTCTGCTGTGGGGAATTCTGATTGGACAATGGCGGGGACGGAGAAGAAGATGAGGAGGACGATGAATTGGAGGTGTTCCCGGCGCTGGCTCCTCCACCTCCTCCGAGCAGCTCCAGGCTGCAGTACTCGTTGGCCTCCTCTGGGGTCAGCGGCAGGTCAAACAGGTCAGGCAGCGCAGCAATGTCATCCAGATCGCTGAGAGTGGAACTGGAGCCACCGCTGCTGTACGACCTGCTCAGACCTTCTTCAACATCCTCACTGCTGCCTCCGCTGCCTCCGTCGTCCCTGGTCAGGGATAGAGCTGCAGAGGCCTCTCCTCCTGTGCCCGTGCCCTCCTGAGACTTTTGGTGCTTCTGCACTTCAGCGTAGAGGCTGTCACGCTGCTTCTTTGACATACGGCCAAACTTTACAGCTGTACAGAAAAACACAGAAGAGAAGGTCCTCTTGTAAATAAAATGTAAATAGTGTCCTGTCTAGTTTGAGATATATATATATATATATATATATATATGTGTGTGTTTAGTTATATATATATATATAAATATATATATGCTATATATTCATGAGGTACATGGTTCAATAAGGGTCATTTTTCATTTCTTGTGTCTTATGTGAGTTTGTAGCTTTAACAATAGTCTCCTAAGGTTTTCTGTATTTAAATAAGAGTTGACAAGATCAGAAAGCTGATATGATAATGGATTACGTTGTGTATTTGTGTGTGTAGAGTAATTGTGTATACTGTTTAAATGTTTTGGAAAAATGTTGTCCTTCGGATCAATAAACAGGGTCTAGAAGAGGGGGTTTTGAAAAGGCGACATTTAGAAAAATAAAGGTAATTGAACCTAAAAGCAGAGTATGGAGGAATCATCATTCATCATTCATGTATAGCACCCCCTAGAGGAAGGGGCATGTACATGTGTAAACACTAACAGAAAATGTCTTGAATACTATAATTTTTAGTAGGATTCTCCAGCAGGTGGTGACACTATTGAAAGACCTGCTTCACCAGCTGTCTCTGAATGCTAGGTGTGTCGACATAATAAACAAGTGTTCAACCTAGTGTCCGCAGAATAATCATTTTTGTCTGCCGTAAATTTGAAACTCTCAAACCTACACCTATTGCTATCTATGTTATTCCTGTCTCTCTTGGATGTCAGTCACCTAATCCGAAGGTACTGGATGTTCCTGCTCCTATATCCAGTTTGCACGGAGGCCCTGCAGGCTACGTATAGACTGTATTTGTTGTGGTGCACTGTAGTGAACCCGCTGATGTGGATCATCAACTGCTGTTGGTTTTAAGTTCTCCTGTCGTCAGCTTTACATTAAAGGCATAGATGTCCTGTACACTGGGCTGGAGAAACTGAACTGGTAACCATGTGCTGGTCAGTGTCTATGCAGAGCCAATAACTGTGGTTAAAGGAAGTAAAATCAAAGACTGGGAGATGCTGCATGTGTGTGTGTGTGTGTGTGTGTGTGTGTGTTATTACCATCTCTGCTCATGCCCAAAGCCAAACACTTCTGTAGGCGGCAGTGCTGGCATCGGTTGCGGTTAGTTCGGTCAATCAGGCAGTTCCTCTGGCGGGAACAAGAGTACATGGCGTTGTTCTGCTGGCTTCGACGGAAGAAACCCTGAACATACAGAAGCAGCATGTTAAAAAACAACAACAACTGTTTTATTACATTAAACTCAACTCTGTTCTTTTTCCTCCTCCTTCTTACCTTGCAGCCCTCGCAGGTGATGACTCCATAGTGGATTCCCGAGGACTTGTCCCCACAGATCTTACAGGGGATGACCTCGATCTGAGCTGCAGAGACAGAAAGACAGTGATGGTGAAGACAGACTTTCATGGCTGGGAATATTGAGACAAGTCACACTCTGCACAGTGGCCAAGAAAAGTTAATCATAGCTGTGCACTAAAATAATGTTGAGTAACAGGAAATGTTACAGATGGTGTCTGTTTCTCTGTCGCAGCAGCCAGTCAGACTGCACCGATTAGATCCAGAATCTGTTCTGTTCTGTCCAACATTAAATCCATGATTGATTGTCGTATATTTGTGATTGTCTTCTGAAAAGAAGGATTTGAAATGATTGGAAAACTACACTTATTTTTGATATTTTACTTTTATTTTTAGCTTTTTGGACATTGTGAAAGACTTCTTCCATTTCTCTCAACACACATTACAATTATTTTACTTTTAAAATTCTTCAGCGAATTATTTCAACACACACGATCTTCCTCCCTTTATAAACCTTGTTAAAAACACAGTTGTTTCTCCCTACAGTATCTGCTGCAGTCCTTGAAAAGGTTGTCCGTGCTTTATCTCCTGACTGACAGACAGCTGTATCTCTGTTTACTCTGAGCTCAAAGAAAGCCTCTGAAACTCTAAGTTTCATATTGGCATTCAACATACTACTGACATATGGCTCCACATGTAGAGACACAGGTATATGTCAGACCACTATGAGTCAAAGGTCAGTCCTTCAGGTTAAAACAAGCCTCAGGAGTCATCATGGTTTCATTATATCCATTTTTTTGTTAAATCACAAAGTACATTAAAACACCTTCCCTCCCATATTTGGTACAACTTACTCACTTTTAAAACCAAAATGGTGTCATCAATAGGGTGTAATAATGAGGCATCTGTTGTATCTCGTATTTGTTTTTCTTATGTTGCAGACAAAACACGGCCAGACTCAGAACAGGAGAGGTTAAGTTGCCCTGAAGTGTTTGTCTGCATGCGGCCCCCGTGAGGGAACAGAAGACACAAACAGATAATGTAATCACATGACACTCACACAAAGACTCCTTCTCTCCAGACTGAAAAACAACTGTGGATGTATCATAAGTGGAAGAACATTTTTCAAACGTAGTGGATTATTATTTGTGGCTCCTCGGTGGCGCAGGGGTGACATACGAAATAACACTCACAGAGCTAGAAAGAATCGTTGCACTCTTAAGTACTGGAAAACACAAGTTTTCCACCTCCTATTTCCCCTTTAATAGCATAGTCAGCTGTCTCTCCTCTGGAACTGTAACTAAAATACTGCAACTGATCAGGGCAGCTGCAGGCTTGCAATGGAAAAATATCTCCCTCCTCGCCTCCACCTCTCTCTCTCTCTTTCCTCTGTTTCTCTCCACTTCCCCTCCACCCCTCCCTCATCTCTCGATTATATAACTCTTGTCTGTGAGCATTCCTCACAACACTCATTCACGGCTCACTCTAGCAACACCGAGACCCCACCCTCCTCAGATACCCTCCCTTCCCACAGGCTGAGCAGTGTTCCAGCCTCCTCGGCATTGGAGGAGTGATCCGTCACTCGGGCGCAGGAGCCTGTCAGCTCGTGTGGACATTCTGTCCTACTGACACACTTTCTCACTGCAGGGGGAGGGGGAGGAGGGAGTGAGGTAGGCGCGATCCCGGCTCTCTGCCGACCACTTTTAAGGTGGAGATGAACAATAATCCTGGCCTTCCTGTAAAAAAGAAACTTCACTAAGGCTTGTAAATTGCATTAGAAAATTGGATGTGTTGCCTAACATTGTAATTATCTAAAAGCGCTGACACTGAGACCAGAAAAACTGCACCTACTGGTCGACTTCCTTTACGTGTCACGGCTTCTCATATATCCATCTCCTTGATTATAGAACATCATGCCCTCTTACAGTAACACCGCCATACTGTGACAGACTACAAAGGCACCTTATATAAGCGGTCGGACTTCACTTCACTCACAGCCTCTGACTAACAGCAGACTTGAATGTCACATATCCATCCCCCCACCCTTCATCTCCCTTTGACATTGAGCTTCTGCTTCAACCCATTCTATTCTGGTCTGCTGCTGGGAGCCAGAATTACACAGATGCCCAGCCACCCACCCTCTTTGCTATAAACACACTTGCATGTTTTCTCACTCCTCTTCTCCTCTGACTCTCTGCTGATATACAGACCAACCAGAAACACAAAAAAACGAGCTCCATCAACCCAGTGTTTCCTTATTTAATCACATTTCTACATTTGCAACCTGATGAGTCAAACATAGACAGGCACTTAAGACAAACTGCCTCCATTAAAAGGTTCTACCTTAAGTTTTAAAATGATTGCTCATCATGTTCTCAATTAATTTATAGCTGTCTCTTAGGCAGTACCAGATGTCCACCCTCCATAAAATAAATATAATAAGTCTATTATTCTCAAACACTTATTTCAACCATAGTTAAACAAACCTTTGTTTGCATACAATGTATATATATATACTGTATATAGTCACTGAAAAGCTGGAAACAGAATTTTCAAAAAAATTGCAATTCATTTTTTGACTCATCTGTTGTGTATTTACGTGTAAATACTGTGGTAATATTACAAGCACTTACTGAAGACAGGCGTAGGCAGAGGTCAGAGGGACACTAGTGTTAAGCAACATTTATTTTAAACACTAAAACATCATGGTGACCTGTGCTTAGACACCAGTCTGAGGCATCTGACCTTTAACCCCCAGGGAGAGACCTGTTCTTCCAGGAAGAGCAAGAACACATTTGTACTTTTGTGCTAACATGATGCACGCAGCCTTCACAGCAGCACTTAACATTTATCACCTGCTGGCACATTTATGCAACATACAAGGAGGAATCATGCTTCCAGATGTACGTAGTGTTTGAATGAAAACCAGACAAGAGCTGTTGGAGAAGCATGACTGTGAACGCTCCCTTTTCCACTCAACAAAACTAGAACAGACATTTTACAAGCTCAGCAACAGGCACGTTGGCCCCTGGAGTGTTTATCAGCTGGCTAAATGTGTAACCGTGTTATCTCTACGAGCCTAATTCTGAAGGGGCGGTGCAGTAAGAAGAGGAGAAAAATCACTGACTTTGTGCTCCAATGGTTCAACTCTGTGTACCTAATGTGGAACAAAAGGGCAAAAACTCTCCAACAGGAGCCCTCTGTCTAACAGTCAGTGTGTCAGTAGAATGACACACAGGAGAATGAAGTTTGACCCCACACATGGTCAGAAATGACATACAACTTGAGGGGGAATTCTACTTGTTTGTTCAACGTGAAGTTCAGCTTCATTCAAACAGGTTCTTTTTTTTTGGGGGGGGGGGGTTCATTCCACAAGTGTCACTCTGGCCTTTAATAAAGAGTTGTGAACAGCAGAGAGGGGGCCTTGTGTATTTCAGCTCTACACAAATCCTGCTGGAGCACTTGTTGTGTCTTGCCTCACAGTTGGGTGTAGTTAGGTATAGCCGAGCACACAAACACATATAACAGGGCGGTACAGCTGTCCCTGTTGTCCCTTTCATTAAAGATACAAGGTTTGAAAATCGGTGTTTACTACACTCTAACTATTCTCACAAAGTCTGATGACATCGATTTGTTCACAGATTAATTAATATCAAAAAGGAAGTACATTATTATTATAATATATATCCTAAGAAAGTCTAATAACCATTAGAAAATATGATTGATTACTTACTTAAAGATTATCTGTCTTTGTTCAGAATGTAGTGTCAGATCAATACAAACAATAGTCTCTTAGATGTCCAGGCTGGAACACATACATATGTCGAATACTGTATTTATATGTATCTAAAAGAGTAGGAACAGCCTGTCTCTTGACATTCTGTATTGTGTTTCAGTCGTCCCTGTTTGTGTAGAGATCACCATCAACCACAGTATAATAAACCTGCCTGCGATTGTGATGACTCCATTATAAACAACACATTGTTTGTTTCCACGCCCCAAAGAACAATGGCTTCACAGTTTATGTAATACCAATCTCAAAAGTTATTTTGTGATCACACTTGGGGCTGAAGTCTGGACCCAGCATATAGACGCTTTCACCACCTATGGATTCAAATCAATTGGCAGTATTTCAAAAGATGCATTTTTTTTTGGAGGCCAAGCTGAGGCCAAGCTGAGGCCCACAGAGGGGACCAGAACAAAGCTAGGAGTTTTCTTAGGCCTACTTCTGTCTGTGTATGACAGGAGTCTCATGATGTCTCCCTCTTGTCCAGTTTACATATAGTGTCACCCAGGAACAGTTTGGCCCGGGAGGATCTTGTATGTAAATACACACACGCAGGTCCAAATGGGTAAAAATGCTGACATGCTTTTCTAGGTAGAAAACATCAAGTTCAGTGAGTAAAAATACAAATTTGGAGCAGCAGGCGAAGAACGGCTGTGCTTTTGTTTACCTTTGGATATCCTGCCGGAGAGGGAGCCTCCCACCACCAGAGGCCCCCCTCTACGTCCTTCTCCCTCCTCCTCTTAGCCCTACTGCCTGTCCCTTTGTGTGCAAAAATTTAATTTACTCTATCCCCTGTTAGCAATTAAAAAATACAACAGAAATATTTTTTAGGTTTGGCCGCGACGTAAAGAAGAAGCAAAGAAAACGAACACATGGAACAAACACAATAACAAACACATTTCCTAAGGCTGAACCTGATTTATAATGAAAATGTATAAACAAATAGTGTCATCACTCCGTTGTTTGGAAAGTGAAAAGAAACATCGACATCACCTATTTAGTTAGAGGCTGCTGTCAGATGGCCATGTGTACAGATGCCTGATTAAAACGGCCTTTTTTAAAATATATTTTAATGTATTTTTGTCAGTTTGCATCGACACTGAAATCTAATATTTATGATATAAAATAATGCTGTTCGGGGAATATAAATGCCTTTGTGCCTGCACGTTGTGCCATCAAATTTTAGCCTTAGCTTTAGAAAATGTATTTTAATTTTCAGATTAAAAAAACATTTTGCATGTTTTCATAGTTTTGGATTACTTTCTAAATCTTAGAAAATCTTATAAGGTAATACTACATAATATTCACAATATTCTGGTTAATTATATTGATATTTATTTTCTACAATTCAACTGAAGCTCAAAACACTGAATGCCCTGACACATGGGAATTTTGAGCAGGGTATTTTGAGTATTTATTATAAAACAAAACATTTGTTAGTTTTCTATTTTTGAAGTTGCAGCCATACTAAAATGTGTTGCCTGTTTGGGTGGGGGCTCCTGAACAGTGTGACGGTAAGTTCTCCTGACAGCCTTCTGCTTCACCACTGCCCAGGTTCAAGTTCACCCAGTGTGGGGCAGCGGGCGTCAGTCTGCGCCTGTCAGCGCACATGGCGCAGAGCTGTGCTGCGCACATACCGCGATGCGGCGCTTCCCACAGCCACTCCCCCTCCCTCCGCTGCTAATGCTGTATAATGTTGGGTGACATAACTAGGTCAGTGGAACAGCCAGGTCCCTCTCCCCCTGTACACTCACACAGTCAGCCATGCTGGCACATTCATCGTCAACATAACAGCCGCTCCAGACTGCAATGACGGAAATCCAACTGGAAGTCCAACCGGAAGTCCGACGGGGTGGAGGGGGGATAAAACATCTTAATGGTTGTTTTAATTTCAATCTTTAAAAAAAAACATTTTCGCACCAGTGAACACTGAAAACAACACTACACAACGTGTGTCTATTTGTCAATAAGGGCGCTGTGCCAAACTTTGATGATTGGCATTTTTCAACCCCCACATCCTCCAACCAATAGAAACCTGATCAACTCGAATAACATCTCATAGATTACATAATTCAGGTTTTGGTTAACAACAACCTCCTGTCTTGCCCCTCCCTCGCCTTATTGCATAACTCCAAACATGGATCCCCTCGTCAAATTCACAGAGGGGCTCTCTCAGGTGCGAAGTGAGTCAAATTTCTACGAAAACAACAGATGTGGTTGACCAAAAAACACGCACAATTTCCACTCTCACATTCTCTCTCTGTAACACGTCTGTGAGATTTCATGCTGAAGTTGAGTGCGTTGATCTGAGCACGCTGCTGCAGCCTGAGGCTCTGTGCAGATAATCCAGTCATGAGGGATTAATGCGCGCCGGGGAGGAAAAACAGGCGCACTCCAAGTGCGACTGTGCAGCCATGTGGTCACTCAGAAAAATGTTGTTTTCAAAAGAAAAAGAAAAATGCTGCCAGTTGAATGTAATATTAAATCCACTTACCTCTCATGGTGGATGCTGTGTTTCTCCAATACTTGACGAGGAAACCGGGCTACATGTGGTGACTGTGGGTGACAGCACTGAGGGGGAGGCAGGCGCAGCAGCAGCCAGAGGACACTGGCTCTGTCAATATGAACTTGGTCCCGGTGCAGACAGCTGTCCTGAAGCACAGCCCCAACAGTACAGACCGACGGGAAAAAAAGCCAAGAAAAATCGAAAAAACACAAGAAGGTGGGAGAAAGGTAAACAAGAAAACAAGTACGCGCAACAGCTCCCCTTTATCGCTTGGTTAAGTCGGAGCGGTCGGAAAGAGCGCAGAAAGTCGCCTTGGATTGCATGGTAGTCGAGTGTGCGCACAGCACAGAGTAGATTTGGCTCAACTTTTCTTTTCTTTTTTTGACAGACTAAGTCCCACGGTGGACGTTGTTCTCCCCCTCCTCCTTCTTCTCCTCTTTGGTGCTATGACTCTCCGCCTGCTTTCCTCTCAGTCTACCCTGCTAACCTACTTTCTCCTAACGTGGACTCTCACATGATCTCACTGCCGACAGCTCACATCACTCCCGGGACCGCGCTCACAGGAGCGAGCTTAAGGTGGCCGGGCCAAGTGATTTGACGACTATCATAATAATAATAATAATAATAATAATAAACAACACAAATGAAGGGGGGATTAAACGAACACGGAAGATGAAACTAATAAACCGTTTTATTATTTCTAAATTTCTTGAGGTTAAGTTCAACTTTATTTGTTTGTTTTTTTAACCATTAGCTAAAAATCCTTGTGCCAAAGTGGTGGGTCGGGGGAAGAGCATGAACCACTACACTTCTGAATGCAAGGCAAGCGCAAATTTGAATTTAAATACCCCTTCAAAATGTGTAACAGCCTCGAACTTCTGTTAACACAAAACCATTATTGCACCTACTGTATTTTTCTGCCTTGACAGTTCTGACGCCTTTCAGGATGTAGCCAACAAATCTGTCACTACAAACAATTATCTTCTGATTGAATTTAATTAAAAACAAGCAGTAGAACTAGTTGCTAGAGCTCCTTGTTTTGCATATACCCTGAACTGTGTTTAGAACATATAATTATATTAGCTATAGGATTTAAAAAATAAACTCAAGCTTCTTTAGATCTCAACCACAAAACATTTAGCTAACATTGCTTTATTTAATTCTCAGTATGGAAAGCTTTTAAAAGTACTGCAGTGAAGACGCCTTTTGGTTCAGCTCTGCAGCACGGGTGTTAAACTAATTTGTGTTCACAGGCCGCATACAACCTGATTAGATGTCAAGTGGACCCAGCCAGTACAATCATAACATAATTAACTATAAATAGCAAGTCCATGTTTTTTCCCCTTTGGTTTCATGAGAAAAAGTACACATATATGAGACATTTATTTGTATTCATTCATAGGTTCATGGAATATAATTTTACAAAAAGAATTTCACCAAAAATATCCTGATGCAAATCTTAGTCTTCTGCCTCCTTTATTGTGACTGTTAGTATTATTTTTTCATTATTTCTATTTTTTAAACTATATTTTTGGACGAGTAACTTTTAGCTAATTGTAGCTACCTCTTCTTTCTAAAGAGATGTTTTTGCTCTGAGCTACAACTCATCTGACGTGTCCTATTACTTTGGTTTTGTTTATCTGCTGCGTAAAAGTGAAATCCTGGCTAAATAGATGGAGGTTGCTATGGGAATGTTTTCCACTCCCATATATATGGAGTATTGGCAACGGTTGCAGCATTTTTCCTCAGTTATTCTCACTCCGTGGGTCTCGCATTTAGAACTGGAGATGTATGGATTGTCTTCTCTGGAGGGTTTTTTTTATGCATGAAGCCCAAAGTACTGGCTCTGTGTGGTAAATGTTCACCCTGGAGAGTATGTGCTGATGGAAGAGGAGCATGGATCAGGCTATTTTTTGGGAGGATGGGTGAGGGTGAGGGTGAGGGTACCATAGCGTGTGGCCTTATGATGCAATGTTCTGGCAGCGTCGTTATGAAACAGCATGAAGGCAGAGATTACTCTAAGTAGGTTAGTGGAGCAGGCGAGCACAGAGCACCTACAGTACACTCTCAGATTCTTTTTCTGTTACACACGGAGTCCGCACACACACACTGAGACAGGAACTTACAGTATTTTGTTTTTTCCTCTCTCTTGTCCTCAGTCTCCTCCTTGGTTTTCACAAACACACTCCTACAGCTTTATTTATACACTTCCTCATTTGATTTATTTGAGCCACAGTAGTGAAGTTTATCATAATAGTTTACACTAAATATTGAATACTTCTGCTTTTCTTTGCGTTTCCAGGAAATGTTGTTGCGTGTGCTGTTAGCATCTGCTGTTTTCCCCCCTTTTTTCCTCTTTCTGTTGGCCCATGCACACCTCCTCTAAAGCCCTTCTGTTCTATGTCTCCCCTGACAACGGCAGTGACACTTTGACCTTAGCTCTTACGTAACAGTCTAATAGCACAGAGATAGAGAGCGAGAGGAGAGAGAGAGGGAGAAGAGGGATAACAGGGAACAGGAGAAGGAGGAGGATGTTTCCAGCACATACATCTCCAGCCGACATTTTGTTACCTAATGATAAAGTGAGCGGTGATAGGCAAAGGAAAAAAAAGACAAAGACAGGAGAACCCAGAGACACAGGATGATACCTGAAGGGCTGACAGCAGTGGCTGCATAACAGGAAGCAGAAGCAGATGGAGAAGGGTGGCAGAAATTTGACATAAATAGTTGGAAACTCATGTCACGGCCACAGAGGTGTCTACTGCCCAGGTTCAGTAGGTCCTGATTAACAACATGGACAATAATAGTCTGGGAAATCTGCCTTCACCAAAAGATCCAGTCAAGCTCTCTGACATGTAACAGACCGCAGAATGAATCAATGTCATGCACACGATATACAGTAAAAGGCAGAGTAAACAGAAACGCCTTAATCACAAGCACAATAATAATAAAAAAAACAGCTCAGAACCAATGAATTGCCTCAGTATATAAGATGTCGCCCTCTTCTTTTATTTTCCTTTTTTGGTCGTCTTTTCACACTGGGTTTGGATTTTACTGGGTTGAAATGTTTAGCAGTGGAAAATAGAACCAACTCACAGACAAATGCCAATTATTGTTATACATTTTTAAATAAAATGTTTTATTGTCACCTAGTTTAGAGTATGAACTGCACTGCATGGGTGCTGGACTCTATATAATCTTGGACATAAAAACACCAGAAAACATCTCACTTCTGCTTGGGAGCCATAATGAAGGACAACAAGTTCCTGCATGAGAGAAAGTGAATGTTGCACAGTCCAATGTGTGACATACATCGGTTTTTAATGTTATTTTATTATGTTTTATTGAGTTATTTTAATTTTTAATTTATTTTAATTATTATTATTATTAAATTGTTAGTGGTGTACATTGGCTTGGTGCAGCTCTACCTGAACTGGCCTCAGTGTGTGACTTGTTGTTGGTACAAACATTCTGAGTGCTGGATCAGATAAATCACTCAAATGTAGGTCCGTCACATTAGTTTTACTGCAGTGCAGAGGCCCTTTTTCAGACTGTCCCTTCAACCTATAGACAACAGTGATTCCTTGAATTTCAGACAAGCAGGCATTTTGTTGTTGTGCAGAACGTCTTGTTGTGAGCAACGGAATAAGGTTTCTCCTGACTCAGATCAAAAGCCTGTGTAGCCTTGTGACTCCCCAGGGTTGAATTTAAAGGCCTCGCACACATCAAAGAGTCTTTGTGGGGATGAGGGACCAACTGTAACTGATTGGCCGCACATGGTTTCACTGAGGCCCCATGGCCAGCTCCTCTGTCTCAGCAGCATCAGCTCTTTACATTCCAGCCCAGTTATTCACACTGCGCAACAACGTAAATGGTTCGTACGAATTCGGCACATGAAACAATCTCTGTCTTCATTTCCTTTGTGATTCTAATTTGTACTCATTTGTGCATCACGATGTCAAAGACAGCGACACATGTACTCGACACAGCTGGCCATTTACTGAGATTACAGAGCTGTAATCCCTTATTGTTCCTGTTAATCTCTTGCTTTCTCTTAAATAGAGTAACAAATGATCCTGGTGCAGCTTCAGAGAGAGAGTACAGACATTTCCCCCTCTCTTATTTATGACATTACTCGTCCTCCTCCGCTCCGTTCCAACTCACAACCCTGAAACATTTCCATTATTTTCATTTCATTTTCATTCATTTCCTGTTCTGCCTCATCTCCTCATCTTTTCAGCTCCCATTTGATCTCTATATTTCCCACTGATCTTTTTTTCATCACTTTCAGTTTCTCTTCATCAGCTCCGTGGCACTGAGATTTAATAACTACTCCGAGTGATTAAAATATGAGTTCAAAGAACAATCAGCAGACGGTGTTGACTCTAACGATGTCATCACCTGGTAGTTTTGTGATAATTCAGACCAAACCTTTACCTGTTAACCCACAGAAACAACTGACAGATGAATAAATACCTAATAACGACCCGTGGCTCCAGCCCCTGGCTGCGTCCTTGCTCTCCTGGCTACCTGACCCTCTGCACAGCTTGCTCTGAATATTCAACACCTCACACATGGTCTCAGTGTCTTCTGTAAAGGAGGAAGTGTAAATTCTGTTAATAATCCTTTTGCATGTATATTTCTTCACCCTAACCGAGTGCATCCCAGGAATGTTCAGGGCATATAAGGCTCTGAAAGCTTATCTGTGTAGAATGCCACTCATCGCAGTCACGTCTGTGAAGGGAGAGTTGAATCGAGGGCAGCAGGACTTGGTTGTTTTTCCAGGATCTAATCCTCATGACCTGATTTCATCTTGGAGAACCTGACACAACCTTTTTGACAACAGACTGCACTACTTGCACTACTTACAGACACAGGAGGAGCCATTTTTGGTTGCTTTGTATAACACAATCTTTTGTTGCATGCATGACGTGAGTCATGAAGACATTTCATAGAGAAGACCTGTTATGTAAGACGTTTGGTGTTGTTTCAAGTATAGCACAGTCTCCGGGACATTATGTTCACGGAGAGAGGCGAGATCATTTATTTGCTGAAGAGCAAATAAATGATCACGTTAAAGACGTGAAAATATGTTCACGTCTTTAACGTGGTAGACTACTGTATTACTGTGACAGGCTGATGAACAGCTGGAACAGTTGACTCATTCAAACAGAGCTGGTTGGTGGCAGTAGCACAACTAAAAGGTCGCATTACGTCTTTAAAACCTATAGAAAACAGTACTTGTAGGGAGAGGATCAACCCATGGCTGAGTCTCAGAAGAGACAGATTATCATAAAATATACACACAAAAAACATTATCACAGGGTGCAGCTCCACTGAATACTACGTACTCAGTGTTATTTCTAGTATATTATTCTACCTTAACATGTTTTGCAGACATTAAACGAATATTAAACAATAAAATTGTACTAATGCACTCAACTTATTGACTATGGTGTTTAAAAGGTGTCAACAGCACCCTCTGCAGACGAGGGAGGGCGCTACACGCTGTGTTTGCGAACAAAAACGTCTAAGAGGATCAT